GCCATTGTTTGGATCTGGCAGGATCCTAAGAAGGGAGCTAAGAGGACAGGAACCTGTAGCTAGTGCCTAGAACATTCTCAGATGAACTGCTACTTGTTCTGAAGGGAATGTACAGCTTGTACAGCCTTGTTGTCTAAGAGGGTGAGTATATGCACCAACATTTCCTCATTAACCTCTCTCTTTCAACAAGGACAGACTCATGTCCTCAGCTGTGAACTCAGCTGAGACTATCCCTACTTGATACTATAGACAAACTACTGAGTAGTAAATAGGGCTGGGTAATGTTCCAAACATTCTGAGATCTTAGAACACAGAAGTGGTAGGTTGGATTGTACAGATTTAGACTCAGATGAAGTACAAAGAGAAGAATCAAAAGAATCAGAAGAAATAGGAGAACTATCTACTTTTGTTTTTAACTTTTTTCTTTCTAATAAATAATTTTGTTGATTTATTTTTTCTACTTTTTCTACTTTTTCTACTTTTCTTACTTTATTTACTTCTAATCCTACAGTGTCTATTGAATCAAAAGTAGCTATTAAAAAATCTGAGTCATAGCCCTTCAGTGCTACATTCACTGTTAGGCCTCTACAAAATCCTAGAGTATGTAGTCAGGGTCCAGGAGTTCTGAGGTGACTTCTGGATTTGCAGAAAAGGCTTCTCACTACAAATCCTACTTGTCACTCATCATTACTCTAATGACCTGACAGATATACTGTCACTTCTGTAGACAGTCCTTAATTTGGTGCCCTGACTTTCTGTAAGCAAAGCATACTCCTTACTTTTAGGCTTCTCTAATGTCTATCAGAATGGATTGATTGCAAATTACAGGCAGATCAATCTGAGGGCTCAGAACTGTCAGAGCCAGATGCATGTGTAAGCATTCTGTACAGACTTAATGTATCTGAGCCATGGCTTGGTTGAAGGAGATAGTGTGTATCTTCCACTCAGTGTAGGTGACTAGTTTTAGCATCATTCTGAGAATCTTATCAACTAGTTCTAGGTGAAGAGCTTTTTCAAGCATTCTGATAAGGACATCATTGAACCTAAGCATGAATCCTGCCTTCCAGGCTAAGATATTGAATTCCTGAAAGAAGGTATCAGCAGAATGTTTGCCCTGTCACAGAGACACAAGCTTGTTCTGTGTATTGTGCTTCTCATTCAGATTGATGAAGGAAGCACAGAGCTGCCCCATGAATTCTGAGTATGACTTATTGTTCTGAAGTTGGATCAGGCTTCCAATCCAATGACCTTTGATCCAGTTCTGGGCCCAGGTGGCTGTGTTGCCTTCCTTCATGAAGGAGAGGACAAATAGGACACAATTGAGATCTGAGGATAGATCAGTTGAAGTAGTAGCCATGTATAGTTTGACTTAGTACTAGAAGTCCTCAAAGTGCTACCTATTAAAGTCTGAAGGGTAGGCTACATACACTTTCTTTCTAGAACAGGTTGTAACTTCCAGAATGGTCAGAACAGGTTCTGAAGAGGCTGAGGGTATGTGGTTGGTAAAGGCCTCTTGGATAGAGGTTTACATGTATTAAGCTAGTTCTGCTTGTAACTGCTGATCTGGCAGGACAGTAGGGGTGGCAGTCAGTATAGTAGGGTCCATGTCTACACTACAAAGGGATCAGCACTAAACTAAAAGGGGTAATGAATAGAAGAAGGGTGGCAAAAGTTTAAAAGGGTTTAGAAAGTTTAAAATTTAAAAATGTAAAAGGGTCAGGACAAAGGAAAGAGATTGATACAATAGCAAGTACTAATGCCCAAAACGTAGGAGAGTTGTAGGGTGGTAATGGGTAGTCTTAATCTGATGTCAGCAACAGTGTAGAGGGGACCTAAAGGCTCAGCAAGGGGACCCAGGCTACAACTATCCTACACAACAGAAATACAGGATGCAAGCACCAGAATGTAGTCAGAACTTGTGGAACAGGCAGAGAGAGAGAGTGAGACAAGAGTAGAGTATATAGAGTGAGCCTAAGAGTACAGGACTACCTGGAGTAGACAAGATCAAGACTACAGGACTAGTCTGATCTTGTATGCCTATATATACTAAACTATACAAGAGCACTCAGGGAGCATGAGCTACTAAGAATGATAAGCTACAAAGAATGAAAGAAAGGAATGTTAAAGATAAAGGTACAAAGAATGAAGGGATGGACAAAGGGTAAGAGACCATAGAATGAACAGAGAATGAAGGAGTGGTCAAAGGAATGGAATGATGAAGTAAGGAAGGGTAGTGGTAAGAGTCAGTACACATATAGTCTATAGACAGTGCCTCTGAGGGACAGAAGTCCTGAGTTCCAGTACAGAAGGGTGCAGAACCCTCAGAACTGAAGGTAAGAGAGTAGAGAATTGTAACAAGAGTAAGCCCTCCACCTTACACAATTTAGTACAAGATATTAATAGCAAGCAAACATTCAGGACTTGTTTTTGTAGAACAACAGCTAGTATGAGGAGTTGTAAGAGCAAAAATAGTTTTACAGTAATATAGTGAAATATGTAAAATAATATGTATACTTAATATTCTGAGTATATTTCAATATGTAAATAAATAACTATGTAATATCATTCATTTGGACTAACTTATAGTATTGTACACTCAGTTTTGAGTCTAGTGAAAACTCACATATTGTGTTGTATCTTACTCAAATGTTGCTCAATTTACTTTATTTTTTCTGGTATTTGAAAGATAATTTAAAAATATAATTTTTACAACTTAGATCACATAATTTGGTTAGGTATTAGTTGAATTATAGTAGATTTTATGGATCCACCAATTATTTTATAATCAATACTTGGTGTTATTTTCCAGGAGGATAGATCAGCTTTATACATACTATGTCAGTTACACTTGTCACAGACCTGCTCTCATCTATAGTATTTAATCCTGGCTATTCATTATCTATAGCAAAGTAACCAGTGTTGATTTATTTCTGTCTTTCTTGCAAGCTTGTTTGCCGTCACCACAACAGCAATCAGAAAGGCACACGGACAAAAATACAGATGGCCAAAGAAACTTCGTAAGTACGTTTAGTAATTCTACAGAGACAGAGACAGAAAAAGAGACAGGGAATATACTTAAAAACACAAAGAAAACGAAACGAATAAACAGAAACATGACAGAAGTTGTAGAGTCGCCTTGAAAATAGAAGGGAAGAAAAAGAATGGGAGGATTAAAACGGACGGACGGGATATTTTTAGAGAGTTTACAGTAGGGATACATACGTATCATGATACTCATGCAGCAGCAGTAGAACGTCGCAATCGAGGTCACAAGTCGTTGGAGCAAGGGATTGCTTTGTGTGACACAGGGATTAGGCTGTGATAACGAGAAAACAGGGGAAGGGGTAAGGTGTGATCGAGAATGCACAAGAATGAACCAGTCGGGTAACTGAGACTTGAACTTCAGCAAAGACATGAATGAAAAAGAAGCAGGGGTAGGTCCACGAGAGAGGAGTCGTTGCACGACATGTGAATGTATGAATGCGATCACTTGTTGAGTATTGAGACAAGACATCCAGGGTCGTGTATTTGCGGTAAAGCAATGAAGTGCAAGTGGCAAGTAGGCAAAGTCGGGGTTTCCACACGAACACGAGACGAGGCGGCAGAAGGGAGAAAGCATGCAAGTGGAACGATAAAGAGGAGAGAATACATGCTGAGTTTGAAACGAAAAATGAGAAAATCAGTGAGCCTCATCCGATCGAATACTGTCGTACGTCGGTGGAATCTCGTTCGGCTCTTCATTTTCACGATACCGCCCGCCGTCCTGATGCACGACAACATTCGCCTCGTCATCCCCAGGATTCCGTACCGCCAAAGGAGCAGTCGACGATGATGCCGAACCTTCACCCTCTTCTCTCATACCACCATAAAGCATATTCTGCCCCTGCCCATTCTGCTGTGCATATCGCGATGCGAACGCCTCACGTTCCTTCGCTGAAGCACCCGCGCCTGAGTATGTCGAATAAGTCGAATGAGTTGTTGGCGAAGTCGGTGATTGTGAGCTGCCGGGTTGAAGAGACGCTGGTACACCTAACATTCCATATCCTCCTCCTTGATTCGGGTTGTAGGGTGACGCTCCATAAGGTACACCTGAGCTGCTCATACTTGTCCGTGGGTCACTCAATCCATGCCCAGAACCCGAACCCGATCCAGCCTCAGAGGGTCCCGAAGGCATCGGCTGGCCATTCGGATCGTAATACGACATGCTCCCATTTCCACGCGGTCCGCCTTTCTGGTCATGTCCACCATACCGTCCTGCTGCGTAGCCAGCACCAGCACCAGCAGCCGCAGCAGCCCCTGGGCCCAAGAGCGACGCACCACCTGGCTGGTTCTGCGACATCCCATATGTATACGGCGTAACCTCGGGTTCCTCCACCCCTCGTGCAGCCGCAAGCAGGTCCGCATCTCCTCCACGCCCTAATCGATGAATCGTGGACGAGTCGCGCTTTGCAATCTGGTCCGGATCGAAGTTCCCGTCAAATTCATCTCGCTTACGTTTTCGTAGAATGAGCCAGCCGAGAAGCGCAAGGAGCGCGAGCAGTACTACACCCCCGACTACACCCCCAACGATTGCGCCAGTGTGACTGTCACTTTTCCCGCCGGACGAATTGCCATTATCGGGACTTTGAGTGTTGGTCGCAATCTGCGATGTTATTATTTGTGTGGATGTTTGCCCGTTTGCAGTGATACTAATCCGAAGGAAAAATAACAATAAGCACAACTTCTTATGAGACATTATTTTGGGATTGAGGCTGTGCTTACACTGTTGTCTGAACAGTTGTGCTCAGTGCAGCGGATGACGAAGATGAAGTCGAAGATCCCGATGTAGTGGAGCTAGTGTCAGTCGGAGGAGTTGTAGTGGAGCTGGTCGAGCTGGTAGTCGAAGTCGGCGGGGTAGTGGTGGTGCTAGTCGGCGGGGTGGTGGTCGTCGACGTACTCGATGTCGTCGAAGTAGTCGAAGTAGGCGGGGGCGGTGTAGTCGAAGATGCTGGAGGTGGAGGATTAGTTGTTGAGGACGGAGGGGCCAATATTGAGGAGGTAATACTAGATATAACTGAAGACATGGTGGAGGAGCGGGAAGAGGAAGAGGGAGGATTAGAACTAGTGCTAGTGCGTGAGGACGAAGACGGGGTGACCCGAGAGGTGGATGATGCCGACATCACAAAATAGTAATAGCGATGAAGTAATTCACCGGGGGAAAGGGAAAGAACAACGAAGCGAATAACAGATAAGAAAATGAAAGCCGGAGGAGGGACGTCAAAAAATCATGCGCAGTTGGTGTCCCGAGCGCATGTGTCGACCAAGTCAAGCAATTATACGCTGTCAGGAGAGACAACAGCGATGCAAGATGGATGGGATAAGACAGGTTTAAAGAAGAGAGACATAGCAATGCCGGGGCACTGTGCCGGCATGCGAGAGGCACCAAAGGTCCAACACGCATTCTCTGACGTCGCTCTCTGTGCTAATGCGAATTTACAAATAACAGGCGAAACACTCCAAAAAAAGGACGTTGACTAATGCTTGAGACATTGTACGTACTTTGTCGTTTTTCCATTTTCATACCGGTCATTGTCGTCCGTCTGTATGCGGTGTTCACTGTCGCTCTCGATGAGAAGATGAGAGAGAGTAGGTCGAAAGGAGAGGAGAGAGTCGGGCGGCTATGACTTGCCGTTTCCCGCGTGAGACTGGATGCCGCCTTTGGGATGTCGTCCACTATAGATCCCTCGTGCTCCTCAGAGTCGTCTGCCTGCTCCCCCGGCCCACTCGACTGCGGAGTACTTATATTGCAATGACGTTCACCTCTCTCTTATCCATTGCCCGAGCCGACAGCTCACCACTCCCCCCTTCTACTAGAATAGTCGTCTTCGTGCTTTGCCAACTCAAATATTAACAAGCCTTGCACGTGTATCCGGCCAGCGTTCATTTCATTCCTCATGGCTCCTCCTAACCACACTATAACACATATGTTCAGACTACTGTCAAATCTCCCCTAATGAATCTAATGTACAATACAGAAGGGAGAATGGGGGCATGAGCGTTTCATGACGTGCAATTCTCCCAGTTTTTCCGACTACGAACAATTTCTCACTCCCACTCCATGTGCATCTGCTGCGGATATCAATATTTGCTTCGAAGCGTCTCCCGATCAGCAGCACTGCTTCTGCTCCCCACAATAAATATTAAAACATTGAGTGCATTGCATTTACATTTCCTTTGTCGATCAGGATGGCCGATCTCCGAGACTCCACACGAAAATGAAACAGTCGAACAATCTGAACACTGAACAGTACAGTATTTGCTACTCCTATATCACTATCCTGTCGAGGTACTGCCGCATCCCAGGATGTATTTTATATCGTATAGTTGAAATGTCTACACCACTGATACTGCTACGATAACACTTTGATTTATCTGAAACTTGTGTCCGGCGTGAATTTAGTTGTAATCTACATTACTTTAATACTTGTTTTGGTATTAATCAGAGTCAAGCGCTACATCCATATCTCCGTCCCTTCCACCTAATTTCCATCCAGCTGTAAAAACATTCACGTCTTCATGTTCTCGTATCACCCTTTGTAGAAATGCATTAATTAACACCCTCACGATCACAAGGGGAAAAAAGGGAAACAGCTAACCCATCAAAGAAATCAATAGTATTCCTCTCCTCCGACTCCCCATCCTCACTCCCATTCACATGGATATTATGCCCCGCAAGCAACGCCTGTAAAAACCGTCTCGTTGTCTGCGGGTCGTCCCGAGGCGGTACGCGCACCTCTTCCCGTGTACGTATGAAACTCATGTTCGGCGCTGTTGGTGTCGGACTGTGGATCGTGATGTGTCGCTCGACGCCGCATGTTGCAATTTGTGGCATGTGTGGGTGGATGATGCTGCTGTTGATGATCGAGTCGTGACCTATAAGTAAATGCATATACAAATATCGGCGTCAGAGTGTTGGGAGTGGATGCGCTGAATGATAACTTGCAAGGACTGACCTTGAAGCCGGAATAAAGGAGTGCATATATCGGCGGGAATGTATATATAATTGTCATCTGTATTCTGTGCATATCCTAGGCGCCAGAGGAAAGGCAAAAATAAATAGTCGTCCGTGCACTAGTCTAATTCCTACCTACCAATCAATCGAGGCGATTCAGTTTGAAACTCGCTCTCGTCCAGAACGCGCCTCTCTTCTCGTAGCCCAGCCAGGTTCGGGATCTTCCATACGTACGCACGAAAGTCGTCTGAACCAGTGGTAAAGTATGCATCTTCCGTGTCTCCAGCTGGTCCACCGAAAGCTCCGTGCTGTACAATTAATAAAATTCAATTCAGTTATTCACATCGAAGAAACCAGTCTGAGGACTCACTTTGATAGTACATGTGTTCCTGTACGAGCTTTCTCCTTCTGGTACAGGTGAGCCGTTAGGAAAGTTCTTACCGCTGCAGACTGCTAGAGGTATTGGATCTGCTGTCGAATAGATTGTTGGTAGATGATGCTACGAAGTTCCAAGATCAATGGATCAAAAGTATCAGTGGAATATCTGCCTGTTTGTACAAGATTTGACCAACCTACCAGAAAGGTCACAGCAAACTTCGTCCCTTCATCGAAACATATACATTAAATATTCGTTATCCTGTCGTAATACGGGTTGTTAAAGAAAGCTGCTCACCACTCCGATCGATCGCGAGACTCGCAGCCTCCGGCTGGACCATGTACGGTACCGAACGCCTCAATATCGCAGTAGCATACTGAAATCAAGTTCAATTATATCCAATCAATTCACTTCCAAGTTCTAAATGTAGGTAAAAGACGAGTAAACATACCTTCATAACTGTTCCCTTCCCACCTGCGACTGACACTCCATTACTACCGGCGCTCGTCCTATCAGCAAAAGCCATCCGTGTATCACGTAAACATACGTTCCCGTGTGTGTCCGCGGTGAAGAACAATTTATCTGCTCGTGGATGGAATCGCACGTCGGTAACCTCGCAGTCGTTCATAACCGATCCTGCACATCCATTCACAGCTCTTGAGTCGTGCAGCGCTATGACGCCGTCTTCCCTAAATATGAGCAAAGAGTCAGAAAATGCGAGATTCGTTGAGATGAGTCACGAATTTGTTACGCACCCTGCACTAAGGAACATATCCTCATTCTCTGGGTGACATGAAAGACCTCGTACGTTATCCTATAAGTATTGCCTGTATCAGTTTGCTTTGGTCCCGTTACTTCTGAAGATAAGGATCGAAGCTGCGACGCACCTCATGAGTTGAGAACGTCTGTATCGGAGTTCCACTTGAACTACTTGAAGCAGTAGATATATCGTATTTCAAAATCTTTTCATCCGTTGACCCACTAAAGGTTTGTTTCTATTAGCATTTTTCATCTCTTATGCAAAACGAGCACGTTGATTGATACGCACGAGTAGACAAACTGGTTCTGGGCGGAGAAATCAAGGCAGAATATATTTGACTAATAATATCATTTGCGTCAGGTTGCCAAGTCCTGAGCTTTAGTCTGTTTAACAACTTCACTCACTCTATGTCCCGTTAGTGAGCAAGAAGGCGCTCGAACGTCCTCTTGATGAAGGTCCCATAACAAAACACGTAGATCTATAAAGGCACGTATAAACATTAGCCTGTATGTACTCAATAAGCTCAACCGAGTACATACCGTCGCCAGCACTAGCCAACCAACGTCCTTCACCCTTCGAGAATGTGATTGCATTCACACAAGATCTATGCGCAAGCAATTTCCTACAAACACACAGAAACAAAATCGACTCATTGGTTAGGCCTTCCAAGTTACTTCATAACATGTTATGGAAGCACTACTCACTTGGAATACGGAAATCCAGACTCGAATATGGAGTGAAGACGAGCAGTAGGATCGAAAGTTTGAGTATGTCCTCCTACTCTCGCTCCTGATGAGGAAGGTCCTCCAAGTCGTTTGCGCTTCATTCTGGGATCGTCATGAAATCAGACTCCATGCGGAGGAGGTCGGTTTACATCTAAGTAATGCAATGTCAAATGCGTACGTAGAATGACGTTTGTCTCACGTGGTCTTATGCAGCACATTATAGATTTATATACTTCACACACTTTGTGAAGCATTAATGGGGTAGTGGTAACCTGGGTCGTTGCCATCGACCCGCCGGGGGTTCGATTCCCTCTTAATGCATAGCCATGTTGTAACGTGACTTTTTTCTTTGGTCCTGACCTACATTCTCTTTCTTGTTGGCAAAACTGCTGATATCTTACAGATAAACTGTATGACTTGCAATGCATTTGCCGTTTCAGATCCTTCTATTATTGAACTAGTTCTCAACCATTTAACAACAACAACATTTTATATTGGTATACCTCTAACTAATAGCTCGAGAGTTCATGTTATGAAAGTGACTCGCCACTCACTCGGGACACGGTGCATAATTTGATCGACAAGCTCAGCAATATCCAACTTTACTTTTCTCGCGGATTCATGAATACAACGCGCTTGCTATGGTACGGACATTCTACGGAGCATTCTTCACTTCTCTACGTGATTCAGATCCAAAAAACCACACCTTCTCCATTCAGAACTTACATCTTTACAAAATGCCTGAGAAAAGGCCAACACGAATCTCCGTCAAAACGTAAACGCGAAGAAAAGGAGAGAGGGAGAGCTTAATATCGGTGTGCATAGCTGTTAGTGTAGAAGAAAAACTTTTTACTTCACAACACGAAGGAGCGAAGTATTTCCGTCCGACCTTGTGTCCCTGATAGCAAAGTGTCGTTGAGCTCCTCTTTGTCGTTGTTGTGTACCAGAGGGACGGAAGTCCGGTATCACGTATTCTCCTATGTGCATCGGATTCGTATTCTTAGAAGATAGAAGAAAGAGAACAAGTACCGAGGAACGTCCGGGTGCGAGAATGTATTGCTTTTGAATATGTGCAACATGTGCTAGGCGCCCTAGGATGCCGGACAAACATATATTACAAGACATGGAATCATCCGAACAGACGACGAAGTGCGCACGTTTGCGAGATAAGTCTGTTAGGCGCCGACACAATTCGTGGTGCAATAGAGTGAAGAAACGAAGGGATAGAGGAGGTCCACGGACATCGTGCGAGTAAGCCATTGTACTTTGTATACGACTCTCCACACGATTCGACTTGACTACTAGTTTCTCGAAGATGAAGTTGCATCCATTCCTGTCGCAGCGCACATCCTTCCTTGACTCGCTACGAAGCAAAGTACTTCACACTAGTCGAACATAAATAGCACATTCAGAGCATCCTACCTTCTCGCGTACACATAGGGCAAACCAGGGTCGACAGGTCCCGCGATACATATACGTGGCCCTTTCAAGCAGTCGATGTAATCAAAACCCCGGATTGTCTCCTAACGCCAAGGACTTCGTTCTTAAAATATAACTGTATGCCTATTCACTGGTGTTCAGCACATCACTCGCAACTCTCCGAATTCATCGGAAAGAGAAGGGGTCAAACCGAGAAGCACATACCTGTTATCGTTAGGCCGCCATCCGCCGTTTCTTCTAATAAACTTGCCGCAACTTCCTGTCTACTAAATCCGACTGATCAAGCTAACACGTCCCTCAAGTCGATCTAATTCAGTTCGTCCAGGGAAAGCAGCGTGAAAAGTCTATTTCTATAAGATGAAGGTGATGATGATGATGATGTAGCTGAGATGATGACGATGCAGGGTCTTAGAAAGCCTATGAATTTCAAACGGAGTACGGTTGTTCCCGATTGTGATCTTCTCCAAGTGATTAGTACAGGGCAAGTACTGTGTGCAAATCCTCCACCCGGAAGCAATGCATGAGCGATCACCAGAATAATTACAAGCAAGTGTCGAGACCAGCAAGTGTATAGAAAGACTCTGAGATCTTTAGACGTCGATATCTATTTAGGGCGGGCCGTGGATGGGGTCTAGAAAAATGTGAAGCAACAAGGAGAAGAGTGCACCTCATGGAAAGCTGGAAGACACAATGTCTGCAATTTGAGCGAAGTCTACTTCTTGGTCACCCGAATGCACAAATACCGAGGTCCAGAAAGGGTGCTTTTCACTTGAATGCAGTAGATAAATGTGCAGCCATCGGAAGAAGCACACGAAAGGGAAAAACCAGGACAAAGATAGGGAGTGCATACACCCTAGCACATCCACGAAACAACCCTCTCCAGGGATGATCCGTGTCTAAAGTGTAAGAATCCACTGAGGGATGGGCGATCAGGGCCACTCAGCCAAAGATGGATAAAAACAAGCGCTCGGAGGGACGCGTAAGAGATGTATGAGCGTCTAGTCAGTCTCGGTCTTCACGGTATATGACGTTGAGAGCGAGAGCGATGTTGTCTAGGCTGCGAACTGATATAAGGACGATGGACAACCCGGGAAGGTGGCGCCATTGGAACGGCGAAGGCGGGGTAAAGGCTCGAACTGGTTCCTGAGGATAGAAGGAGAATGGGAAACCAGAATGGAGGGACAGTCGGGACCCGGAAATCAGTTCTTGCGGTGAGAGAAACAAGCATGGAAGGGGGAGAACGTTCGTAGCGCGTGAGTGTGATAACTTTAGGGGACTTTAATTGATACAACTACCGAAAGGCAGAGATCTCAATAGAGATATTGCAAGGATGGAAATGAGATTCCCTGCGACACGGAGAAATGCGGACCAGGCCAGTCATGCATATGGCGCTCTAGCTGCGTTGGGTTTGCTGGAGGAGACTCGTCAGCGTTATTTGTGACGCTGTACTCTCGACATTACGGTGACGTCGGAGGCAGCTTTCAGATTGATGAACAAGGATAGTGGCAAATTATTCTCCGGAGACAATCGCGGACGGACTAGGCTCAGGGAGTCTAGACTCTGGGCAAGAAAATCTGAAGAGTTTACGAAGCGCGGACCGGAGACGGAGATAGGTGGGGAAAGTGGAGAGACTCGACAAAGTGGCGCGCAAGGAAGAGCTCGAGACATATGGCTAAGGTACACAGGGTGTTTCTATACTGAAAAAAATAACGGAGGAAGCCTGGATGTTGCCTTACGACGTTGTAATCTTGGTGGTGACTGACTGTATCGTACTCGTCGGCGCTGGTTCGGGACCGAGTATGGCTTTATCGGCAGCAAGATAATATTAGGGGTGAGGCATTTGGAGCGCGCTCACTGTTCGGAGTTACCGTAATGTACCCAGGACAGTGAGGAATTAGGTTCGGACGAAACATGTTCATTCGGCGAAACCGACGTGCAAAGTGCAGTGAAAGATATGAGACCCCCCTTTGGTGCAGAAAGCCGGAGGCAATTTGTGCATAGTGCAATAAACGAGAGTCTGATAAGAACTCGAAGAAATACGAGGCGCAAGGCGTATTCCCCGCACAGACGATGATCCACGGAGATGCTCGAGCGAGACGGTACCTTGATACACTTTTGCACTCAAACAGGATTAATCAGATGGTGGGGAAGCCGGGCTGATGGCTACGGGCGGCCAAGGGGAAATTGTCGGAAGATCAGGCTGGGGCGGCATGGACCACCAAGATGTTTTGTTGGCGCAGCTAGCTGAAACGATGTGTAGCAATGCTGGATCCTCGGAGTGTCCGATCGGACGACATTCTTCTTTCCTTACTTTTTCCAGTGTCGAGGTGGTGGAAACACATGTGTGATTGTGCAGATAATGAGATATCCGTTCCGGCTTGCCCCGACACACGGCACTCGGACCGGGGCAGTGTGCGTGGGGGAAGGGGAAACATTTTCACGAGCCAACGCAGGGCGGCCGAAAAAGGAGAAAGGAAAATCAAAAAATTGCAAATGACGAGTAAAATAGGCTGTGTGCGTGACGCCGGTGTTTCGCCGCGTCGCTCTCTCGTCTGCTCTCGTCCAGCGCGAGCCTCCCGTAGACCGACGTTTCCCAACATTCAGCGAAGCATGGCCCTGCGAAGCCCTGCCATGGAGTGAACGAACGACATCCTTACGAGCTGCCCTAGACTGCATTCTCACCCATAGATTAGACGGAGACCTCATTTTCTTCCGAGCCCTCGATCCACCTGCTGCCCCATTCCCCCTCTATCTGCTTCTTCTCCCGCACTCAGTATTATTCTCCTCCGCCGCAGCTATCCGTCTCTCATCAGGTCTCAGCTTCTTGTATTCTTCCTAATACCTATAGATTGCCACGACTCTAGACGCCCTCTCTCCGCCCGGCAAGCGGTCGCAACTACTTATATTTCGCCGTTACGTCCTAACACTGCCTCTGTCTCCCCTCTCTTTTGTCCCTCAGCCTGCGTTCTCTTTGCTATCAACCATCATGCCAGACCCTTCCTCCTCCTCAGCGCAGCTGCTCCAGAACTCGCAGCCACCAGCTTCAGTCGCAGACAAGGCTGCCACCGCCCGTCCATACAAGTGTCCTTATCCACTTTGTGGACGCGCGTTCAGTCGATTAGAGCACCAGGTGCGTATTGACGCCTTTCGACCGTCGAAGTCATAGCTTATGATCCTTCGATGTTTATTTTTTATCATGGCGTTTTTATCGGAATCTTTGGCGCAATTTCCGTAACCCCTCGCTCTCACCCCGCACTGCTTACCAAATACGGACTGGTGTTCCCCCGCCCCCGCTTTTATGTGTTGCCTTCCTTTCTCTTCTCACAATCGAAAAGACCCGTCACATCCGCACGCACACGGGAGAGAAACCATTCGCATGTACGCATCCTGGGTGCGAGAAGCGCTTCAGTCGTTCGGATGAGTTAACGCGCCATGCACGCATACATACTGACCGCGACGGTCATGCCCGTGCTGCAAACAGCAGACATGCTGCGGTCCATGCAGAAAAGAACAGCATTGTGCATGCTCCGTCCAATGGTTCGGCATCGGGTTTGCCGTTAACTGCAAGCGGAGAGACGAATTATGGGAAGTCCAGGAGCATGTCCATGGGCGACCTCACTAAGCTTAGAATGTCCACTATCTCGGGCTCCGCTACTGAAGACCGAGAAGCGTCCGGAAGCAGTACACGCGTGAAGAAGAAAGCGCGAAGTCGCGCTAACAGCGACGACGAGGTGTGTTTTTTAAAGTTCTTCAACACGTTTATCTCCCCTTAACGGCTAACACTGGCTGAATTTTTCTTCTCTAGGAAGAGTCGTTCTCGCGACCGACCCTCATGGAAACGGAACCGTCTCATTCGCATCATTCCCAGCCTGGCCTGCATAGCTCCAAGTTTACATCCGCGCCCACCGGGTCAATACCACATTCACAATCCCGGTCGCAATACTCGTTTCATGGGCATCAACGTTCGCGCACGCACGCGGCAGCTACTCCTAGCGCTACTGGCGATCAACAGATGAATAATATGGCTGCGCTGGCAGCGATGGAAGAGTTATACGAGCTTGAGCGCTCCGAAGCTGCTCGTCGAGCCGAGTTCGAAGCAAGGAGATTCGAAGCAATTCGTCGGGCGGAAGTCGGGTTGGGTGTCAGCATGAACTTCGTCGCAAACCCGACGCAAGCACTGCAACGTCCGCAAACCGTAGGCCAACAACACCAGCAGCAACGTCGGCATCACTCAGCTGTCAATCACCATCATGCATCTCATCCGTATGCGCATGCGCAGCAGCAGCGTCGTGTATTTGATCTTGAATGCGACGTGGAAGATTCCCCATCACCAAATTCCACCGGTAGCGATTCTCCCGCACTTCCACAGAATGCTGTGTCGACGCAGCCTATGCCATCACCTGAGGCCCCGTTTCCAGTATATTCGTCTGATTCGCATACGCGCTTTGTGCAGGAGAGAAATTTAGAACGCGAGAGGCAGAGAGGCGTTACTTCGTATACGCCGTCAACCTCGCCGTTTCTTGGCGGGATCAGACAACTCGGAATACACAGTACTGAGCCGAGTCGTGCGCCATCGCCCGTATCTCTCCCTCCTCCACACCTCGTGTATACTGGCGCAACTACGAGCTCGAGACAAACGAGTCCGGTCTTGCACCAGGCGCATCTTCAGACCCAGACGTATGGACAGTCTCACACCCACCAGCCTCGTCATGAGGTACAGCGTCCGTACGCTCAGTTACAAGGGCATCCACGCGGTCATAAACGCCGCTCCATTGGCGCAGGGGAAATCATTTCCGCGGGTTCGAGTTCCGCGCCGCTCTCAGAGTCTCCGATGCTCAGCGCGAGTCCACCCCGATCAGCTTTGCCCAGTTATCCGTTTTCTTGTGATCGCACTCTACCAAGGACTTCTGGCTCAGGCATTAGCTCTGGCACGCCTAGTGCAGGTGGCCTGGTTGCTGGCTCCGCTGTGGGGACACCTGCTTTGAGTATGGGCAGTGCGCCATCAAGTACAGGTAGCTCACCAGGAAACCAGCATTTCTCCCTACTCGCAAGTCAACCACCGCCAATAATGGGTCCGCCCCTGCACATACCGACGTCTGCCACGCGCTCCAATGTAAGTTCGCGTGCTCCTTCACCAACGAATCTGCAATCCGATGTGCTCCCGCAGCAGAATCATCACCATCTCGCAACGTCTTTACGCCTTGCGTTCGGGATGACACCTATTCGTCCCATGGAGAGTCACCAGCGCGGTGAGCGAATTCCGCCCGCACATACTGGCCTGCCGCCTCCAGGTTCCACACTATCTGCGGGTGCACGCAGTACTAGTGCGTCTGAACTTCATTCACTGGCGACATTCTCCACGTCGCACTTGGGTCATGTACTCCCACCGCCGCACTCTTTGCCCGCATCGCGCGCTCCATCCCCGCCTATAACTCTGCCACCGTTGATACTTCCAGACCGAAGTCGGGAGAACCGCCGGCAGTTGGATCGCTCAGGGTCATCTTCTCCTGCTTCCCGCAGGGACAATCTGACGGACGATGCAATGGATGGCATAGACGAAGATGACGCCGCACGGAACCGTGAAAATGAGAAGGGCAAGGTCGTGCTGCCACATTTCAGCGAAATTGATCCCACTTCGTCTCATGGACACGTCTATGGAGGTTTGGCGCGTAGTATGAGTGGTATGGCACTCGAAGTCGATGGTACTCCCAGTGTTTTCGCGCGCGAAGCATAGGATATGGAACACTGCATTTAGAGGCAATTCGCAGGCGCTTTGCCACTCCGCAGTTATGCTGCTTGCTTATAATCATTTTTGTCATTCTTTTCGCTTTGTTGTCGACGGCACAGTGACTTTGAATTTGGACAGTTGACGTACTTATTCACAATAATGCCGTACAGTGTGGTCTTTTACTACCTACTTGTTTTTCCCTTCTTTCCTTCTTCGGTCAAATAGCCAGATTAAGTACACATGTCCCATGCATTACTTACTACTCAACCAGCATTCTATAGAGGTTTTTTTGTTCTAGTTTAGCCATGTCTTGTATGATTTCGTTAACACAGTAACAGCCCCCTCAGTGTTTTTCTGCCTTACTTCTTCATTTTCCCTTACTTATTTCCCGCCACCGAGAATAGTTGCTGCTCCACCAGCTTCGCCTACTTAAGCTTATTGCCCCGCCTCTCCGTACCCTTTCTTTTGTTTTGACGGTAGCTTGTTGATTGAATACGACGCGAATGACAGACTTGGAGGTGTATACATGACTTTTAATGACAGTTTGTAACAGTGTTCATGCCATCCAGATGAACTCTAAAAAATTCAAGGTGTAAGTCCCATACAAGCACATGCTTGACGGAACTCCAATTTAGAGATCAGAGATAGAGTGCAGAGAAACCCAGGTGCAGTAGAATATATATATATATATAATAGGTATCTCTTGCTTGGTATGCTATGTTATGGTTTGGTATGGTTTGGTTTGGTATGGTATGGTATGGTATTGTTTACACAATCTTTATCATCCATTATATTATTATATTTCTCCACCCCGAACGAAAGGTCTAAGTAGAAAGTAGTAATAGTATAGGTACAGGATTTGTATGTAATGTGTGAGTCGATAGACAGGAAATTGGAATGTGGAGGGACAATGCTGATAGACCGAAAGGAAGAAGAAAAAACAAGTGATAAAACAAACAAAGGATAAGTGAAAGTGACCGTACAGCAGAAATCAGGAGAGGGAGGGAGAGAAGGAGGAGGAGGAAAGTATCTGTCTCGGGTTGGATGTAGATGTGGATGCAAAGGTGGTGGATGGTGGATGGTGGAAGGTGTGTGTTTGGGTGGAAAGTGCGTTGTTGTTGGGAACAAAGCGGGAAAAGTGAGAAAAAGAGGGAGACAGTACATTGTTCGCTCGTTATTGCGACATCCTTACATTGCTGCTGGGATGTGTACTCAAATCGGATGTACGAATGAATGAGTCTGAGTAAGTGCGCAAGGAGATGCGGGTACGCGGGGTTTGTGTCCGTGCGTTTGGAGGGTGAGTTACTGGTAAAGGAAGGGGTGCGGTAGTAGGCAATGAAGATGTAGGTATTAATGTTCGTGTAGGTAGAGGAGGTAAATCTGCAAGGGGTTGAGAAGATAATGAAGTCGTTACTGAGTTAAGTCTTTGTAATTGAACGGGTGATGGGGACGGGACAGGAAGCGGAAGTGGAGGAGGTGTACTGCGAAAAGGAGAAGCAGGAGGCGAAGAAGCAGTTCGTGGACGCGACCGCGACCGTGATCGCGCAACTGCTCTTCGCGGACGCGCGTGCCAGTGTCTTCGACGATGCTTTGTTGATTTCTGAAGATGTGGATGATAAGGGTGTTTATGATATTGATATTGATATCGGTGTTGGTGGTGTGTTGAAGAGGAAGTTGTAGTAAGTCGAGCACTACTACTAGCAGTCTCATGCGTTGCAGGTGAGTCGGGCTCGGAATGCTCGGGGAAAAGCGATGGTGGAGGTTCGAGGTCGAGTGTCAGGCGTAAGGGGTGTACGTCGGTATTCTTGTCCGTTGTCATGTCCTTCTCGTCCATGTCGACATGTGTAATGCCCGACGCAGACTCGGTGATGTCCCACTCGAGAACCGATTTGTCGTCCTCATCCTCGTCGTTGCTATTAGTATTATGATTATTTATATCACCGGTACCTTCCTTTCGCCTAGAACGTGTATTCACGGTCGTACTCTCACGCGATGCTTTACGATTCGGTGCCTTTCCAAGGTCAACAACAAGTCGAGTCTGCGCAGCCCTCTCCACAGTACGCGAGTGCGGTTGCGAAGCTTGCCGAGCTAAAGACTGACCAAGCCCAAGCTCTGGGTCCGCGACGAACGACACCGGGAAGTTCAACGGCGGTAATTCTTGTGGGTCCGCGAACAATGCACCGTCCTTATTATTCTCCCACGCACCATGCCAATATGGATCCCGCGAGGCACCGCCAGTAACCCAGAACAGAACTAGAGCGTTGACCATCACGTCCGCTGCACACGAGCTGAGACAGACCCAGCCGAGCTGTTTACCATGCAGAAGTGAGAGCACGAGCATATTGACACATGATGTGGTGAGTGCGATCAAAGCTGCTAGTCCGGTGCGACGCGCAAGTCGACGTAGTCGCTCGCTGATTGATTGTTCGCGGTACAGGAACCAGACGAACATGCCAGTGAGCAACTATAGAAGTGACAATTTGATTAATCCAATCCAGCCATATGAATGAGTAAATGAATGAATGAATGAACTGAGGGCCGAACGCGAAGAGAGCCGACGTACAATATTGATGATCAGGTCATACGTGAGTAGCGGAATCGTTCTATAAATGCACATATGAAATTAAGAAAGAAAGAAAAAAAACCGAAATCAGTGATCAGAAGGGCTTTTAAATCGTTTAATTAAGTGCAGGAGAATAGAACATACGCGAAGCTGTGCAGACCAATGATGCAAACGCCGTCGTCGCGGATGTCTGCGTACCGACCGAGGATCATAACGATGACGATCCCCAGGTACCCGAACACGACGACAGCGCAGCCCTTGTAGACCTTGGACTCCATGCGAGTGACAGACTTCCCGGCGGAAGCGACGACCCACACTCTGTTAGTTGGATTGCCAATTTGTGTCTGTATGTTAGATCACCTCGGAGATAGACACCGAATTAGAAACATACCGCTCAACTAGAAAGAGGTATATGAGACCCTATATGAGAGCTAAATGTTAGCACTAAGAACGGCGACATGAAAAGAAGACCGGCCAACACCGGCGACGCGCGGGATAGGAAGAAGGATAAAGAGACAGGGCGCCATTGGACAATTGAGAGTGTAGTACAGACCTTGCTACCCGCGTAGAAGAATATGCACAGGAAAATGCCGAGGGAGCATACTGGCACAGACAGTGACAGTCCGACACCATTGACAAGAACGCCGGCTAGAAGGCACCGATTAGCTCTTGACAAGGTACAGAAGACGCAGAGGCTAAAATTGACAGGCGACATACAGACTGCAAGGAAAAACCACCTAAGCGGCAAATAGAAGAGCCCGTTAGTGTGTACGTTATGACAGAAAACATGGAAAGGGACGAACGAATCGAAGAAGATGAGAATGATCAGGAGACGCGCCCATGATAGATTCGACCACCACAACCAGGACGTAAAGCGGTCATTCTCCGTCCGACGCGCGAAACAGTATGCGAGTATTGAGACACCTAAACACAACAGCGCACTCAATCAGCAAGCAATGCCTTGTCTCAGGACAACGTCCTCCTAGGAGCGTGAAACTGACCAAACATGTGAATGCAATTGCTCAGGATTTGATGGCCATGGGTAGGAAATATTATATATGGCCCAGTCCCGGATTGGTCAGTGTAAACGTCATGGGCAAGGACGACCATGGTCCTGTCCGACGTTCAGCAGCGTCAAAATCGCAGGCGCGAGCAGGCTGCACGGCGCGGGGCCGACTCTGAGCGTTCAGCAGGGGAGGAGGATGGGGAAGACGGGGACAGAGAGAGGACTGCGTGGAGGAGGAGTGAGGCGGGGTACGGCAAGGCATTATAGGATGGATAATTAAATTGGATTAGGAGTAGCACACGCTGTCAATCCATATTTGGTCTTATTTCGCAAACTATCTTTCCGCTAGGGTTGTTCTTCCGGTCCTTGCTTTTCCTCATATATCAAGGCGTTTTCAAACTCCACATTCGTCCAATGAACAAGACCAGTCTATTCCCTACTCTATCCTTCCTGTCCCCGAGGCAGGTCGGACCCAGTCTGCGACGAGGAACATGATGAGCAGCATGTACGCCCACACGCGCCTGAATGATCAACATTGCTCGCTCAATATGGTCACCGGCTTCGGCATGACAGGCATCCTCGGCTTCTCCCGCTGTCCAGTCTTCAGTCTCTAGACCTCTCTTTATCCGCTTCCAATTCACGACATAAACACATTCTAACCCGTTGCTAATGTCATCATTCCCTTCCCAGATACGCCGATTAAGGCATACAATATAATTTGTAAGGTAGGGAAAGTATAAACTCAACCGACCTCATGTAACCTTAATTGCCTTTTTTGGCCTCACACTTAGACAACGAAATACTATCTTCCACACAGCACAAATTAAAAATGTAATTCCATCAAAATATTTGTATTTAAAGTAGCTACAAATTGATGGTTTTATTTTTCAAAAATATTAGAAAATGCCTGACTTATTTCCAAAAGAAGCTTTTTTTGACTTAAACACTCTAGAATGTCCTTAGCAACATTCTGGCGAGAAAATAACTTTTTTTGAGTTTTTAGGTTTTTGATTTTTGCCACCTCGGGTAACCATAATATTACAAATAATCGCCTTATTTGGTATATACATAATCATTAGTCATCATTACAGCATCTATATCCACATGACTTCTGTACACTACTAATGCAACTCAGTCAATAATGCCCTGCCAAAAGAAAGTAATACAAGCTAGAACACAAAACCTGTACAGTAAAGGAGGAGCTGTATCATTTGACTTGTTCAGAAAGTAAGTATCTTTTTCAAATATTTATGTATGTAGTTTTATTGAATTTCTTTCATAGGTTTGCAAACCGGTCAGCTAGATTCATGGATGCATACCAGAAAGGCTTGACTGGCAAACAAGCTCAATGGGCAAACCGGAAATACCATAGTCATAGAGTACTTCCTGATAATATTTTGGCTGACTTATAAGTGTAAATACACAATGTACTTTCTACTTGACATATTTAAAAGCTTTTACAATTTTCTTGAGACTGAGACGAAAAATCATAAATGACGAACTAGACGTTGCCGCGAACTTGGGATGACTGGCGTTAGTCTGTTTGTGAATTAGTTTTGAATTATTTTGACTCGTTAACGGGCAGTATGCATGTAAGGTAGGGAAAGTATAAACTCGACAAACCCAAGGTATCACGTGCACAACCCTGAATACACAGCCACTTACTCCATTAGGAAGGACCCTAGCGGCAAAAATCGTGGTGAAGATGTCTCTTCTAGCCCATATACAAATCCCAGTGCAGCTTTGGCAGCTGCACGCCGTCGCGTTCTCATGTCCGGAATGCGGGAAATCTCGTCCTTCATGGCATCCAGCGCACCAAGGATACCTGTGAGGTCGAACGCAGGTTCATCCATGTCTAGCTCAGGTCCGGACCTCCCTGTACCCGTGTGAGGATCTCCCGCCGATTCAGGAGGTGCAGGCCGACTCTCTTCGCTAGGTGTTGCAGAGTCTGACAGGACGGCAAAAGCATCCGGACGGGCTGCATGCGCGGGGAGCGGACCAAATATTCGAGTTGCAGCGGCATGTATGTCATCCGTGCTAGGCAATTCCGAATCGAGATCCTCATTCAAACTGCTCTCCGTATTTTGTATTTCCCGGGAAGACGTAGTCGGCGCGGATTGGAATTCCGTAAAGTCATCATCAAATCCTTCGGCGTCTGTGGGTCCTTGCCGCGATGTTGAGTCCGCAGTGGACCATGCTTCGTCCAATTTTCCAGTCGGTTGTGCATTTGTATCATCATGTCCATCCTCAGGCAGCTGTCTGTAATTTTCATCGTCTTCTTCAAGCCATCTTTCCAGCATTTCCATTTCCCGTTGCATGTTTGTTTTACCGTCATTACCGGCCGCGTTCACGAGCGTTTCGTAATCAATATCGGTCTCATCAGTGTCTTCTCCCGTAGCGATTGAGGGCTCAGGACGTGATGTAAGTTTCGGACCTGTCGTCTCTGTTCGGACCATACTTGGCCACATTATCGTACTCAATGCATCGATAGCACGGTGAATCCCAGGAGTTCCTGCAACATGGCCATTAATGAATTAATTGCGATTCCATGACATAACTGTATGTCAAAATGCATACCTGCTGATGTAGCCAGACCAGCAGATTCGTCCGGAGTCTGTGTATGGCCTTCGACGTATTCAAAACCATGCTCAAAGAAGAAATCTTCAAGCTCTTCATCTGTAGTCGGCGCTGTACTGATAGCCAACGAAACCTCAGGACTATACGAGGATGTATGCTCTGCAACTTGCTTCATATGTGCTTTGAACGGCTGAGAGTGAAATAAGGACACAATCTGAATGAAACGATGCAGCAGAGCTCACTTCATTTTCTCCCCATGCATATATGATCGCCGGGACATCGTCAAGTTCAATAAATTCCAAGCCTTCGAGATGGATAGGGTGGAAATGAACCGGAGCAGTGTAGTATTTATTCGTGATTGTCCAATGGATCACTTCTGAGGATGGTTGGGCGTCGGTGGTGTCGCCAGAATATGTTTTGATGCCTAGCAGTCATTGAGCTGAATTGAATTCTCTACGCTGAGTTGCTGCAGCACTAACGCAGAGGACATACGGTTCGCGACCTCCCGCGACTTATCGACTGATGATGACACGACAACGATGCGACATGACGCTGAGGAAACGTCTGCATCCATGTTTGAGTGCAGTGCCTGTGGGTGGTCAACGCAGAGCATCAGATGCAGTGAAGATGATGAGCTAGCTGGTCACGATGCATGCCACAGGCGTCACAGACGAGTATGACGCCAATCTCTCTATTTTCTAATTTTTCACGTCTCCTTGCTTTCAGACGCCGTCCACTGTGCTCTGCGACATTGCCCTCGCCATCCGAAACAGTCCTGAATCCTGAATCTCTGCAGAAAACCCGTGCTCTTCGGTGTCCTTGCTTCATTGACACCCACCGTTGACTTGACGCGTCCAAACGCGTCGCCGACTTGACCTTCCTGATTCTGAGTACCGCCTTCCGCAAACGGGATGCCTCCGCCCGCTCCTCCTGGCATGTCTTCTTTCCAAGCGACGTTGACTTCCTCAAACATGTCGGCTCTTACTGACGCCCAGCTGCGAGCCGCAGTCAGTTCGTTGTCTAGTGCCGCTGCGGCGACATCATATTCGGGCGCAAAAGGTATGTGTAACGTGCCTGTTCTTTGTTCGACACCGGTCCAATAACCCTCATTAGGCGGTTTATTTGAACCAAAACAATACACCGTGCCTACGTTTGATTCTAAGAGATGGCAAGGAAGTGCGACGCCGACGGGTAAAACTGCCCCGCCGCGTCAGCGTAAAGTGGCTAGGGGGACGCCAACAGCTTCAACACCAGCACCAACAACCAGTTATGCGCAAACGCAACAAGCAGTACCGCGTCCCGCTCCAGCAACGTTACAACCCCCTGCACCGCAAGTCGCACGATCACCGTTACCAACTACGCCGCAAGCTCTGACAACGACGTATGCGTCGCGGCTACGAACAGGCGCGACTCTCCTTATGCAGCCCATCCTGGCGTCTACGTCAAATTCAACTTTAGGCGCTGGTCGAACAGGAACACGGCGCGGCGGTGTCATCAACTATGCCGAACCTGACTCGGGTGATGAAGTGGTTGAGCCAGACGCTGGGGAGAAGGACCGGGACTCTGAGGATTCAGACTTCATTGCAAGTGGTGGCTTGCGCACGTCCGTACGCGCTACACGCAGGATAGGTCCGAATGGATTTTATCAGTACTCTTTCTCGGGGAGTCCTGCTCCACAGGCTGGGCAAGGGAGGCTGGAACTTGATCAGAGTTACCTGGGGATGGAACCTCCTTCAAAATTCATAAAACCGAAGAGGGCCGAGCCGACGCGCCATGAATATCCGTAAGTCAAACTCTGCATCGTTATCGTCATCCCGTAATTCAGTACTAAAGTATTTTAATAGCTCTCAAGAAGCGTTAGAAAACCAGGCTTTGAAACCAGTCGCTCTTGTACCAGTTCGTGTCGAGTTTGAAACAGACACGCATCGGATACGGGATTGCTTCATGTGGGACCTCAATGATGATCTTATCAAACCGGAATCATTTGCGCGAATATTCTGTCAAGACCTTGACTTGCCGACTTCTTCATGGGTAGAAACGATATCAAACCAAATTCGAGCTCAGGTAGAAGAATATGAGGGATTAGCGACGATGGACCTTGGTTCAAGTGCCTATGGCTATGAGGAAGTGAATTCGGAAGAGGCGATGGATGTGGATGTACCGGAATGCCGAGTTATTCTGAGTGTACGTTCACTAGTTCGTCTTTGCCTCTCTCCATTCTTGTTTTAATTTGAGGAACAGATTGATGTACAAATCGCTACCTACCACCTTATGGACCACATTGAGTGGGACCTATTATCTCCTCTAACACCCGAGGCCTTTGCACAACAACTATGTGCAGATATAGGTCTCTCAGGCGAGGGCATACCAATAATCGCTCACGCCCTACACGAAGAAATCCTCAAACACAAAAAGGACGCTATCGAATGGGGTGTCATCGGCGGAGAAACTACTTCTCGGGATGTCCAAGATGACACTCCCACAGATAAAGATAAAAAAGAAAAAAGCTCCTTGAAAGACAAGACAGGACTGGGATTAGGTCCAGGAGCTTGGAGTCGGCCACCGCGAGATGGGTTGGGGCGAGGTCCGCGTGCATTGAAAAGTGTTTGGAAAGATTGGAACGAAGCAGAGGAATATGCGAGTCGGTTTGAGGTACTTACGGCAGAGGAAGTTGAGAGGAGGGAGATTGAACGTGAGAGGGCCAGTCGGTACGTTCTTTTACTTTTTTTTTCCTTGTTAAATTGAAATTACTCACTAAGACGGTATTACTCATTATTCACGCCTTGCTTTGCTCTGGCATGTGGAATATAGACGACTTCGGAGGGAAACGTCCAAGTTTCAGTTCAGCTCGCGAAGACGGAGATAGGCCTGTCGATTGCGCTAATGGCGTTGATTTTGTTATTCGTTATTCATCCATTTTTGATATTTATCGGTATTCTTTTGACATTCTTGTCTCTTTGTTGAGATAATACACTTTTTTTGAGACTAGTTACTCTCGTGCCAGCGCGCGTCGAGTTTGAAATGGATACACATATTAGACACGGGATTGCTTCATGTGGGACTTTAATCCGCCCTGATCTTATCAAACCGGAATCATTTGCTCGAATATTCTGTCAAGAGTCAAGACTTTGATTGACCGACTTCCTCATGGGTAGAAACGATAGCAAATTAAAGTCGAGCCGAGCTGGAAGAATATGAGGGATTAGCGACTATGGGCCTTGGTTCGAGTGCGCATGGCTATGAAGAAGTGAACTTGGAAGAAACGATGGATGTGGATGCACCGGAATGCCGAGTTATTCTAAGTGTACGTGTACTTCTTCGCCTTTCGCTAATCATTCTTGTTTTAAATTGAGAAACAGATTGATGTGCACATCGCTACCTCCACCTTATGTAGGTCTCTCGACGAGGGCACACCAACAATCGCGTATGCTCTACACGAAAAATACTCAAACACAAAAACGACACCATAGAATGAGGTGTCATCAGTGGGGAAATTACTTTGCAACAGACACAACTAGGGGCAAAGACAAGAGGGTAAAGAGTTCTTTGAAGGACAAGACAGGTCTTGGACTGGTCCAGGAGCTTGGGGTCCGCCTCCACAATATGGGTGGGGGCGAGGTCCGCGTGCTCTGAAAAGTGTATGGAAAGATTGGAACGATGCAGAGGAATATGCGAGTCGGTTTGAGGTACTTACGGCAGAGGAAGTTGAGAGGAGGGAAATTGAACGTGAGAGAGCTAGTCGGTGCGTTCTTTTACTTTTTTTTCCTTGTTAAATTGAAATTACTCACTAAGACATTATTACACATTATTCACGCCTTGCTTTGCTCTGGCATGTGAAATATAGACGACTACGGAGTGAAACATCCAAGTTTCAGTTCAGTTCGCGAAGACGGAGATAGGCCTGTCGATGGCACTGATGGCGTTGATTTTGTTATTCGATTTATATTTATCGGTATTTTTTGGCACTCTTGTCTCCTTGTTGAGATAATACATCTACACCGTTTTGCGGCGCCACAGGAGCCACTAACTGTCTTCCTGGATGATAAGGATGAAACGCCTCCGCCATGTGCGAACCCACAAATCGCACCAAGTCACATCCGTGTCCGAGTCTTGCAAACTTATCCACAGTTCCCATCTCTGTCCGTGTCTTCTAGCGACTTTTTTCGTCTCAAATTGTCGAAGTGTTTGCTCAAAATAGAATTTACCGCTTTGAACGGCCATTTCTTAACTGTTTAGACGAATAGGACGAGCGCATTTTGGACTTCCGTGTTGCCAAGGCCTAGTCAGCATTGTTTCGACTTCTCTAATCTTCCATTCAAATATCTCGAGTTTGAGAAAATACGGTGCGTCGGTCAGCACGAGATAATAATTCGTGCTCACGAATTGGTCTGTTAACAGACAAGTTATTACCTGAATAGCATTGTTGTTTGAATGTTTCGACCTCTCTAATCTTCCATTTAGATTTCCCGATGTTGAGAAAATACGATGTGTCGGTATGATACAGATCCGTGCTCACGAAGTGGTTTGTTAAGAGACAAGTCCTTGCCCGAATGACATCGTCTCGAGCTCTCTAATCTTCCATACAGATATCCGGCCCCTGAGAAAATACGACGTATTGCACGCTAGAACATCGCAAACTTGGCAGGCGTGCCGTTTTACTATGGAAATACTAATTTGTGCTCACGAAGTGGTTTATTGTACGGACAAGGTCTTGCCCGAGTGCCCGAGTAAAGTGGTATAAATCGAAGGTGAATTCATGAAGCAAAGAGGACAAAAAACTGATACTCGCAGAGATGGTTCAGCAACCTACACAACTCGTTCTTCCAGACCTCTTCTCCTTATGTCCTTTTCCATGGAGTGGACCTAATCCACACTACTCTCCCTCCAACAGACAAACGACCGAATGGGTACTTAACTCTGGTGTCTTCGCAGACGATGCTGGTATTCGAGCACGTTTGGACGCTACGATGCCTGAGATGATTGGAGCGTATACTTTTCCTTATGCTGATGGAGACAACCTACGGATCGTCAATGATTTCATTATGATACTATTTGTGTGGGACGAGATGACGGATGTACAGGATGAGAATGGTGCTAGCGAGACTCGTAATGCTGTGGTTAGGGCCTTGACTGGCCAATCTGGCGATGGTTCTCCACTGGACCGTATTACAAGAGAGTACGTTGTCATTATCTTAATTCTTATTGCAATCGGACTTGTCCTGAATGTTTAATAATTCTTTGTAGCTTCATGAGTCGGGTACCCTTCCCTTCTGACGCAGTCCGTAAACGATTCATATCCCATTGCATTGAATACATGGACGCAACGATAGAGGAAGCATCTCTTCGTGAGGAAGGTGGTGTGCTCAGCATAGAAGAATACCTCACTTTCCGACGCAACTCTGGGGCCGTTCGTCCTTGTTTTGACCTTATTGAGGTCGTCTTGGGTATTACTCTGCCACGGGAGGTACTGGAAGACCCGAACTTTGTACGGGCTTGGGATGCAGCGAATGATATGGTTACCTGGTCAAACGCATGTCTTCTCTCCTTCTCATTTACATATCATAGGGAAAGTGTTGCTAATAATGAGACCCGCATAGGACATTTATTCATTCGCACTGGAATATGCACGCGGAATCGAAGGGTATAATGTAATTAACATCATAATGCAAGGCAACAGCGACAAATTCCTCAACATCCAAGAGGCTATGGACCGAGTTGCAATATACTTCAAGCAGTTTGGGGAGACATTTTTCATCTGCACGGAGGGACTTCTCCGTACTCATTCTTCGTCTTCGTCTATTGGTTCCGAGAAGATCGATGAAGCTGTCCGCGCATATATGTTTGGATTGGAACAGTGGGTGTATGGGAACCTTTCATGGAGTTTTGATACGAAAAGATACTTTGGTGGGTTGAATGAAGAGGTGAAGAGGACCGGTGTCGTGAAGCTACTTCAGCATAATTCTGTGGCATGAATTGTTAGTCTAGGTTTTTTTTGGTATTGTAACACAATTGAAAATAATTTATCGTACCTTGAGGAGCTGAAAACAAGAGTGCAAATGATGTCCTGTAAGAGTTATAATTCACAGCACATAGGCCTTGCCCAATAGGGCATGCATGATACTAGCCTAGTAAAGGAAGGTTCAGCGCAAGTTGGACGGAATGACATCATATCCAATTCTAAAAATACTTGCTTCCTCACGAGGTGCAAGTCGGGACGAACGGACCGTCGAACCTGTCTCCAGAAATACACAGATTCGAGAGCGATTCAATTATGGTTCTACTACCACTACCTTGGATGCATATTACAAAGGGTGGTGCAATGCAAGGCACCTTTACGGACGATCGCTGGTTACCACCATCTCCAGTTTACATATCAAAACAGTGAAGCCTGACAATGTCTGCTCCTCCACAGACGTACGTTACTCTTAACAATGGTGTCAAGATGCCTGCAATCGGTGCGTTTGATTACATACATATCAACATATCATTAAATATCAAAGATAATTATATTATAACGATTGATTAGGATTGGGATGTTGGTCTGGTCTGACCGACGAACAGCATGAGGCGGCACGTCCTTGGATTCTCTCAGCTCTCAAAGTTGGTTATAGGCACCTTGATACTGCGCATGATTATGGTACAGAAGGTGCAGTTGGTAAGGCTGTCAGGGAGTCTGGTATTCCTCGAGAGGAGATCCATGTAACCACCAAACTGCCGTGAGTATGTCACTTGGACGCAGTCTTATTTGATTCTCATATTGTTGTGATACATATAGTCTCCATCACCATGCGAGGGTTGCCGATTCTATCGAGCAGTCGCTCACAAATGCGGGGTTTGATTATTACGACCTTGTGAGATACACCTCTTTCTTTGTATTTATTTAAAAAATAAAATCAACCGATATCTGATATAGTGGTTGATGCACTGGCCCCAAGCGATGGCAAACATCGATGACAAGCCAAACCCTCGTTACCCTGGTCCGAATGGAGAGCCTGACAATGGTGACTTCATCATGGATGACAAGACTAGTTTCAACCAGACGTGGACCGATATGGAGAAGATATACCAGTCGGGGAAAGTGAAAGCTATCGGTGTCAGTAATTTCAGTGTGAAAAAGTGCGTTGTTTTTCACGCTATTCCAATTGGACTTAAACATATGAATGAATGATGGACTTATAGTTTAAAGAAGCTTCTGCAAACTGCAAAGATCATCCCAGCGGTAAACCAGGTTGAGATGCATCCTCATCAAACGCAACCTGAATTACTGGAGTTTTGCCGGGAGAAAGGGATTATCCTGACCGCCTATCGCCCGACTGGTTTCCCAAAGGTTGCGGATGATCCGACAATGATTAAGCTCGCCGAAAATTACAAAGTCTCCCCAACGCAGATTAATTTGGCATGGGACCTTGCAAGAGGAACAACTGCGATTCCTAAGAGTACTAACGAGGGAAGACAGAGGGCAAACTTACTGGTACGTCTCGTATTTGGGCAAAATAAATCTGGCGATTATTAAAAGCGGGTTACTTTAGGAACTTCCAACACTGTCAAAGGAGGATATTGAGCTGATCAACTCTCTGAACAAGAATGAACATTATTGCGGCTATCCTGAACCACGGGAACGAAATGGAGAGAAGCTGGTCTTTGGTTGGACATACACTCAGATGGGCTGGTGAATACAGAGACGGGAAGCATATATAAATAAAGGAATCAGTTGTACCCGTGACATGAGGTTGAGATATCGACTCGGATCCTCTTGTATGCGTTGCTTTGGAAGAAGGAGGAGTCAAATTGAATTGTTGTTGCGGAGTCTGAAAATCGACGCGTCCAGTGAAATTCCACGCGTGCTTGACGATTTTCACGTCGCTACCGTTCACTTCATCGCTCGATGTTATGCCGAAAATCTCGGCCAGCAACGACTTGATATCATATTATACAAATAACGGCCGTCGCTCATGCATACTTTACGCTTCCTACGATGCAAAACCTTTGCGCCAAATGAGAATGGACCGAATATCCATCTCGTTCGTTGGTTAACTAAAGGTATGGAGTTTAATCATAGTTTTCAGGAACTGATTCTCGAATTACTTTTTTTCCTCCTTCGTATTTGCATAGCAAAGAACGGCGTTGTTAATGACGAGCTCTTAATAGGACATCTACTCATTTGCACTAGAACATGCACGGGGTATTGAAGGGTACAATGTGATCAACATCATAATGCAAAGCAACAACAACAAATCCCTCACTATCCAAGAGGCTATGGACCAGGTTGCACTATACTTGAAGCAATTTGGGGAGACATTCTTTGCCTATACAGGGGAATTTCTCTGTACACATTCTTCGTCTTCGTCTTTCGATTCTAAGAACGGTGAAGCCGTCCGTGCATATTTGTTTGGATTGGAACAGTGGGTGTAAGGAGATTTGTTATGGAGTTTTGATGCAAAGAGGTATTTTGGCGTGTTGCATGAGGAGGTGAAGAGGACTGGGGTCGTGAAGCTGCTTCAGTGTAATTCTGTGGCATAAAACTATTCATACAGAATGTGATCATAGAATTTAAAAAAAGATACTGAGCATATATATTAGTAATTGTAGGGTAATTTGTTATTGGTTTATGATATACCCAACAAGGTACAGATTCTAGTTTAGTACAGTACAGTGTACACAATGAAGCTTCTCGTGCAGATTGGACGGAATGACATCATGCTTAGTTCTAAGAATAGTAGTATAAGTTCGCTTACCCGATTGGTGCGGGCCGGGACCAACGGGCCGTCGATCGAAATCTTGTCCGCTGCCAGAAATACTTACGCAGGTTCGAGAGCAACTCAATTATGGCTCTACTATACTTCCTTCGGTGTAATTACAAAGGAGAGTGCAACGCAAGGCACCTTCACAGACAGTTACAAGTTACCATCACCTCTAGTCTACATATCAAACAGTGATTCGTGAAGCTTGGCAATGTCTGCCCCTCCTCAGACGTACGTTACTCTTAACAATGGCGTCAAGATGCCTGCTATCGGTGCGTTTCATTATATCCATACCATTGAATTATAAGGACCAATATATATTGTTATAATGATAAGGACTGGGATGTTGGTCCGGTTTGACCGACGAACAGCACGAAGCAGCACGTCCTTGGGTTCTCTCAGCTCTCAGAGTTGGCTATAGGCACCTCGATGCTGCACATGATTATGGTACAGAAGGTGCAGTAGGTAAGGCTGTCAGGGAGTCTGGTATTCCTCGCGAGGAGATTCATGTAACCACCAAGCTGCCGTAAGTATTTCAATTCCCTTGGACACACTCTTATTCAATTCGCATCATGTTGTAATGCATATAGCCTCCATCACCATGCGAGAGTTCCCGATTCTATCGAGCAGTCGCTCGGGAATGCAGGGTTTGATTATTATGACCTTGTGAGATACACCTATTTCTTGTTTTAAACATTTGTTCACAAAATTTAATCGACTAATATCTGATACAGTGGTTGATGCACTGGCCTCAAGGAATGGCGAACATCGACGACAAACCGAACCCGCGTTACCCTGGTCCAAATGGAGAGCCCGATCAGGGGGATTTCATCATGGACGACAAGACGACCTTCAACCAGACGTGGGCCGACATGGAGAAGATATATGAGTCAGGGAAAGTGAAAGCTATCGGTGTCAGTAATTTCAGTGTGAAAAAGTGCGTTGCCTTTCACGCTCTTTCAATTGGACTTCAACATATGAATGATGGACGTATAGCTTGAAGAAGCTTCTGCAAACTGCAAAGATCATCCCAGCGGTAAACCAGGTTGAGATGCATCCTCACCAAACGCAACCTGAATTGCTGGAGTTTTGCCGGGAGAAAGGGATTATTCTGATCGCCTATTCCCCAACTGGTTACGCAAAGGTTGCAAATGATCCGACAATAATTAAGCTCGCCGAGAAGTATAAGGTCTCTACAGTGCAGATTAACTTGGCTTGGGATCTTGCAAGAGGAACAACTGCCATTCCCAAGAGTACTAATGAAGGCAGACAGCGGGCAAACTTACTGGTACGTCTTGGATTAAGGTATAATATTTCCAACGAGTATTGAAAAATGTATCGTCTCAGGAACTTCCGACACTATCTAAGGAGGACATTGAGCTAATCAGTTCTTTGAACAAGAACGAACATTACTGCGGTTATCCTGGTCCACGGGAAAGAAATGGAGAGAAGCTGGTCTTTGGTTGGACATACACTCAGATGGGCTGGTAGACACAGAAGCAAAGAGCAAGTTAATAAAGGGGAGGTTGTGCGTGTACATGACGTTGGGATAGTAGCTTGTGCCTATGCTTTAATCTGTCGCCTTGGAAGTAACATTAGATGTAACGTTGGTGCAGGAGGGAGAGGAATCAAATTGATTTGTTGCGGAGCTCGAAAATCGACGCGTCTTACGAGAAATTCCACACGTGCCTGACAACTTTCACGTTGCTACCGCTCACCCAATTGCTCGATGTTATGCTGAAAATTTTCTCGAGTCTCTGTCGACAACGTACATCACATTATCTCATACAAAATATCAGCCGCCGCTCACGTACACGTTATGTCTCCTACGATGCAAAATCCTTCGTACCAAATGAGAATGGACCGAATATCCAACTCGTTCGTTGGTTAACGAAAGGTATGTGGAATAATCTTTATATTCATGGAAAGTACTGATGTACTGTTGTGTCAGTAAGAAATGGAAAACGAGGGCATCCCAAACGTGGAGAATGGACCATATAAGGCTCGCGCATTTCAGCATGCCTTTAAGGCATTAGACGCACTACCTCAAGCCATTACTTCTGGCGAGGAAGCTTTAAAGGTGCGTTTACTAAAGCATGTCTCTCGTCAGATTTTTACTCAGTAAATTTCAGGTTGTTGGTGTCGGCAAAGGCATCGCGCGCAGAATAGATGTATATCTAAGTCAGGGTGCTGAGGTGCGTGTCCACCGTTATTTTGTCGTTCACGAGACAAGTGATAATGACGTTCTCAGGGATCTTCTCCAAAGCCAGCTGCTCCTCCAAAGAAAACACCTGAAGATATCGAGCGAGAAAGGACGCTCTTGGAGTTTCGACGTGTACCGGGGATCGGGTAATTCCTGAGTTTTCACCAGAAACATGGACATAATTTTTTTTCTAACTGCCTACTTTTAGACAGGTTAAAGCCAAGAGGCTTTATGACGCTGGCTGCCGCTCGCTTGATGACCTTCGAAATCCGGAGCACTTCAAGAGCTTGTCTGCTCCGATCCGAGCCGCTCTCGACTATGTTGACCATTTGAGCGAGAGGGTGACTCGAGCTGAAATTGAAACAGTCACGGTGCGCTCTTTGTCGTTTCTCAAAGCAGGGCCGTTTGCTTATATGTGTCATCGCCGTTCGTAGAACATTATCGGGCCTTTAATTTCTTCTGAAACTAGAATGCATGCAGTAGGTAGCTAGTGCGTATCTGAAGTACAATTTCTGTGTGCCATGCTTAATCCCTTGAACAGCCGACGTGGTCTACCATCATGCGGTGATGTCGATATAATTTTCTTCCATCCTTCATGTACCTACGTTCCTCGACCTGGAGAGAAAACGATGTCATGCGACTCGTCCTCCGCATCCTCCACAACCCCAGCGACTAAACGGCGCGGTCGGCCAGCAAAGCATGTCACGCCCTCACAAGTTAAACAAGATACACTTCTGCGAGAACTTGTTTTACGGCCCTTGGAACGTGCCGGTCTGCTTGCTGCGACCTTAACGGAGGGTTCTCGAAAATGGCAGGGTATTGTGCGTATTCCCTTAGAAACTGCTACTTCTCAACCGGCTTCCGGCAATGGAAGAGCGAATTGCATTTACCGTCGAATGGACTTGTCGTACGTACCAGTTCCATTATCTACATGTCCTACATATAATTTTTAATTTTTATTCCAGGTTATATCCAACTCTTTCCGAAGGCGCTGCTTTACTTGCCACTACAGGCGACGCAGATTTCAACGCTCACGTCCGCAGATGCGCGTCCAAGCAAGGTTTACTCCTGAACGAATTCGGGCTCTGGAAGTTCTGTCCTCAATCATCACCCGAAACTGAAACAGAAAATACATCATCTTCCAAAAATTCCGAAAACGTAACGGGATCGAATTCGGACGCCGAGGGTCGATGGGAACTCGTAGCGAGTAGTACGGAGAAAGAGATACTGGATGAACTCGGCGTGGAGTACGTCGGGCCTGAAAGGCGTAATTTTACTTTCGTGGTGAGCAAGTCGAAGCAGGGGTCAATGTTGAAGTTGCAGAGGGCGGTGGTTAAGGCTCGGAAAGCCAAGTTAAAATGAAAATTTCTTTATCTTAGGTAGAATACTAATGATGAGATCTAATTGATAATAATACTACTCTATGTATATGGATTGGACAAAGATTATTGAATTAATTAATACCAAATGCTTCTCGTCCTGTGAGCGGGAAGTATCTCCTGAGTGGTAACTCCTTCGATGACGTCCTGGCCGCGCTCGATACTCTTCGCAAGGTCCCATAGATAAAAATCGATCAACACGCTGCTCACTTCCTTACTCTCACCATCTCCCAGCGCAGTGGTATCCGAGGTAGAACGAAGTCGAAAAATCTCATCCCTCACAGCTTCAACAGCCAATATACTAGCAGCACGGATACTCAGTTCTTCCCTACTACCAGGTGGGAAGTTCACCTTTGCCTGGAGTTGTTGAATGAGTTCGGGTGGGTAGACGAGGATACCGAGGTGGTGTAAGATTTGTGGGACGCGGTAGTCTGCGAACATCGTGAGTTCGTGTACGCCGTTAGGGAAGAATGGGTGTGGTTGTGGTTGTAATTGCGAGTGTGGAGAAGAGAGTGGGTAGAAGGCTGCCCAGGTCTCTGCGACGAGGATTTGTGCGCGTTTCCAGAAATACACTTCGGTGATGTAAGAACAAGATAGGTGGTTAGTGAAAGTAGGACAGAGGAAGGTGGGACAGTAAGAATAGTATATGTACCTGTTCGACCATTGTACACTACTTCGTCACGGAAAGAAGGGAATGTCTCGGTGATCATTTGTACGAGCTGTAGAGCCGTCCCACGTCCCGACCCACCGTGTCGTCTCGCAAATTCATCCAAGAATCCTTGGAAGCTACCTCCAAATTGCTACATATACGAGAACCATTTCAGAGTGTTGTTTTGATATATCATATAAAGGGGACTAGTAGCGAACCTCGCATAAAATTGCCCCATTCTCGCGCATGACGGCAATCCGCTCCCTTAACAGAGGAATCCCCTCAGTACATTGTGGAGCTGGTAAGAATATAGATGCTATGAGGTTGTCTGGGCATCGTTCGATGGATGAATAGAAGAATGGGTCGGTTATTGGGATGTTGGCCTCCAAGGCTAATGAGTCATGCATCCAAGTATTAATATCGGAATATATTCATCAGTAGGAAGACTTTATGAATGCAGAAGAATTAACGAAGTGCAGCACACCTCGATCAATAGCAGCCACTAAACTCCAATAACCCGTCCAAATGCGTCTTTCCTCACTATCCCACCCAGCACGCCATTCTATACCAAACCGTTCACATACACCATTTTCATTGCCTTCCTTCTCAGACCAGAAGGAAAAGTTGAGCGAGGAGATGAGGAAGATCCAGTCTAGGACTTGACGCGTGCGAGGATCCGACGGGGAGAATGTTTCTGGTGGACAGAGGTGTAGTGCGTGCGTGCGCCAGGTTGACGGTGTGTATGTCTCTTCGGTGAGTTTATGGGAGACCTAGGTGACGCACGAAACACATTAGCAATAGCAGAAGAGAAAAACATAAGAGATTGGATACGTACGTATTTAGCAGCGTTCGAGATACCAGTATCGTCTAATTTCACGAGGTCTGTCTTCTATTTATAATTATTTTTCTGTCAGGACTGCGTTTTGTGAATGCGTGAAGAAATTACTCACTTCAAATGCGAACTTCGCACTCTCTACAACAGGGTTTTTTATCAGCTCACGAACGTCAACGAACTCCAACAGCTCCTTCTCGTTAATTAGTTCGTCTTCTACATTTTCTACGTTCGATGAAAACGTAGTCAAGTCAGACAGAATCATTTTTGGTCGGGTGTTGTGTTATTGTAGCACAAGGAAAAAAAAATAAGCTAGAGCCCAAGCAAGAGATATACGTAGCAGTAGACAGGAGAGATTAATCGATGAGATATGATAACAAGATACAGGAGATATGAAAAGCAAGAAGAAAGGAAGAGCGCGTATTAGGCGGATGACATGGAGGTTCGTGGCGTCGTCATTGTTAGAATGAAAATTTTTACCTTTTTGAGGAGACGGGCGCTTACGAATATCAATAACCTTTTAGCGTGGCGTCTCGACTCTTCTCCGAGATCTTGCCGAGATCACGTAACACTTCAGTCACGGGACCGTGTCGCTACATTAGAAGACCATTTGTTAAAGACAAAGCAAGTGCGAGCAGTGAACACGACTTTATGTATTTTTACGTCTCTAATATGATCGTGGCGATGGTTACGACAAATAAGATATGTAGACATAAGGAGGATCTGCGTATCGGCCAATCAAGCTATCTTCATTGTATGTTTATTCCACGATACTGTACCCATCTGTATGGGTACAACCGTAACGTGTAACGCAGGGGTGGTTTGGTTGCTAGCAGTAACGCGTAACGCATAGCAGTAGTTGCTTTCCCTTAAGGAGCGTTACATAGTTTTAAGCGAGCATTATATTATATAAGACAATTCAAAGTTTTGTTACTTTTGTATACTACAAGTGTTAGAAAATTTGAAAAACTTATTGGATTGTTACGATTGAATTTATATACTAATACTAATGTAGTATAGTAACTTCCGGCAACGTCCGTCTGGTTGTCTGTATTAGCAACTGTAACGCGTCCACATAGTTAGGTTTCCAATTTCCACCGGTAACGCACTCTGCCTGGTTGTACCCATACAGATGGGTACAGTAGTCGCATGAAAAAACATACGTAGCTCCCAGCACTTAGCCAAGCCAGAAAGATCATGCGTGGACCAACTGCATACGTTGGAGTAAATCTGCACTGTGTCCGAGATAGCCGTAACAGTGGTATACGTCCCGGCTGGATAAGACAAAATGAACTTATACCATGGGTACTATGGGTGCTGATCTCATGGTCTTTGTGAGCGTCCGTCGATACATGCGGTATCTTTGGGTTCAAATATGTAGCCGTTACGTTCCCCATAGTAGGAGAGCGTGTCCGCAAATAGGAAGGAATACTGGACGAAAGTATTTTTGGTTCGTGTTGTTCCATTTTCCGTGTGTCGGAAATGAGTCTCGAGAATGAGAATGAGGGTATAAGGCGGAAGTGATAAAATAGATGGAAGGTGACCGGAGAGCGTATAGCCGTTTGGTGAGCTTCTTGCTGGATTCGGAAGAAATTCATCCAAGATGTGCCACCCATGTGATGCACGATCATTCAGCTGATAGATGCAAGAGACCTCGATAGAGAATGGTTAACAAATGATAGATACGTGAGTGGAAGTCTAGTGTATACCAAACATTAATGAAATGATTGTGCTTGAATGGTTCGACTGGTGTTGATGGCCACGCACTATCGCTATCCCATCTGTCGATTTCACAAGAAGTGGATTCATCAATTGAACAGTTTTACTGCGTCGGAAACGCAATCGCAAGAACTGTTCGTGTTGTTTGTTCCGGAGTTTCACCTCGTTGATGTTCGTCCACTTCGAAATCCTCGAGTAAGCAAGGCTGACGGTTTACGGTATTTGCCGGACACGTCGAGTTGAGGGTCCTTTGGGACATATGCAGCGTAGTTTTTGTGTTGTTCTGCCACGTAAAGCTCGCTCGGGGGCAGTCGTCGCGAAAGGAGAGAAAAGGGCGCGAAAGGAATTTATTTTTGGGTATCTGAATAACGGGGGAGCGAAGAAAAGGTGATATTGATCATGAGAGCAGTAGCAGTCGCCCATCGCCCATCTCCATCTTTGGTCATCCAGTTCACGCGACGGGTCTCTTGGTCTCCTACCTCCACCATCTCCCTCTCTTCGTCTTCGTCTACCTCTTATCTCGTACCCAGGTCTGCGACGGTGTCTACGCGCAGTTCTGAGTGTCGAATGCAAACGACGAGTGAAAGGATCAAGCAGTAAAAAAGAAAAACGAAAATGATGGTGGATTTCGGACATCTGCCGCGTGAGCATCGCACTCGGCTTCTTCTTCCCGTCCGACCGTCTCTGACTGATCAATCCTCCTCTCCTCTCCTCTCCTTCCCTCTCCCTCCTTTCTCCCTCTCTCTCCTCTTGACCATGTCCCTTCATCGGTCACGACTGGTAGGCATCCTGCTCGCCATGTTACTAGCGGTGGCGTTCGCCCGGGCTAGCTCAATTGGTGCCCGCAGTCCGCAGGATCCAGACGACGATAATGACGGTGATGAATCCGGGTCTCTTCACTTCTACACCCCGACGCCATCTCTCGCGGCCGGCGCAGCCGCTCCTACTCAGACGGTAACGTTCACGCTCGGTGAGCTTCCTGATACAAGCGTGTGTGGCCAAAGCACCATTACCTGTGAGTTTGCAAAAATACAGTGCATCTATAATACATATACGACTCATTTGATGCAGGGAATTACGTCGGGCCTACATACTATGTGATGGCACTCTCCGTTATGCCCTACTTTGTGAAGGACTCTTCTGACGACATCCCCGTTGTGATTGGGACATTGAATGGTGGCCTTGGTATTGGGAAGTACACCTGGTCACCGGTTAACGTCTCCGAAGGACAATACAATTTAAATATCACCATCCCAAATCTTAGCATATCGTATATCTCGGAGCCATTCTACGTCGCGAATAGCTCTGATCACTCCTGCCTGGTCGGTTCCTCATCGACTACGCCTTCTCAACCATCTTCCACCGGGTCCCCATCAGCAAGTACATCTGCTGGTGATACTTCTGGCGGTGCAACAGATGCTCCCGTCATTGGTGCTGTCAGTGGTTCATCCATGTCTCGTGGAGGCATTGCTGGTGTTGTGATTGGAGTTCTGGTCTTCGTGGGTGCACTGGTCGCTATCTTGCTATTACTCTGGCGGCGCCGCGCGAGTAGAATTATGGGCGCCCCTCGAGGCGGCTTATTTGAAAAGCGTCGTCCGAAAGGTGCCGTCTCAATTGGTAGCAGGGGTGGATCATTTTCTTCCGCACATGGTGTCCCTCCACGAGGTTTAGGATCGACGTTTGGTACATCGGCACACTATAATCTGAACGACCCTTCAAATAGTGCACTTGGACATGGTATTTCTGAGGACGATATAGGAACGCAATCGCTCTCTGGAGAGAAACCATTAGCTCTTGCCCCCGCCGAACTTGGGATGATCCCTCCTGTCCACCGCAAGCCGCACGCATACAGGGACTCCCTTGGCTCAGTGGCAACAAGCTCGACTACGGCAGCAGGCTCGCCAATTAATAAACACCTGCGACATTCGGGCCCACTTTATACGTCAGATCCATTCGCTTCCAGTCCACCCACGCCGAGGGTATCAGGAGATTATCAAAGGTCATTAGGTAACCAGAGTCAAGTACCCGTGGCTCTTTACCACCCTTCCTCTATCGAATCGACTCCACGCACGTATGGATCTCCTGGCGTGCCTCGCGATATCTCAATTACGTCTTCCCTACCCGATTTCGATTTTGAACGGGATGCTGCCTCGCCTTTCGCAGCTGCTGCTGCACCGGCAATTTCACGCCGTGCACCTCCACCACCCCCGGTTTCAGCGCCAAGCGCCACACAACCTACACGGCGTTCAACACGTAAACCCGTGCCTGTTTACGAACCTTCCGTAGCAGGCGAAACGCTTGAGCTCGTTGAGCCGTCAACTCCACGTTCGACCGGAACAGCATCGTCATACTACAACAGCGGCACAGCACAACGGTCCAGTGTGTCTCTAGCACAGTCTTCGGGAGGGAATGATTGGTCTTCGGCTGCAGCTCATTCGCACTCTCCGCCTTCTGGAGCCTCTCCGATTAGCTCTGGTTCGTATGGCTCGTACGGGAGCGGACATTCGCTTGGTAGTTTGGGTCGTGGTGACTTGCCCGACCTGAACCACAAGTCAAGCTTTGGAGAACGTCAGATGCACGTTATCATGCCGGACCCTCCACCACGCGAGATGCAATAAATAATCCAATCAAGGCTAAACTGTATAGACCTTCTGATTGTTTGATGAAAGTAGCTGGCCTGCGCTTCTCTTCACTCAAATATTCACATCGGCTACTGGATGTAATGCTTTCTAGGGATGGAGTTCTGTGTTAGTATGTTGTTTACCCTTTTTCTATTTTCGCAACTGTGTATTATTCCCCCGTCTTGCTGTCCAACATTCTACTTGCTTTTAACGCTTCTTTTATTGACTTGATAGGACCTCTTCTCTCCCTCCTTCCTCCGCCTCTACCTCCATTCTCCTCAGTACCACGCTCTTCTTGATCCTTTTACCCTTCACCCTTATTTTGCTGTTTACGTATCGGATACGCAATTTTTTCTATCTACCTCGCCCCCCCACTGTTCTGCTAAAACCGGTTTAATGTGTGAATCTATGTATTGGAATGCGTAAATGAATTTTCATGTTGTACGTGTGCCCTTCTCATAATTGGTGGCCTGCAAGCTGGTTGCTAGGAGTATTGTGTGTACATCGACGCAATCTTGAGTTTGTAGAGAGAAATTTGATTATAATCACAGTACAAATTCTTAACTACGAGGAGAACAACAGGGGAAAGTGGGGCAAGTCGATACATAAGGTCAATTCAGGAGCTACTGTCCATCGTTCGGTCAAATTCCCGCTATGGGACTGGACGTATTTAGGCCTTCTCGTCGTGTTTCTGTTCGAAGTACTCCTTCGCAGACATTTCGCCCTTGAGGATACGTTCGCCCGTCTCTTTCGTTTCAGGCTACATATCATGATATGTATAATTAGAAGTTGTACTTTGGAGATACACGACATGTTCATACCTTTTTTAGAACAGAACCTCGGATGCTCTGCAGCGAGTTCGGTCAGTAAATGGATGTTCCTCCTTTGAAGGTACTGGTTAATGAACACTGCCAACCTTTGCATAGCCTGAAAGATCAAATCGATTTCAGAAATACATTCTTCTCTACAGTGTTGGACTTAACTTACCAACCATCTGGTCCTTAAACGGGACCTTATCACCCTCGTGTACCGTCGTTCCAGATCCTGGTTCAGGTGCACCTACGTCGTACCAAAGAAATAGCACACGTAAACGACTGTTTTGACATTAAATGAAGGAATGAGTTGTACGGACCCTGTTGAGCGGGTGTGGCAACAGGCTCTTGTTGAGTTGCGTTCGGGTCTGGGTGGTACAGTTCTGAAGGCATCTGAAGAAGTCGCAAGTGGCAATAAGCTACATATTCTATGCGAATGGCTCGGACAGTGAACATACCATGACGCCAGGTTGGCCGGTTGCAGGCGAACCAGAGGCAGCAGTCGACATTGTATCAATATAAAATTAAACGGGCAATATCGACGAGCTGGTAGTGGGGAAAGTAACAGTATTTCCTTGTGCTTTGGCGGCTTATGTATGAACGGAATTGTTGTGTGTGGGGCTCTGACATCATAGTATACGCGCAGGAAACTGATGATCGACATTATGTGATTGTGTATGTCCACAAACATGCTTTATTTCCAGATATGTACATGTAAAATAGAACTACATGAAAGTGATGAATACAAATTAATTAATGAATCTAAAACGAGAGACAACCAAGTATAATGAAATGCAAAAACTCCAACATTCTGTCAATAATTAAATCCCTCACGCATAACACCTAACCGCGTAAGACCCGCACCCTCAAGCGCATCCAATGCTGACTCCTCGAATTTCGGTGGTCCACAGAGATAAGTTAGTCGGTCCTTAGCGTCTGATACGAGAACCATTGATGACTTGTCTGCATCTTTTGAGAATTTGGGTCTTCCCTCGTGTATGAAGACAGTCAAGCCTTCACTATCCGAGCTGTTACCATTGACGTCAACGCCAGGATCCACAGAGGAGAATATATGCAGCGCCAATTTGAGGTTTGCTTCCTTCGATTCGGAGTGACTGAGTGCGTCTCGAATGAGACGAAGGAGTACATGAGGCTCATGAGTGGAAAGCAAGAGGACCACGTCGTATTCCATCTCAGAATTCGTCGAACTGGACGAAATGGAGCCTAGCATGCTTAAGAACGGCGTTACTCCGATACCACCAGCGATCCATAACAGCTTAATCTTCCCTTGTCCATGTCCTTCGGAAGGCTTAGGGAGTGTGAACGAACCCGATATTCCTACAAGCTGCACACGAAATCCAAGCGGACGTGCATCCTCAAGAATAGCAGGCATCCTCTCATGTGCACGACGAGCAAGGTTAAACAATGCACCAGTTACGAGTCCACCAGGCTTTTCGCGCATCGTCAAGTCAAACGTACGCGTCTCCAGCGCTTCGTCCAGACCCGAAGAAGACGAGATAGTCCACGTACGAATTCGATCGTCGTTCAAGCTAGCTTCGCGTCCCGGTGCCATGTGCGCGTATTCCTGCTTCCCAAGTAGGTCGGTGAAGTCGAGAACGGCCGTCTGGCCAGCACGTATCTTCACTGGTTTATCCGTCTCAAACGAGAACGTTGCGAGAGAATGCGATAGAATCTGGATACGCGCGAGCGATACGCTGACTTCGTCCATTTGGCGCATTGCTTGCCCCTCTTCCTCTTCCGCGAGAAACTTGATAGGCGGGCTGTATGGACTACGCTCGACACCTGTTCCTGGACGTTGGCGCACAGGTAGCGCATCTCGTATGAAAATGAAAGCCTCGACGTAGAGTGTAGTAAGCACGTTTTGACGAGGCATGAGAGCTTGTGCCTCTTTGCCGAGGAGGTTCTTTGCAGTACCGGATACATAGAGAATATCACCCGTTGCGAAATCGAGGAACGACATCCCTGCGCGCGACGTAGCCTCTACGTTTCCGAGAGATGTCATTATCCGATTACCTAGAACGCGGTCAGTACATTGATATATGTCTAATAAAGGGATGGATATACACTCACCGGAATAATCTGGTAAGATAAGCGTCCGGCCATCTGAAGGCATTACACGAACGAAGCCTTGCCGACCACCGCGTGCGTTCATACCGACGTGCGATGGGAATCTTTCCTTGTCGGACTCAGATGCACTATAACTTGTCCCGAGAAATACTGTGTCCGCTTGGAGGATAAAGTCGATCGTCTCTGGCGGGAGTCTGTCTTCCGGAGCCATATCAAGGTTGCGAAAGACAATCCGCGGAGATGCATCGAGATACTGGTCTAGTGTTCGCACGTTAATGTACTTTGGACAGTTTCTAAACAGTGAAGATGTCAGGTTAGTCTGTTTTGAAAGAAGATAATAGAGTATATGCATACCCAATAGCTTGATTCACTCGCAAATGTATGCGTCTCGACTTCGGTCCAGTCTTCTCTATGCGCTCCATCCAACCAGCGAACTTGTTTCTCCTCCGTGTCGGAAACTCGATCCCAAGGCCTGCAGTAAGGACATGCATCTTCTTCTCATTATTACTCCCACTACCGGTTTGACTTTCAACCGCTTCTAGACTCTCAAGCATCGGGTCGCCATCCCACATTTCCAAATCCATTACGAGTTCCGTCTCAGTTGGGCTCCTTACCCACGCTTTCTCCCCAGGGCTCTGTGTACCTCGAGGGCCAGAGACGAGCGCAGCCCATGGCCTCCCATGAGCATCAACGATAGTAAGCGGAAGAAATGGTATATTGCGCGAATAGAATATACGGTGCTGCTCTGGCATACTAGCATCGATCCAGGAGTATGCTATTGAAATCGGGCCTGTCGTGAATTCTGGCCCGAGCTTAGCGCGTATTGAACGTTCGCCTGGATGCCATCCGTTGAGTGCGACTGACATGATGTGCAGGGTATTCTCTTGAAGTGATGTAGGACTTGAACGACTGAACGAGCAGACGTTTGAAACAAGCGTGGAACTCCAGATCTTTATACTTTGAAATGCATGGCTACCCCGTGCCCAAGAAACTCAGGACAGGATGCGCGATCTGTCATGTTTTGAATAATCGATGGTGTGCTGTAAGTCAAGTGAATGAAACAATGTCTGAGTCTGACTCAGCAAGACCTCGGCTTCACACCAATCCCGAAGCTGACCCGCAATCATAAATACACAATTTGATAATGAGAGTCGTATTTTTCCAAAGGCAGGTAATCGGGAAAAAAAGAAAACTACACTACAATTACATGCATGATAGAATCAATCAGTACATGAGATGTGCAGCAAGTCTCTTATATTCTTTGGCAGCATGTCTTTTAAATCCAGAGCCTACGACCTCTTCTGTGCTTTCTTCTCTGCATCAGATGCGGCTTCCTTCACCTCTCGCGCAGCCTTTGCAGCTTCAGAAGCAGCCGCAGACTTCGCGTCCTCACCCTTTGATTTACCCCAACCAAACCAACTCCACCACGAGCTCTTTGCCTCGTTAGCTTTTTTATCTGCGTACGCTCTTGCATCTTGTACTCCCTTCTCCGTCGCCTCCTTCGACTGCTGAAGAGATGATGCAGCTGAGTCTTTATAGGATGCGAGCCGTGCCTGTGCGTCGGCGGCGGTAGTGTTCGCCCTATCCGCTGCGCTGTCATATGTTGACTGTATGCTCGATTGTGCCGAGTCAACCTTTGCACGACCGTCGGCCTGATGAGTGAAGTACGTTAGGTCTAGTTATAACTAATATCATAGCGGATCAAATGCACCTTTGCCTGATCAACCCTCTCACGTCCCTCCTCGAGTTTATTCTTTGCTTGCACGCGCGCCGCATGTTCTAATTCCCGCGCTTTCAAGTTTACATCCTTACTTTCTTCCTCTTGCTTGGTCGTGTAATAATAGTAACCGAATCCACCAGCAGCGACGAGTGCACCAAGTATCAACGGAGTGCTGGAACCTTTTCCTTCTGCCTCGGCGAGTGGCGGGGGACCGGTTGGAGGTGGCGCAGGGTTCTTCGAGGGGTCACTTGCATATCTGCGTACGGGAGCAGCACGGAGCGCCCGTGGCCTTGCGGCGATAGCAGTTGCAGTGCCCGAACGACGAGCGATGTTGCGTACGACGAGAGAACTGTTCATGACGACTTGGTTGTGAGTAGAGCACTTGGCTACGACGGAACGTGATTCATATAGTAGGAGCGTGACGCATGACATCATGCCATTCCCTTGTCGTCATATGGTAAATCACCCCGCATGATCGACGCGCCCGCGTTACACTTACAGCATCAAATATCAAATTATCAATAAAATTTATTTCCACATCTCATTCTTTCCACACCTACACTCGAATTGTGCGATGTAGCCCACGAGATGCTCCCTCCATACATCATCTTTGATAAGATTACCTGCGAGTATCCTTTGCTTAGAAACCAATTGGATTATACAGTTTACGTTCGTAGCAATGGTTGTCATCCAGAACTTGCAACTTATTGACCTAGAAAAGGGAATATGAGTGTTCGGGTTAGGGTATATCACGTACAGATACCCAGCTGGCTCGTCGGCCCTATACCTATTTCGAGATGGGGGCAGGAATAGGTGCGAAGAAGAGCTGATCTAGGTCCAGATTTGTATGTAGCAAACGTTCCGGAGGAGTAAATGCTATTATTGGGGATGGCCTTGGATTGATACATACATGACTTCGAAGTTCTCTTCGAGGTCAAAATAAATGCAGCCAGCCTTCATCATGCACCATCTGAGTCCTGTCCAAACAAAGAACATGGACACGACTTCTAAACAAACAAATTTATTTTCATTATAATTATATATCATGTCAATCGACGTGCTGTTCCTGCCATTCCTTGTCATTGACAACCCCACCTCCAAGCATCCTTGCTTCGAGGTCGTACAAGTTTAGGCGCTGGATAATGTCTGACTGGCGAACAAGGTCCTCAATGTCATCTGTGGCATCAATAAACCGCCCACGTAACGCAGAGGCACGTCCTGTCACAAGGTAAACACATGTTTGGCCACAGAGCTCTGAACTTTGATATAAGAAAAAGTTCAAGTCAATTTGCGCTGCGTTAGCTGGTGAGAACAGTATCATATGTTACCTGTCATCATAATGGTGACTGTCAAGCACCTTCCGAAAGGCTTCAGTCATCTGGTTACTCGATCGACTCGTCAGGGATGCATCGATCAAGATAACTTCTATCTACTCACGCCTTTCTTCATTTTATCAATATCAGGATGTACCCCGTTCATCACTATCTGAGTCCTAACATGGCCTGCAACAATCATTTTCCAACATGTGAAAAGCTGCAATCTTTCTGACAGGATTCGAGTGCATACCTGGATGTAATGAATACATGTGGATACCAGAGCGATCGCCCGCCTCTATATCAAGTTCGCCTTGAAGACAGGCACAAGCGCGAATCAGGGCTGATCTATGGTGAGGCAGGTTCGCTTTAAACGTGTATCTAATACATTTGGATACTCACTTTGATGCACTGTATGCCAGGCTACCAACTACACACAGATAGTCACATAAAGAAAAAAGTAAGAACACGAAGGGGCCCTTCAGAACAAACACCTACCCAAGTTCAAACACCCCCCTCTGCTAGAAATGAATATGATTGATCCCTCATTCTGTGCACGCATTCCAGGCAAGACCAGCTCAGTGAGGATCATTGGACCCTTATAATTGACTTCCATCGTCTTCCACCATTCCTCACCTGGCGTGTATGCAAAGGGTCGAGAGGCGAAGACGGCAGCATTGGCAACTAATACGCTCACCACACCCAACTCTTTCTCAATATTCTCTATGACCGCCGTGAGAGTGGTACGATCCGTAACATCCGCAACGCATACAAGTGTTTTCGTCTCGGGGTGCGACGACGATATTTCCGCGGCGAGAGAATGTAACTCGCTAGCGGTACGCGAAAGAAGCGCAAGGCCGGTTGCCCCGGCACGCGCAAAAGAGAATGCAATGGCTCGACCAATCCCACGACCTGCGCCCGTAACGAGGACCACGCGTCCTTGCATGCTCGATGCGAGTGTGTCGGTGCTTATCGCCGTGTAAACATCATTATGTCTCTTCGGGGCGGTGCCGAGGTCGGGATCAACGCCGACGGATTGTGGGTCCGACATTGCTGATCTTGATTATTATTATTGTGAGTTCCTGACAGTTCCACAATAATGGAAGCGTGGGATTAAATGATCGTGAAGCGAGACCAAGGCTAGGCAATAATATGGTGCCTCAGGGATGAAGGCGATGGCGTTGTGGGCTAAGGCTCGCACATTAAAATCATAATGATGATGACAGCGCTAGCATCGATCCTGCTAGAGTGTGGATATGAGCGGGATGTGCGTGTCAGGTGTTGATTGACTTTGACTCTTAACGAGGGGAAAGCGTCATCAATGAACCGTGGTGTATAAAATTGAGTCTTGGTGTTGCTTCTAATCTCTTCTCTGAGCGTGTCTAATTGCGACGATGCACATGTGGTGCTTCTGTCATCCCCAAGAGGCATAACTCTCGCAATGGAATACATCCGGTCTATCGGACGTGTTTCCAAGGAAGAAACGGATTCGGCCAGCGCATCATCGTCCATATAGCCTGTTTCTCGCCAGACCAGGGCAGAAGAGACGCTTTACGGCCGCATGGGTGTGGCGGCTGACAGTCTATGAGGGGACGGAAGACGACGGAAGGATCATGGCGTTGCACAGGCACTTCAATCTGCTGCTTCTATTGACTTATAGGGATGTTGCGTTGCTCTGCAGTGTCCGTTGCGCAAGACACGGGGGAGCATCCGACGCAAGAAGCATATTAATTGGAATATCACCGCGCCGGGACCTTTAGCCACAATGACGGGTGGGAAAGTTACGTGGTACGTTTCAAGTCCGGGGCTGTGGTGCTATCGCAGTTTCGGACGGACAAGGCAAGGGAAAATGCAGAGATAGCTAAGTTTTGCATGGGAAATGGGCGGACGGGGGTCAGATGGCGACAGGCGTGAAGGGAAGTAGCGGGAGGAAGCGGGAATATAATTGTGAGTGAGGTGTGACGTGTTTGGAAGGATGGAAGCTTCTGTTGGGGCTATTGAGTTCAACCTGCAATCAACACCCACCATTCTCTCGTCTGATTGGCTCATCATTTTACTCGCTCTCCGTTTCCAGCAACTCCCCCTGGCAATGCTATCGCTCTGTCCATGTCCGGTGGCCTCTGTTCCTCCGAGGACAAGGCAGAGAAGTATATAGACAGGCAGGAAACAGGGAAACAACAGAGAAAAGGTGTAAAAGAAAGCGAGAGTCAAAATGTGAATGGAACATGAGACGCATGAAAAAAGAACTAACGGCATCAGAGGGATGATAATGGACATACCAAATCGGATGCACTCGGCAGGTCACAGTCTCTTCGCCCCGAAGCGAGAGAACCCCGGTCATTGACTCGCCTCCAGTCCTCTTATCCCCTCCTTCTTCCGCCTCATTTCTCTCTCCCCTTCTCTCGTCCTCCCCCCATGAGCCACTCCCAAAGTCACAGACAATCCGTCCGTCCCTCTCAGGACAGAGACTATTCAATGCCTCCACCTAGCGCGGCGTGGCAGCCTTCCCCCATGCCGTCTGTCAATGGAGGAGAACGCTCTGCACCCACCCCAGCACAGCTCTCAGACAAGTACAGCAACCTCAAAAGACGTTACTTTCAGATCGATGATGTGCGTCTTTTCAGACTTTGCTCCTTTTCTGTCATTAAAAATAGCCTATATTTACTAATTTTTAATGTATCGTGCCTTAATTAGAGACTGAAAGAGACGCAAGTGGAACTGCGGAAGTCGATGGAACGGAATACAAAACTACGAAATGAACGAGAGTGGGTCTACAACTGCATATTTATTGATAGACATACATAACATAATAATATATATGGAAATACAAATACTGACTCGCCACTTTATATAGCATACTACTTGACAGAATTATCGAGTTGGAGGAACGCAACAAGGTCTTCGAACGACATCTTGGTCAGCTGGATCCAGCTTTCGTTGCTGCACATAAGGAGGCGCCAGCGCTTGCGACGGGCGCGTTTCCCCGTTCGCTCGTCACGCAACGTCAGCAGGCTGCATTCGTTGCGAACCTCCAGCAAGCGATGGTAGAAGTCGAAAGCGAAGATCCCAATACAGACCCGGTCTTACTCTCTCGACACGTCGGGCCTGCAGCGCGGAAGCGCGAAGCGGAGGAGCAAGAGCGCCGCCAGGAGGAGGAGGCTCGGGAGATGAAGAAGCAAAAAAGGTCTCGAGGCGCAGGTCCGACTTCGAGTGCTACACCACAGCCCATGTCGACGAGGAGCGGGAACGGTAACGGAAGCGTTGTGGCTGGGAACGTGCCTGGTAAATAGCTTCCTCCATCATTTCTTTCAAGTATCCCCTTACTCTTCTCCCATTCTTCCTTTTTTGTTACACTTTGGTTTACTGGTTGATCTCCGTGTACTCACGATAAATGTCTATCGCTCTCGAAATCGCATTTATTCGCGCCTTGGGTCAACTTGCGCCGTCGGAACTTGCAATCACACTTTTTTAGATGCGGAACAGAAACAACGTATAGAGTCGCAGTCGCGGACCACATCCGGAACGGCCCCGTTCGATGCGGATCGTGACGAAGTGATGTATATGCGCGACGAGAATCGATCACCTCGGCCATCTGGTTCTTCAATGCATCCACCGTTAGCGCCCGTCGTTCAACCAGTCTCTCAGCAAGAGTATCATGCTCGTGAAGACGTTCGTTCACACTCGGAATCACCGATTTCGCCGGGCCCGCACTATCACCAGCGCACGCGCTTCGCCGGAGCGGACACGAGGGACCCTAGCATAGTATCATCTCAATCACCGCCGCATATTACGCCCGAATCCGCCGGCATCATCACAGCAGTCTCACCTCCGCACCTGCAATCGGCAGTGCGGCAATCAATGGGTCCACCACCTGCTCCGCCCTTGTCTATCCCGCCCGCTCCAACAACTGTGCCGTCAAGCATCAGCGTTACAGCGCCGCGCCCTTCAGAGCTGCAGCGTCTTACGAAGCCGAAGCGTCTCAAGGCGCATACAGTGACATCGAAGAGTCACAGCATCCCGACGGTGCCACGCGATCGCGTCACGGGACGCCCGCTCCTCCCGCTCAACGTAGGTATTATGACTGTCGTGCAGCTCGGTGAGGTCTGCATGCGCGAGCACTTTCACACAGAACGATATATCTTCCCAGTTGGGTATGAAGTGACAAGGTGAGTGTATGCGCAGCCTCTGCATGCATATCTTTGATAGCTGATCATCGCCGATCATTTTTGTCGTACTTTAATCCCAAATAGGCGATACCTGTCTACACAAGACCCGCACGCTGAGGTTGTCTATCACTGTAAAATCCTCGATGGCGGGGACGGGCCCAAGTTCCAGATTATCGCTGCAGACATGCCCGACAAACCTATCATAGCTGGCACCGCGACTGGTGCGTGGTCCGGCATCGTGCGTGCCGCGAACCTTATTCGCAAGCGCCAACATTCGAACAGCGTATCCGGCCCAGACTACTTTGGACTTGGGCAGAACACAATTAAACACCTCATTCAGGAGCTTCCTGGAGCCGACCGGTTGAAAAATTACGTTTGGCAAAACTTCGTAGAGGGAGGGTAAGTGTAATTGAAGCTCCGTTCACATAACTCTACTTACGATATGATTATAGTCCGTTGGGCGGACGGCATGCTGCTGTGATTCCTGCTCTTCCAGAAGAATATGAAAACTCAATGGCGGCTGCCAACTCATATTACGGCAGGGAACGTGAGCGTGGAATGCCCGTGCCTTCGGGAGGTGATACGGCCCCGGCTTTAGGACTATCCGTCATGCCTTCACCCGCACCACCTCGTGCTGCGGACGAGTATGCGGCATATGACCATCTTGAACAAGAGCGTGGACGGGAACGCAGCCGCGATCATGAGTATGAGCGTGACCACAGACATCGGCGCCGACATCGTGGAAGGAGTGCGTCTTCTGACGCAACTTCACAGGCATCTACTCGGCGTGCACCGTCTAGACAGCGGCAAGCTGCATATGACCATTCTCCACCCCTGTCTGCAGCATCTTCGCAGCCACCATCGTCACTTTCACAGGCCTCGGTATCGCACTCACAATCACAGCATCGACCTCCTTCAGACTCGCAACCATCAAGGTCGCAATCACAAGTTTCAAGTCCAACCGTTCCGCCAACGCTAGCGAGTATCATGCATGCATATGCGCCACCGAATGCGCCACTTAATTCACATGCTCAAGCGCATGGCCGTTCGCACAGGCATTCTCATACACCTTCGCGTTCTTCGTACAGTCCAGAAGGCGCGATGGCTCATGCGTGATTTTGTATCGGAATTGAGATCTTTAACAGGGGCTGGCCTCAAGACCTGTTTCCTGTATTTTCTTCCTTATTGCCGCTTCGATTTTCCATTGTTGTGGTGTGCCGCTCTTTTTTGCTAACGTTTGCCTTGATCTGCGATAAAACTTCGTCTTCGATATTCTCCCTTCTCCCGCGGCGTTTGAGAGTAAAACTGATGCCTCTACGTACTTATTTTCGACTCTTTGCTCTTGGTGTCACGTTCTTCTCCCGAAAAGATCAACAATGTTTACTTATCCACTTTGCCTTCGTTTACCGTTATTCATTCGCTTGACACTTGATCTTCGTGCCTATACTGTCTTATTACTTGCCGTTTACTTATTCGCTTGCTTGCACATACGAGAACTCACGACTACTTAATAGGATGTACAAAATGCTTTCGATACGTTTCGACGCGTACAAATGTGGATGTTACGCTATTTTCCGTGGGTGGCCGACCGTGCCGCCGATGGTATCTTCCCGTCTGCTGAACGAGATCTATTGAAGAATACCTCTGCGCTGTTAGCTCGCAAGTTTGTCTCTCAAGGTTCAGGTGCACAAGGTTTACTTGATTATGCCTCCGCCCTTGTCAGGTCAGGGCCGGCCGTCGCGGCCACTCCCACCCTGGGCTGACGGGGAGAACAGCTTAACTCTTTTGTTTGTCTTCTCGACTCGGCGTTACTCAGTTCTCGTGGTCGAGGCCTGTGAGCTGGGTGGATGCGCGGGAAGAGGAAGATGAACGTGGAAAGAGAACACCGACAAGCGGGAGGCAAGATGGATAGAGGACTGCGACTGCTACATCGCAGTGTACCGCTGCACAGTGGGACTTCCGCCGAGCGAGGATCGTGCTGGTATGGGAGTAGTATATGCGGCTGACATGCTCTTCAATCAAATTCTGCTCTTCGCCTTTGCAGCGAGTTTTCTGCTTCTGTTGCTTTACTTGCCTTTCTTCACTATTTTCGGCTGCTTTTCTTAGACACGAAACGAGGCCGTATCGCGTGTTTTTATCCCGCTTCTCCCTATCTTTCAGGGAATTTATATACTTTTGTGTCTTCGTGTGGCTGAATGGGAAAAGATGCCATGAGATGCAGATGGATGGTGAGCCGTTGCCTCACGATCATGAGAGGTTCATGTGGGCGCGCGATTGATTGACACCGGCAGATTCAGTTTGTCGTGGAGCATTTCTTTTGCGCTGACATCAAGACAAACCTAAAACATGTTTTTCTGTGTAGCAACATTGTTTGATTTTATAGTGTTTACTTTGAACCCGGAAAAGGAGGTCTTGTTGTACGTTGACTACAGGTATGTGACCAAAGGGCAGCAGCGAGTAACTCGCGCGGGAGAAGCGATGCTACCAGGAGAGGCAAGAGGAAGGGGAGTAGCCGAAGGCCGAGGAAGCGGGGAATAAAAAAACGTCGAGAAACTCTATCTTTCTAGCTTCGAATATGAAATTCCATTGACCAAAATTAGGACGAAGTTTCCCCAGATGGATATGCGACAATCATTCACGAGATATATCATATCAATTCACTCATCCCTCCGGTCCCTGGCCATTTGTTCGCAGCTGACCCTCCTGCCCACCCACACCCTTCGTCTCTCCCTCTCCTATCCGACTCTCCTTTTCCTTGCCTACCATCCTCCTCCTCACGACGCTGGACATATAGGCCTGCAACAAGCTCTATGCACGCAACTACTTTCTTTTCAATAACCCATTCTTTTCTCTAGGAATTTTTTCTGTCGGCAACTAAAAACTTTAACAACTTCTCCATCAACGTTGAAAAACCAAACACATCAACCTCGCAACGCGTCAAACCAGGAGAAAGGAGAGACATATCGACTATGGTTCACGAAAAACGCGTCCACAAAAGAGTTTGGGGCGCTTATGCGCTCGATAAGCGGCTCCCGAACCCGATCCCAGAGCCAGAGCCGGGTTTACTCGGTGATGTCGTTAATGGCGTTGAAACTGTAGCAGATGACGCAGTTAGCGGCGTCGTTGGGGTCGTGACGACCGCAGTGTCAGATGTCAATGCTCTGATAACCCCGCCGAAGGCGTCATCATCGGCTGCCGCTGGTTCCTCATCGAAGAGTTCGAATGTACAACCAAAGCCGACTGCTACTTCTCCGCAGCCTTCGCCTCCTTCCAGTTCTAATTCTGGAAATGGACAGACTAATGGCGGAGATTCGACTGGTCAAACTGGAAGCTCTGGCGGTGGAGAGAGCTCAAGCAATAATCCGGGTAACACGGGCAACGGATCGAACCCTGGATCAAACTCGGGCTCGCAAGGAAGCACGGACTCCACTGGTAATACCAACAATAATCCCGCCCCGGGCCCGGCAGAAGTTCCAACGCCAACTCAAGGATTCGGAGATTCAAGCAAGAACGACCCGGGTTCGCAAACCTTGGTACCAGGTGCGACGCCTTCAGGCTCTGTCTCCGTAACGCATAACCTGAATAATGTGGAAGGCGACGATGTTGTATCGGGAACTGCAGCAAATCCGGCTCCTGTCGTCAATGCAGGCGGGTCTGATGCCAGCGACTCTCTGTCTGGCAGCACTCTACCTACTGGTTCACGAGCCCCTGCGACTTTGAGCCGTACACCGCACTCTCCATCGTCAACCGATTCCGTTGGTTCTGGATCAGGTGACAACGGAGGCGTGAACGGTAATGGCGCTTCGTCACAGAATGCAGCACACAATGCTTTATCTGCGGGAACCATTGCTGGTGTCATTGTTGCTTGCATACTCGCCGTGCTGATTTGCGGAGTCCTTATCATGCGAAAATGGCACAGGAAAAGGCGTGCAAAGCGTTTCCAGAACTGGGTGTCCCGCCCCGGCTTCACGATGTTTGGCGCAGGAGGAGGAAAGGAGAGTGAAAAGGAAGAAAAGAAATCTGCACGATCCGGGGGTGCAGGCTCGGGTTCCGGAACGCGTAGCGCTCGGAGCAGCTTTGGAACAACCTTCGATCAAGGTTTACGCCCGTTTACACCTGATTCGTTTTTCGCAGCCCCGTCTCCGGCAACCTTTTCCGAGATTCACGCGACGGCGAATACACCCACGAGTTTCCTGACGGCACCACAGATACCTGCATCTACTCGACCCCCGCGCGATCGTCAGCGGCCCGAGATTGTCACGGACCGCAACTCGCTTATTTCATTAGGCGCGTCGGGCAGCTCGAACAATCATGGTGGAGCGAGCGGGACTGGCGAGAGAAATACTAGCACTGAGGCAGTAGAGGTCGATGGAAGTGCTGATGGACATGCGCAATATCTCCTAGCACCGCCGCAGCTAGACGAGAATTCTCCTAATAGACCTCAATTAAGTCCTATCTCAGTCCGTCCGTGGAGCCCGAGCGAGCGTTGGGCGTTCCCAAAGCCGCCGCCGAGTACGACACCAAGCACAGTGTACTATAGGACCCCTTCTCCACCGACCCAGTCTAGACAATCTGACCGCGGTCCGGTTTCCCCTCTCCCACCGTTGTCAGCAGTGACTCCTCACCCCGAAAATAACCCATTTGCTGACCCGGATGCTTCAGCTACGCATGAAGATGCTACTACCGTGCATACAGACAACACTAATGCAACTGAGGGTGGATTGATTGGCTCCGTTGAACATATTCGTCGGCCATTCATTCCGACACTGTCAGATGAGGTGGCTGTTCACCGCGGAGATGTCGTCCGTGTTCTGCAAGCCTTTGATGACGGTTGGGTGCAAGTTGAGAAGATCTCCGTTGCGAACGCTGGTACAGCCGGAGAGAGAGGTCTCATCCCTATTGACTGTCTACGCGAAGCTGGAGAGGCACTACCGTCTTTCCTGGCATCCAAGCGTGTCAGCAGCTATTATGGCGGTGTCGCCCTCTAAACACTGTTAATGTATGTCCTTTTCCCTCTATACCGATGAGTACTATGTGATTTACCGAGCTAACATTTATTTCTACAGAGCTAACTCGTGCTGTGCATTTCTTTCCTGCGACCTTGGAGTCGTGTCCACCTTGACGGAGCTTTTATCACGAACCTGCCATATTCCTGGGGGGGTTATTACTTTCGGACGGACGAACGGATCAACACTGGACCTGCTTTTGCGCCGCCTTCTTCGTCAGCTTTTTCAGAAAGCAATTAGCTGATTCACTCGCCGAGCCTTTTATTTTTCCCTCTGAGCTTGTAAATACTTGCGGTTCTTTCTTTCTTTCCCCTCGTTCCACGAGAATAATTGCTTGGCTTACGCCAACCTTTGAAGTTTGAACTTCTCCGTCAGTTTCTTTATTCTTCCGAACATTTGTCAGTTCGAACTTCATTATTCTGAGATTTTTTATTCGTCTATACTATTTTTTTTTTTGCATTCTGCGCTTCTGGTCGTATGATATGCTACGCTGCGTGCAGCGAACCTATCTATGCGTCATATCTATTTGAACTTTCTCCTTTTTTATTCTGTTATTAACTACTAACAGATTCTTCTCACCTCACCCCGCATTCTCGTTCTCATCCTCACCCTACTGTTTTTGACCGCATTCTTTATAGTGTGTATACCCCACCCCACCCAAACCCTACCTGAACTTACCTACCTACTGACGTTGTTGCATACTTGCATACCGTGTTTTTATTTGATTGATAAAGCATGTAGTGGTACCACCAGCCCACGTTCTGATTGAGAGATCCTCTTTTTTACTGCTTCATTTCAGTTTTATTTCGTATTGTAGTACGGTGTAATCGAAATTCAATCATTTTCCTGTGTCTAAATCTGATTTTATCTGCCTGTTGGTCATGTGTATGTGCGTCCCCTCATTTGTAAAGGTCGTCGGTATTTGCTGCCAATTATGTGTGCATAACTCAACGAGATCCACACACGGTAAATACATTACTCAATTATATGTCCTGTTTCGTTGGTGCAGTACGGTGTAATCAAGATTCTGTGTTTCCGTCTCCATATCTGGTTCTACCTATCTATCAATCGCTCACATGTGCGTCCACGTTTCGGTGAAGTTTGTCCAAGCGTGTACCCCATCGTGCATAAATCACTGACTGAGATCTACACATTGTAAACACATTACGAAAACTTTGATGATCATCCCCCATTGCGTTAGCATTGGTATCGATCATTGGTGCTCGTGTCCATAGCACCCGCGATGCATGTCGCACACTAATAAATAACAAGTCTGGTCCTGGCTATGAAATCTTGATAGCTAACACATATACGTACAAGAATATTGAACTTAGTTGATCTTCGTTGAGGAGGTAGAGGAAGGCGGGGAAAACGTTGAGTTTGGTATAGTGCGTTGTCTGTCTGGAACAATTTCCCCAATTCCATGTTTTGCTCTGTTTGACTTCGTTCGAAATCAAATTGGGTTTGTGCGAGACGGACCCGAGTCGGATTTGAAATAGATGATAATCTCCTCTATCTGCCGCTCTGTTTACTCGTTGAGATACTCACCAGAGTCCACATTTGAACAAAGGGAATGATCTACTATCTACTGCACAAGATGCCAAACTTGGTAAGTTATCTATTATAGAAGTGAGGTAATGATTTAACTTCACCATTTGGGCTCTGTGATATATTGAACTGATCAAGGGTCTTGGACGTACCTCGAGAGTAAGATGTTCCTCGTTCTAAAACAGTACGTCATGAGTAATCAAGAAATGTATGTAATGAAGCAATATTGAACTCATTAGATTACCTGTTCATTTGTAAATGTTGTAATAAACGGGTCATAGATATTCCTTCTGTCCGAAAAAGATATGCACATGGAAGATAACTCAACAACCAAAGTGACACGAAGATCCATTTTTGTATAATTTATACGTCGCAAATTGATTGATCCAGCAACATGTCAAGGTCTTGGCTTCGCACATAAGGTATTTGAGACGATCCCTGTGCAGAAAGATAAGCCGTAGAAAAGACTGGACACACAGCAGAAAGTGAACTAGCCAATCAAATAGTTGGCAGAACCACGTTAGGAAAGTTTGTTGACGTTGGAATATGCACCCGTCAATGCTGATCCCTGCTGCTGCTGTGAGCGACGAAAGGGGCACCGACAAGACAAATTGCACTCGGCGGATCGCTAGCCGAAGAAATAAGAATTAGGATTGGTACCGCGGAGGATCGGCACATACTCGGTCTTCGAGAGATCGACGATATACGAAAAGGAGAAATTTCCAAGCTTGCCTTACGCTATTATCCACTACGCATTTCCGCGGCAATTTCCAGCTCAAGCATCCCAGTGATCAGTTTTTCTTGCCTCATGTTCTTCTTTGAGTCAGTAGATTAACACGACGAGCGTTTAAAACTTACTTGCGGCATAGGCTAAGTTCCGACTGCGTACCTGAAGGTTTACGCGCGGTTCCGTCAGTTAAGTTTTTGCATTTTACTTCCGCTACGCTAGCCGACTGCTTGAATGGGGCGAAATGCCATGGACAGGGGCGAACGGTCATCGGAGAAAGGAGCCTAGAGCTGTAAAGTTAACAACCGTTTTCATTCCGGTTAGCGCTCACCTCCTTACGAAATGGAGGTAAACCCGCAAATGTAGCTGCCTCAAGTCCCTCCGCCGACCAGGGAAAATCGCATGGCCATGAACCAGGGGAGAAAAAGTAGTAAAACATGTGTAAAAACAATGTCAACGTATCCCCCTCTTCAGCCTTGTGGCTGAAACTTCTTTGCCTTCCCTGAAGTCATTTATGCTGTATGAATGCTTCGCTCAACCCGGTACCGACCCGAGACGATACTCTATTCCCCAATTTCACCGGATGTCTCCACGAATGAGGGAATCGAGTTGTGCACGGAGTGCTTGACTTGTATGCCGTAACGTCCTTCCGCTTTGCGTCGCGGAAGCCAAGTGACGATACCTTTCCGAGCCTCGGCGATCGAGACTAAGCAACACCACCTAAAACTTCTCGTACTGGCTTCCTTGCTCCATCCAAACCCGTGCAGAGTTGAAAAGAGGGTAAGCGCGTTTCCGAAGATATAGCTTTTGGTAGGCGTCTACAGGTGAGTCATCCACGTTCTCACCTGCTGAAGAAGATTATTGTGAAAGATGGAAAAAACCTTACATAGGCATTGTAGTCCGGTTTCCGTACTACATGTTTCTTATCGGGAGATCAGTGGTTGTTCTTGCGCAGTGCTTCGGATGCATGCGGCTACAGGGCAAGGTCCAATAATCTTCGTCGTGGACTTAAATTAAACTGACCAGAGGGAATTCGTGGACTTCTTAGGAATACACGTCCCGGGAGAAGACTCAGCAGTGATGATCACAGTTCAGTGACTTCTTCTGGGGTCGTAAGAGGACGCACATGAGGGGCTATATATGAAATTCGTGAAGGGTATTCGTGTCTTCCATATGGAATACGTATAGCGTAGTCTGACTTTGTATCGGAGCCTCACCTGGCATGAGGCTGAGTCGACCAATGCAAAGCGCTGCATCCTAATAACCATTGTTTTGCTCCCATCGATAGTATTTGAAGAAGCCACAGTGGATAGGGGAATGAGAGAATGATGGAGACTTTCTACTCTGGCATCGTCTACCCACTGACTGTCGTAAACACGCCACCATCATGATTCGTCCAACGAACGATATATCCCTCGGTAGCTTAGTTTGTTACGGGACGTCGTCCCGTCGGGATTTGACTTGAGCTTCGTGGTCTAATATCTGATCTTCTCGATGAAGGGGAAAAGAAATGTCCTAGTTTGGATAATTCGGGAGTATGAAGAAAAATATGGCATGGCAAGTGGTCGTGGTAGAAAAAAACCCCGGAAACTACGCTATTGGAGTCTCCATATGATGATACTTGTACTTTCGCTCGCGGTAGTGGAAAGAGAATATTGGCCGAAACGTATGTCTAAGTAACCTGAGTCTCAGTTATATTCATGAATAATGGTGATGAGGTCAACTGATACGTACCGCACCTATTAAGGTCCCAGTCTTGTGAACAAGAGCTCCATTCGCTTGGCCTCATACAATGGGCTGTAGCGTTGAAGGAGGACTTCAATTGTCTCAAAGTCGACGACATCTCCAACAACATTCTGTGTTGGTGAGCGTGTAACCTATAATAAAAGATAAATCCAAAGAAGCTTCGGAAATGTCTTTGAAACTTGCCCGGAATCCGCGAACGGTAAGAGTGATATCTAGTTGCACCCCTTCGAGCAACTCGACAGACGCGGTTGCGTCGTGTGCAGTTGCTGACTTCAAAAAATAGCCAACAATTCCAAACGCCTGCTCGGAAAGCGCGCACTCCAGTTCTGTTTGAAAAAAGGATGGCGAGCAGTTGGAGGGTGGCGTTGGTGCCGAGGGCATTATGACCGGAGTATCAGAAAAGAGGTGAAAAGAGAAAGGTGAGGAATGCGAGGCTATATGAACATTATTCTTATGTTGAGGACCCATAAATATAAGAATACGAAATGTATAGGCTCATGAAAGTCGGAAAGAAGTGGAGTAATAGTGTAAAGTTTGATTCTAACGGTTTAGTCTATTGTGCCCAGAACTCTGGCTCACGGAAATTGCCGAAGCATCATGCCGTAGCCGTGCTGGCTTCGAGACCCAAAACGGACAACACGACGTTCTAAGCAGCGATGATTGCCTTCCAAGATGTTGATATTAAACTGTCAATAAACAGTTAGAGGAAGAGACAACGACCATGATTCGTACCAATAAGAGGGCATACGCCTATCCAAATCTTGCACATGGATTCATATAGTTAGCGAGAGGAAACTCCCCAGAGGATTTCCCACCCTAGAGTAATCTTGGGGCGTCATCTAGGTCTAGGCGGGGCTGTTGTCGCAAGTACTGTAGTTCTTTATTGGATTGATAATGTCATCAATAGTCAAATAACACAAATTTTGAGGATTTTTAACGAGCCCGCTAAAAGATGAATCAGTGCATGTAGCGTAAATTTCAAGGCTACAACTAGCTGTTTCCTCAAAAACAATTGAGGAGACAAACCTCACAATAACAATCTAGCATAACATCTGCATGCCTTGAGTACCGCGTGGCTACTTTCTCTATTTATATGAGGGTAGAATATCTTTTAAAAATGGGGTATTCTCTTTTACATACAGATTACCATATTCCTTAGTATCTAAAACGAGATTCCTATTGGCAGTATTTCTCCACATCACTCAGAAGGAAGAGTTTCTTGTAAGTCAGTCCTCCATTGACTTTAGTCACTCGACTATAGTCTCTACAGGCCTATTTGCAACTCTATGCGGTTATAAGACCAACTGCTCAGTTTCTCGCCAACTCTAACATGAATGGAAAGCGTATCATCAGTAACACTCGCGTGCATGTGCAAAAAGCCAGAATTTGAGTCACTTTTCGCGGATGCTTTTCGCTCGCTATGTCAGTATTGCACCCTACCTGACAGTCCCATATATACCTTGCTTGTGCGTCAATCGTCACATATTAACAGTTCAATGCCAACTCGGGAAACAATGGACAAGTTAGGAACAATCAGATACAGAGATAGGTCTCATTTCTCGGAGTATTACAGGCTCCAATTGCTACCTGAGTTCATTGAACGACTCCATCGTTCCTTGTCACACCAGAACCGAGGAGGGCGTTGGCATCATCCGGCATATTTGTAGGATATTACTCCGGAGACGTGATAAATTCCTTGCGTTCTAATTAGAAGAATAAAGTCAAGTTGAGCAAGCCAAACGGAAGATGAATAAAATATAGAATCCAACGACTAGAATTACCTTCCGAACGGTCTCTCAGCCCCGTTTTACATTAAGAAGAACAGAAAAGTGTTATCATTAGCGTACAATCGTCTGCCGGCTAAGTACGGCTCCGCAATGACAGATGTTGCGTTGGAACAGTATTGAACAGCGTTCTCGTCTGAGGCAAGAATCGAGTGTACAACAGTGGGGAGTGAGACAAAACCATCCCCCGAACCCTGCTCGGCAGGGGTCAGAGAAGGCATAAACCAAGTGTTATTCTTCCAGGTTGACTTCGATAAATCCGAGGCGTCCGCTCTCCAGAGAATTGTTTCCTAGAGAAGTTCGTGTAAGCCCCAAGCCTTTGTCTACGAGAACGACTTGATTCTGATGGAAACCTATTCAGTACGCTTTGAAGATGCATGACCTTCGCGTCGTGTACGATTTAAATTTAGTTCAGTTGACCCCGTTGTGTTTGTATTGAATTCTGTTAAGGGAAGAGGAAGAGGAGTCTCTAATGTTCGACAGATAGGAGTTTTGAGTTTCGTGGTACTGGAGCTCATTATTCGCCAATCGACCTTGCTCGTTTGTGCAGAGCATCCTGACTGAGGTATCCCCGAGTCCAAGGTCGACTTAGAGAATGACCGAGAAAGGCAATAGAGAGGATCGGCACGAAACGTAGTGCATCGACGTGATCGCGGCAACATACTACATAGACGCGCCTCACTTCTGCATCTCATCGTCTTAGCTGCCTCCTAAATTCGCCTGTTCATCCAATAGTGCTCTGGAACGGGTTATCTGCTATCAAAACATGGATGTTGTGAAAGCTGTCGAGACATATGTGAATAAGATGGTGTCAACCCCAAACGCAATGAAGGTGCTGCTCCTTGATGCACACACGGTGCGTTCATAACCGCTTATTGACTTATTATCTTGTACTAATATAATGTTTCACGTAAGACACCTATTGTTTCCCTATCTGCTACGCAGAGTGTGCTTCTATCTCAGCAAGTCTATCTAACTGACAAGATTGACAACCCACAACGGGAACGTATGCCTCACTTGAAGTGTGTCTGCTTCTTGCAAGCATCAGAAGAAAGCTTGACTGCCCTGGAGGCAGAACTTCGGGAGCCGAAATATGGAGAATACTACCTGTGTCAGTCAGTCAGGTTGTAGGTTCCCGGACCGGATTGAATTGAATACATCGATTTCAGACTTCAGCAACGTCCTTACCAAGATGGCAATAGAACGTCTGGCCGAGGCAGATGAATATGAAGTCGTGCGAGAAGTACAGGTGAACAATAAATCGTGTCGCGGTACTTACGCCATGCTAACGTCCGCTACATATGCTGCTAGGAATTTTTTGCCGACTACGCGTCCGTTCTGCCAGCATTGTTCTCCCTCAATCATACACCCTCAAGATCGTGCCCGCTTTACGGCTCCAACCCAAATGCTTGGAACCAAGAAGCCCTTGAGCGCTCAGTTCAGGGGCTGACTGCTGTCCTCTTGAGTCTGAAGAAGAAACCTGTCATTCGGTACGAAAGGATGAGTGAGATGGCGAAGAAGCTTGGGGTCGAAGTTCATGTGCGTTCCGACAGTTCGCCCAGCTCCTTTCCACGGCTGACGCCGGAAATTAGCATCGAATACAAAGCGAGAAGAGTCTGTTTGACTTCCGCCTTACTCAGATGCCTCCACTCTTGCTCCTGCTTGATCGTCGCAACGACCCTGTGACCCCTTTGCTCTCTCAATGGACCTATCAAGCCATGGTGCACGAATTAATTGGCATTCAGAACGGCAGGGTAGATCTCAGCCAAGCCCCTGGAATACGCACAGAATTACGTGTACGTCTATTTCTTCGCCTACAGCGGCCCTACATTTGACGCGCTTTGCCGTAGGAGATAACGCTTACAGTGTCGACGGATCCCTTCTTTCAAGGTCATCACCTCTCCACCTTCGGTGACCTGGGTACCTCCCTCAAATCCTATGTCCAGTCATATCAGTCACGATCTTTGGCACATTCTCCGTCAGCGATTAACTCGATCACTGACATGAAAAGGTTCGTTGAAGAATACCCGGAGTTCAGGAAGCTAGGCGGAAACGTCAGCAAACACGTGGCTTTGGTGGGTGAACTCAGCCGTTTGGTGGAAAAACACAAGCTGCTCGATCTCGGTGAAGTCGAGCAGGGGTTGGCGACGTCTTCCGGCGCAGACTTGAAGGTTCGATCTTCATATGCGACCCTGAACCTAGTTCTGACACCTTGCATGTCTAGTTTGTACAAAACATCATTCGTGATGGAGCTGTCTCACCACAACAGAAGCTGCGGATTGTAATACTCTTCGCATTGCGTTATCAGAAGACAAAAGCCAATGATATTGCAAACCTAATTAATCTCGCACTTGAAAACGGCGTATCAGCGGAGGATGCTAAGGTTGATCGTTACTGTCAACATCTCGCTTGTGTTTAACATGCCTTTCCCGTACAGCTCGTCTATGCCTTTCTTAATATCGCAGGTTCCGACCAGCGGCAAGGCGATCTATTCTCCACCGAAACTCTATTAGCGAAGGGCTTCAGCGCTTTGAAGGGTCTGAAGGTAAATATACTCCAACCCTACTCCAAGCACTATTTACGGCTTCTTCCCAGGGTGTTGAGAACGTCTATACACAACACAACCCGAATCTATCTCAGACGCTTGAGAATTTGCTCAAGGGTCGGTTAAAGGAGGCTTCATATCCGTTTGTAGAGAACCCTGGTCCGAATGCAGCTCTACAGAGGTCTGATCATTAGCGATCTAGAGGGATGTTACGAGTTGATTCCGAAATCTCTAGACCTCAAGACGTGATTATTTTTATCATTGGCGGAACCACCTACGAAGAAGCCCGGGTCGTCTCTCTCCTAAACCAAGACCTAAGCTCTGGTAATGGACCGCCAGGATCTGCTACCGCTTCTGCTGCGGGAACACGGATACTTCTGGGTGGAACAACTGTGCATAATTCAGGAAGGTGAGAAATTCGGTGTTTTGGTTCTAGACGATGCCGGATAAGCTTTCTTCGTCCGTTTAGCTTTGTGGATATGATTAGAACTGCTGCTGCGAATTTCCCACCAACGGTGTATGACCCTCCGCCCGAAGCGCCGTCGAACGCACCAGCATTGAATTTGACGTTGGGCAACGTAAACGTTAGTCTTGGAGGGCCTGGAGCTGGTGTATTTCGAACGGACGGCAGGAGCGGGCCGGCTGTTCAGGCTGATGGGATTAGAGACGGCGTGCGTAGTTTGCTCGGGAAGGTACGGGAGGGCGTGGACCGAATTGGTCTGCAGTAGTTTGATCATTCTGTATATCATAATTTATTCGCGGACATTTAACCTATGCTTTGCAAAAATAATTGATGGAATTATAAATATATGGTATAAATTACTATAATAATGTGTTGCAGATGATTTCAGATTTGATTACGAAAGAGACGCGGCCGCCACGAAACACGTATTCCGCGTCAATTCGCCGAGCATGGGTTGACGTGTCAACGACTCTGCTGTAACCGCTGGTGACAACCTGCACTTCAAGCCGCTCGCTGTCTCTCCCTTCTCTCCCTCACTCCTTTACACCTGTATCACTATTCAGACAGCATGGCGAAGGGGATGTTCGGGGGCCTAAAGGGCATCGATGCCTTTGGCAAGGCAAGCAAATTATTTCCACTTATTGTAACTTCGTTGTCAACTGGGAAATTATTCAGACTATGGAAGATGTGAAGGTCAAGACGAAGACCGGTGCTTTCTGTGAGTTATGCGTCACTGTTTATGTCGATACGATTGGCTAATGAACATGCACAGTGACCATTCTGTCTGCCGCAATCATATTGGCATTCACGACAATCGAGTTCTTGGATTACCGACGCGTCAATCTAGAGACATCCATTGTGGTTGATAGAAGTCGTGGGGAACGTCTGACCGTACGAATGAACGTCACCTTCCCAAAGGTGCCATGCTACCGTACGTCGATCGCCACACCACACGCTTGACATGCCATAAGTCTGACACGCCTGTTCTATTCTAGTACTTAGCTTGGATGTCATGGACATTAGCGGAGAAGCACAACGCGATATTTCACACAACATTGTTAAAGCTCGTCTTGACGCAAATGGCGCAGTCGTCCCAAACTCACACAGCGCGGAGTTACGAAACAAGTTGGATGTCATGAATGACCAGACTCAGGATAATTATTGTGGTTCTTGCTATGGTGGTGTTGCACCAGAAGGCGGTTGCTGTAATACTTGCGAGGAAGTTCGTCAGGCATACGTGAATAAGGGATGGAGTTTCAGCAATCCAGATTCAATTGAGCAGGTCAGCATGATTTCAGATGAAATGTTACCAAAGGCTAATTCTTTTCTTCCTTGATCGTAGTGTGTACGGGAGCACTGGTCAGAAAAACTCCACGAACAGTCAACTGAAGGGTGCAACATCTCGGGTCGTCTGCGTGTAAACAAAGTCATTGGCAACATCCATCTCTCTCCGGGTCGCTCGTTCCAGACAAACTACATGAACATTCATGAACTCGTTCCGTACTTGAAAGAAGACAAGAACCGCCATGACTTCGGGCACATAGTACACGAACTCTCATTTGAAGGTGATGACGAGTATAACTTCAGGAAGAAAGAAAGGAGTAAGGGTATCAAGAAGAAACTTGGTATTGAGGCGAACCCGTTAGATGGAGCTGTTGGAAAGGTAGTGTGCTTGATTGCTTACACCTGGATGAAATTCATGATTGCTTTTCAGGCTGCATCACTACAATATATGTTCCAGTACTTCGTAAAAGTCGTTTCGACAAAGTTTGAACTTATGGACGGACAGACGGTATGTTACTTTTGTTTCTTTGATGAGTGTTACTTACCTGTGCATCAGGTGAAAACGCACCAATACAGTGCAACTCATTTCGAGCGTGACCTTACCACTGGCGCTATTGGACAAACAAAGGAAGGTGTCCATATTGCTCATACAAACGTCGGCATGCCGGGTAAGTTTTGGAATTGTCAGCTCAAGGGGAATATTGGTTAACTAGAACTCGGATTATTAGGAGTATTCATCAACTACGAGATTTCACCGCTTCTCGTCGTACATAGCGAGACTCGCCAATCCTTCGCGCATTTCCTCACTTCGTGAGTTTATGGTTGTATGCATTGATGTCCTGCATGTTTACTGATTTATTTGACAGGACGTGCGCAATTATCGGTGGAGTCCTGACCATTGCGACGATCGTGGATAGCGTAGTGTTCGCGACTGGGAGAAGATTGAAAAAGAGTGGGGTAGGATCTGCAAATGGGTATAGCAGTAGTAAAGTCATGTAACAGATTTTGACTGCTTATGCGTTATTTTTCTTTTTGCCACAAATGTAAGGAAGTATAGTGTGAAAATACGATCGTGTTGAATACAAAATGCATCACTAGTCTATCAAAACACGTACACGCGATCGAGTCATATGAGCCGTTGTCATACCTTTCCAACTGCGGTCACAGAACCATCTGGGCGCTGTTCGCTTCATTCCCATGTATTAAAGCCGAAGCTAGGCTTCCCAGTCATTTCTTTTAATACTGTCATCATCTACAAAGTGTTGATATGCCCCATGCTGAAAGTCAAAATGAAAAGCGCGAGGCAGATGCTGCTGGTATAACGCGTGAACGGGAGTCTTGGTATGTTGGCTATGGACGCACGCCTATTCTTGGAGAGATGGAAGTCAACATGACGCGACGTGAACGTCGTCGGTCGAGACGTTTTCATCATTTTGCGCTCTTGACGGTCTTGCTTGTCTTCATTCATTATTGGCGGTCTAATACTTGGTTTCCGTTATCTGTTGGACCTAAAGGAGGTGATGAGAAGCCTGGAAATGTCGAAAATGCTCCTTATTGGTTTAACTGGACTGCAGTAAGTGATCACGGTCATTTTTCTTTTTTTCTTTGAACTGTGTTACTTAACTTGGCCTTTAGCAACGGCCATCGAAAGCACTCAATTGGACAGACTGTTATGAGCGATTCCAGTGTGCTAGACTGACGGTAAGTCAATATTATACCAGTTTCATGGGTATAGTGTCGAATTAATGCTTGTGTTTCCACAGGTGCCTATGTTGTATGATGAGCCATCTGGAGAAGAAGCGGCTGTCGCGTTGGTCATGTCTCCGTCGATTTATCCACCAGGGCACGAAAAGTACCGAGGTCCTATCCTGTTCAATCCTGGTTGGTATCATTGTATTGAAAATCAAGAGCATTCGAACCAAAGTTGATGACTGTGCCTTCTACGTTTAGGAGGACCAGGAGGGTCCGGAGTGGAGACTGTATTGTTACTTGAAGAGGCTTTCAGGACAATTTTGTCTGATGGGTTTGACCTCGTCGGCTTTGATCCAAGAGGTGCGCATATAGGCCGTTTTACAGCAGGCAACTTCGGATTTAATCGAACCTACGTTTTTATATAGGTGTTGGATTCACAACTCCTTCACTAACTGCTTTCGCGGATCGAGTCGAAGCTGGCAAGTTCTTCTCGCAATTCCCTCTCGACCTCAATGCGTCTATGTCTTCGCTTGGAGAAGCATATGCGCGAGGGAAAATTCTTAGCAACCTTGTAAAGGACCGCGCTCGATATGTTGCCGAGAGAGTGTCAACTCCACTTGTCGCTCGTGATATGCTGAGCATTGTAAAAGCGTTCGGACAGGACAAAATTCAATATTGGGGATTCTCGTAGGTATTTTTAGTTTGGATTTGCATGTTTGTTTGACTTCCAAGGTTGGTTAGTTATGGAACAGTCCTTGGTGCAACGTGAGTTCACTCTAGTGCCTCAACTTTGCCTCGTCCTAAAACTGTGCATCTAGGTTTGCAGCAATGTTCCCAGTAAGTCGAGCCTTATCAATCATATCGTCTTGAGTGACATCTGACCGAGCGACTCTAGGACAATGTTGGACGACTGATCATTGATGGCGTCGTAGACACGGAAGATTATTACAAAGGTTGGTGATATTAGTTTGAACCGAAATCAAAAGCACGAGTTCCAGTATCTTACGATTCGAACAGGTGCATGGGGGAACAATCTCCGAGACACAGACAAAGCACTTCAGGTATTTTACCAATCATGTGTTGCTGCTGGACCGTCAAAATGCCCTTTATACGAAAACAGCACGTCACTCGTCCAGGCACGAGTTGAGCGTGTGCTGAACAAGCTAAAATCGGCCCCAATACCCGTCTATGGCTCCCTGTTTGACGCCCCTATAGAATTTAGTGTTATCGATTACGGAGTGGTGAGGAATGTCATACTCGTCATTCTGTACAACTTGCATGCGCTCGGCCGATTCCTTGCGGAAACACTTAGCGATCTTGAAGACGGACATGCAGATTTACTTCATTTTATTTCGGTGAGGCGTGTGTTCGATCAGCTCATGAAGTGCGATTGCCCTGCGCCTGGAGAGGCACCTGCTCCGTTCAGTGGGTTCTATGAGACGACGTATTCGATTGCATGCGGTGATGCGGTGGATCGTGATGATGACCTTGAAAGTGTACGTCAAGCATTCGATGAGATGGCTAAGATGTCAAGCTTTGCACCGTCCTGGCCTCATGGAGTTGCCTGCGCGTGAGTTCAATTCTTTGTGCTTTCCGATATTGACTTAATATGTTATCTATACAGTGTTTGGGAGTTGCGATCAAAGGAGCGGTTCAATGGTTTATATAGTCGATTTCACCTGAGTCGACTGCGTGTTAACTTCTGATTATAGGGTCATTTGAGCAAACTACGAGCCATCCCTTGCTTCTGATCGGAAATACAGCAGGTGAATAAAATTTTGATTGCAGAAGGATAGCTTGCTCACCTAGTTATTTCAATCAATAGACCCCGTGACCCCTGTTTGGAAGTAAGTCGTGAATTTCAGGTGTAGCGCATAATACCTATATGCTCGATAGTGCCCATAAGGTCTCAAAATGGTTCAAGGACTCAGTAGTCCTGACGCAGGACTCTCCAGGAGTGAGTACTTGACCAATGGATCCTGCTTTCCGTTGTCACCTTGCTGATGAGTGACTGCAGCACTGCTCGATCGCAGCAGCGTCGCTTTGCACGATCAAAGCTGTCCAGGACTATTTCATCGATGGAACTCTCCCTGAAGAAGGTAAAGTCTGCGACGTGCAGAGCAGTATATTCGGAGAGAAGGAGTTCAGTTTGGATACTTTGGGTGTGGAGGACAGGAAATTGATGGAAGCGGCACAGAAGCTTCAGGAGAATTACTTCGTTCCGGTAATTGGCGGTGGCGGAGTTCTGGGTGTATGAGACCATACTAGTTGTACTGATTGATTAGGCCATGCCTCAATGAATAAACGAAGCTCCACTCACTGAAAGCGACATCCTTCTAGTTTATCTAGCAGGGGCAGGTAACTAGAGTCGATTTCCTAAAGCGTCACACGCAGCGACCACTGGTAGCTCCACAGATTATCAGAAAGGCTGTATCATTTCTGTGTCCAACGGGAAGATAATGCATTTACTGGATTGTCTAAGTCGTAGAGTGCGTCAAATATGCACTTGTGTTGTGCTTCTTACTGGTGAGGCTTTATGTACGCAACAATTGATAAATACGGACCAACAACGTCTTGCTGAACTTCCATTGCGACGCATTCAGACGCAGCATGCACAACATTTCCTCCATGCCACAAAGGCTTAACAAGGCACAGAAAAGAATCTTGGGATTAAATAACATCAATCGACATGGAAAATCAAGGTGAAGGTATGTCTAGTGGTTTTGCTTTTTGTAACATCACGGTTTGACCTGTACTGATTGTAATGTTCAACTAAGCAGCTGTACTTGTTCGGACCCTTAACTCCCTCCTCACGAGCCTAGAAATCTCTCTCGTATTACAAACCATACAAGACCTTACACCACCTCTCATCCTCATGATCTTCGAGTCAATGCTCCGAACTCGTCTGCCGATCTCAAAGGAAACACGCAAGTCAGCAACATACCCTGCTCGAGTGGAAGCAATGAAGATATTCATTGGTGTACTGGCCGATGACGTTCTTGGGATCGATGTTGGCCTGGGCGAATTGGATCCGAGGCGATTAGCGGAAGGGAGACGCGAGGAGGTGTTGCGTGTTGCAGAGGTTTTGTGTTGGCTTGGGAAGCGGATGAGTTATATTTCACAGGATGGGTTGGCTGTTGGGAACGTCGCAAGATCTAGGGATACTTTTAACATTGCAGGTGGAAGTGGGAATGGTGGGAATGTTGATGGACCGACATCGCCGTCTTTGTTGTCCGCTGTGTCGACGAACCATGACGATTCGTTGTTAGTGCATTCGACACGCAGCTTCGACGAGTCGCACACGACGATTAGTACACATGACGTTCTGGAGGATGACTCTCAAGATTTGCAGGCCAACGAATCTGTCAACTTTATTTCTCAGCATTTTCTGCGTCCATCACGAAGGGAAAGGGAGGATTCCCTTCTTCATGCCGAACATACGCATTTACACCAAGTGGACGACTCTTCGTTAGCTCAACTATGTCCAATTAGGAGACCATCAAGACGGTACGACTCTGATTCAGAGGGGAGCAGCGACAGTCGCACGGACAATGATTCATTTTGCGATTGTCCGAATGATGTCTTGGGGAGCTCAAATATCACGCCACCCATACGTACAACAGGACATTTGGAGACGATTGACTTTGAAGACGAGTTAAGGCTTTATGAGTTGCGAAGACGTATGAACCCGAAGCCCCGGATTTCTGTGAGTTTTCTTTGCATAATATGCAAATAACACTTTTACCGAGCAACAATGTTTTGTTATTAGAATTCGAGTCCGTCTACTCCGAGAACTCCAGCTGGAAGTTCATCAGGCAGGATCATCACCCGACATACCTCTCCAACTCAATACACCCTTGCCCTCTTGGATGAACGAGCCCGACTTTGGTCCGAACTTTCACGGTTTAAACATGATCGGACCTAAAGGGTATTTTTTTTCTTGGTCTGGAACCCTGTCTTGCCCTGGTCCTGGTGGATCCACCTCATTGACCTACCTGGAGGTTACTCACTTCTCTCTGGCATGCGCAATGTATATGTATCTTATTTGTGGGTTTGTATACTTTCCTTGTAGTTTAACTTGCCGTAAGTGTAGAATGGACTATAATTAGATGTGTAAAGTTGCGGAATCTAATAGTAACTAAGTATTACATGCGAACGTGGATTAACACATAGTTTAATCGACCTTGCGAGACCAACGGCGTCCGGTAGGGGATGCGAAGCGTTGTTGACCCGCTGGTGACGCAGGCTGTATAACAATATCGACTCTATCTTTCTCCATCGGAGGGCCTCTACCAATGTCTACACCCTTACTCTCCGCATCCCGACCCCAGTACATCCACATTTGTGCCCCAAGAACGCAATTAAGTGCGAGTGCGGTGGCGAATGCGAGGAAGAGGAGTGGGTCGCCGACTTCTGTGGCTGTTGTGAAAAGACGAGCGAGACAACCTGCGATTTGCGAGATGACTGCGAAGGCGGAGAGTTGGCCTGTTGAGCGTGCGCGGTGATTCGTCATGATTTGTGGCAGCTTAGAAAGAACACTGAGTGGAGTCGTCGCAAGCTGGAGAAGCGCTAGGGTCGTTGGTGGGAGCGTGTACAACGCGAATCCACCCGCGAGGACAGCAAGCAATGTCACCATCGCAGAGGACACGTTGGTCTTGACGCGGTGCATGGTTGAGGTAGGGTAGTACGCCATGAGGACTGTGATGAGCGCGTTTTGAAGAGTGAGGAAGAAGTTCTCCCCATAGGTTGAGAATGGGAAGTCGTTCCTGTAGGAATAGACTAGTGTGATTGCGTAGGAGAGTGTCTCGAGGACGTAAGCAGTGAAGGAGAGTCCACGCGCTGAGCGTGCCCTCAGGACTATAAACGAAACAAAAAATCAGCTCACAGTGAGTCTGATTCTTCACGCCGTTGTACACTTACTGATGAGGACCTGAGGAACTTTCATTATGGAGCCCCCGACAACGATCCCTATTCCAAGGCCCTTGGACAACGCGTACTTGAGGCAGTCAATGTCACCGACATTAAGTTCCTCGACGAGCGAGCGGTAACATTTCTATGGAGTACTCGAATTTAATATAAGTTTCTTCGGTTTACGGGAACACATACCTCGCCAACAATAGCCACTGCGGGGTCACGGATGAACCAAGGGAAGTTCTGAGTGATGGAGGTCATGGTAGAGCAGCTTGTGAGGAATCAAGCAGCACGGACGCGACGTGTCCTTCAACTGATTTTGAAGCGCCGATCATCCAATTTCGAATCCGATTATTATTTTTTCAGCTGAAAGATGCAAAGTAGACAAATGTTCTTCTAGGCTCCATATTCAGGGAAGTGCTGCGACTGCATTGCAAAGGGAAAACACATAAAGGTAAAAAAAGAGTTGTTAATATGACTGCCATAGCGGCGCCTGGTTTCGATCCAGGGACCTCAAGGTTATGAGCCTTGCGCGCTTGGCCGCTGCGCCACGCCGCTTGCATTCAATTGTTCCCAATAGATAAATATATACACAAAACATAAAGTAAATAGTAATTACATCCACTTATCAGTGGATCACCTCATAGCCTGAGGTTTGCATAACACAACAAACGTTAACTAGGCAGGTGGAAAGGTGTAGAAGACCTTGCGTGGCGTAGAATGTGAACGGAAAATGCTGAAGACGATAAATAAATAGATACAAGCGGTGGTGTTGGCGACGCTAATGATTCGTCAACCACAAAGGACGGAGTAATACATGATATTGAACAACTAAACGAAGCGTAAATACAGAAGTACTAATTAATGCTCTGCATCTTAATCGCGTGCACAAGATGGACCGAGTCACTAAGTACAGGACCTTCTATGAGGTATTTCATGGTATGACCAGACGAGACGACGATTACCAAAGGAAATAATAAATACACAAATGACTTAAGCCCATAAGAGAAAAAGAATGAAACAGAACTGTTCGTAACTGCTTCACTGACCAGATCTCGCCCGTTCGAACCACCCGCCATCTTCCCAATTCACTCCCGGCTTATAAATTGTAGTTTCTCTCTGATCAGGGTGTAGAATACCGCTCAGGATTTTTCGTAGGCGTTTGAATTCAATCGGCTTGAGGATCCAGCCGTCTATCCCGTAACCGAGCATCTCCTCACGCTGACTTTCAGGCAAAGACGCAGAAACAGCGAATATCGGGATACGACCTCCGTTGAGATCTTTTGACTTGCGAGCCTGAATCTTTCCAGGGGACACTGGGGACGATGCCGAGGCAAGTGGAAGCTCCCGAATGGCCTTGGCAGCTTCAAATCCATTTAGAATAGGCATTCTTTTACAACTTCAGTTAGAAGACGAAGTTGAACACGTTGAAAAAGAACGCACTGAATATCCATTAGGATGCAGTCGAATTCGCCATCGGACTTGACGGCTTCTACACCCTCCAATCCATCGCGTGTGCCGACAACAGTATGACCGTCAAGGGTAAGACGCTTGGTCAGTATCGTCCGGTTGATATGGTCGTCCTATTCAACCAGTGTTACCTTTTATTCCCCATTATTAAAACAATCAGCCTACCTCCACGACGAGAACCCTTAACTTATCATTCGGAACTGCCTGAGAAGGAGATACCTGTGCGGGGCTACGAGTACCAGATGGAGGCGAAAGACGAAGCGGCACAGGAGTCGGCGCCATCGTCTTGATCTGAGATGTTTCAACTGATTTGTCGACATCGAATTCGTCGACCTTCAAACTCTTAATTGGGAAGCGCGAGTCCGCAACGTTGAACGTGCCCTCTTTCGCCGGCAAACGGGGATTGTATTGCCGCTTTCTTTCCCTCGTCTGTCTGACGGCCCGTGGCCTCTTCATGTGGTCGGATTGGAGAGCCTCCACGATACCGTCAATTTCACTCGAGTCACTACTCTTCCGGCTACGTAACGATTGGATAGATGAACTGGAATGAGCTGGAGACATGGCACCCTGATTGTCCGCTGGAGGCAATTCGAAGGGAATCAAGAAGGAAAATCGTGAGCCTTCATTCGGTTTCGAGTCCACGCGAAGTTGACCGCCAAGCTGCTCGACAATTCTTGCAACCACGGCAAGACCTAGTCCTAACGAACGAGGATAAATATAAAGTTGATAGTTGCATGGGGAACATACCGAGACTATGCATATCGGACGACCGTGAAATGGATGTTTCAACTTGCTCGAACACTTGGAAAATGTTCTCCAGTCTCGCACTCTCAATGCCACAACCTGTGTCACCAACAACAATTTCTACCGCGACCTCTTTTGAATTCCGTAAGCCACGAGGTTCTTCGAATTTATGGCAGGATACTGTAACTTTCCCCTCCGTCGTAAATTTGACTTACAGCCTCCGAGTGAGATTTGATACAAGGTGAACTAGGGCATCCACATACCAGCATTCGCGGTCAGATTGGCCACGACTGTGCGAATCTTCTTTGCATCACCAACGACGACCTTAGGACAACTTGATATATCCAAGTCAAATTGGACGTTGCGCCGAGTAGCCTCGTTTCTACTCATCGAATTAGTACCAACGAAGCAAGGGAGCGGTATTTACGGACCTGTATAGTTGAACGGCATCTGCAATTGTTTCATGAAGATTGAATGGCTCATTGAAATAGGTCTCGTTCCCGCTCTCAAGCCTCGTCAAGTCCTATAATAAATCACTATAAGCTCCTGAGGCAAAGCCTTCCCAAAGTCTTATCCTTACGAGCAAATCGTTGATGGTGAATAGCAGGCTCTGGAAGAACTATTAGCAAAACAGAAAAAGATATGTATGTGTGAGTTTTACCTTGGACGCAGAATGCGACCTGCTAAGGTTTTCGCGAGTCTCTGTATCCAGTGGTCCGTTGAGAGCCATCTCAAGGTAACTTTGTAACATGAAATGTCAGTAAATATAGCTGGATCAACTAAGCAACACACTTTATGATATGGTTCAAAGGCGTCCGCACTTCCAAAGACGTTAATAACGAAAAATGGAAACCCAAGGATACACACCTTCGTGACTAGCATTGGACAACAGTATGTTCGTTAGCTGCGTCGTCTGTAGAGCGGATTCTTTTTGTCTCCACACTTCTATGAACTAAATGAAGGTTACTAAGTGATGAGAAGTACACTCGGGGAGATTGACACCCTCACCTTCCCATATACAAGTGCGAGGACGCCGGCAGTTTCCATTTGCTCTTCTGTCCATGCTCGGCATCTACCTGCAACAGTTTCAGACCATGTCTATTTGAAGGTCATCGTCAATAATATGATCGTCGTCCATGCTATGAACGACTCACTTTGAAAGACTTCCGCGGTTCCATGACTGATTCCACATTGTAGTCTTTATATGGCTTCCCTGCCCAGTGCACGTCCCGCAGCTGACCTTTGCGGAGGAAAGCGATGAAATCTTTGCCTCCTCGAGATAAAGGCACGTAAAGTAGGCCCGCAATAACTTCCAGCCCACTGGGTAGCTGCAGATCAGGGAAATCTTTTACAACTGATTGCGAGACTTGTAGCAGCCTAGACGAAAATTTAATCTCGGGCTGCGCGAATCCACGTAAGTAACGTACGTAAACTGCTTTAATCGCAGGTATTCGGCGACAAGCAGGATCTCCTGACCATGTTGATTCGGACCCAGGATCTTCGCGCCGTCACCGATAACGAGCACACCGAAATCGGCATCAAACAGACTAAGAAGATCCTCGGCATTTGAGACTATATACCCGGTCGGGTGCGAATCGGTAGGCAAGGTACTAATCTGAGGTTACGGTTGCGTCAGTAAACACTAGATAAAACAAGACAAGAAACCCGCGCACCAGTTTACGGGTGAGAAGGCGTTGCGCATAGCTCAATCGTTCAATGTTGCGAGATATCGAATCGCTAAGAAGTCTCAACATTTGGCGAACGGGGAAGGAAACTCGCATTCCTTGCACACCATATGAGTGACATGAGATGAGCCCCCATAAAGCACCGAAAGTTACAATCGACTACGATCAATGAGTAGCAAACTCCTGATAAATAGGTTGTAAAGCTTACGATTGACATAGAGGATCGAACTCCCATGTTAGCAATATATTTGATGTGAATTGGGCTCATAGCCCGAAGGAATGAATGTGTCATGTCCTTCAAGGCAAGTCAGGCGCGAAGAAAGAAGGGGAAAAATATCAGAACGAACCAAAGGCGTCTCCAGGTCCTCTTGACCCCGAACAACGAGACGGGCGGTAGCCTGAGACCGGTTGTATAATAATCGCACCTTATCTAGAAACGACAGTCTCAGACAAGAACACGAAAATAACGCGATTCTACTCACTAATTTTGTACAGCTCTCGAGCCTGGATGAACCGTCAGCTGAAGCATAAGAGATCAAATATACGACATGCCTGAGCTGGAACATCCGAAGCCGGGAAGTGCAGTCCTTTATAAAGTTCATGTGTCTGCCTCCAATCAACGAGTTCTGCAACCACTTGACCATTATACTGCTCGTCAAACTGGTAGACCAACACGCGATGGAACTGAGTCAAATCTTTAATCACACCAACGACGACCTTGAGGAATGACTCAAGATCCGGTGCTGAACTCAGTTGATCATTCACTTGCGCTAAAACGGCGAAGATATCCATAGTACCAACGCCAGTCTGTGCACCTCGCCTCGCCCTTGCTCGCTGCTTCCGCGTCTGAGCCGTTTCAAAGGCTCCTAAACCAGATCTTTCAGTGCCTGGGTTACTGAACGTACGATTTATCCGCCTCATACGTTCAAGGGCTTTCAGAGGCTTCGCATGGCTTGTCGTACTCTCAAAAACGTCCTCAGGCCTCGGGAACCATTGCTCCTCACCCTCGAGACCCCCTTGTTCTGCTGCTAGAAACAGCTCGGCGGGATTGAGCATTGTGGTGTGCACGTCAGATGTGCTCGGTTCTGTGCTACTGGAAAGCGGCGCCGTATTCTTGACAGTCGGTCCTGGAGAAGCGTACATCTCGGTAGTGGAGCCCGAATCTCTGCTGAACGTCGTCGCCGTAGTTGAACCGGAGCTCGTTCTAGAGCTGTTACTACTAGGCTGGGAGTCTGGTGAACCCGACGGGATAACATCGCTCTGGAATGGCGGGTATAGTGGGTTGTATAAATCTCGCTCCAATTCGAATTCGAGAATGATGATTGATCGCTCAAATGGCCCTGGGGCCTTACCATCCATGTTTGCATTCGCCTGTACACGCAACGGAGGACGATGCGCGGCACACCAGCAAGTCCAAAATCGTCTATCACCTTCCCTTTCTATCTCTTCGTCTTCATCCGAGGGAGCACTACCAGGCTCACCCCAGCCACTTAGCAAGAACACTTGGGGATTATCGTTTGTTCCTTGTTCGCCTTCAGAGAATTCAGAATCATTGAGGAACTGCACATTATCCCAAAGTAGATCCGCTTGAGAATCCGGCAGAGTTTGGGTAAAACATTCAAGATTGAAAAGGTATCGGGGAGAAAGACCAAGTATCTCCGTCGCATTCTGATGACAAATTAAGTATTTATGCAAAAGCTGTATCCTGTTTCATACCTCTGACACCTGTCGTACTATCAAATTACCAGTATTGTCATCTTCTTGGACAGCAATCAAAACGCCAAAGCCTTGGACAGCCCCTGGTGCGTGGATCGGCTTTTATAAAAGCAAAATTGTCAAGTACAGGGATTCCAAAGTGCGGATCGGCCACGTACCTCATCCTCGCATTTTGTCAGGACACCTTCTCGTCCTGTTATAACATGGAAGCCGTCCTCGTCTACCACGTGTTCAAACCTAAATGTCACTAACTCGCTTGAAGAACTCATATTCATCGAGGACGGCGTCGCGCCAACAGCATCGCCCGCAGAATCTGTACCAGAAAGACCTCCTGATTGAGTACCTTCACCTGCAGAATCTTTCCCTCTGTCGGACCTTCCCCAAGGGTCGGAGCCGGAGCCGGAGAAAGGGCTCTGGATATTGTCCCTCGCCTTTCTACTCGATACCAGAGAGCCGCCTGACAGTGAGGATCCACCACTTTCAGATGCACTGTGAGAGGACACAGGTGGAAGATGCACTATTCCTGACTGACTAAAATCAATCGGCTTCGAATGAGAAGGTTCATCTCCTGCTTGAGCCTGCATTGGTTTAGGCATACGAAGGGAGGGAGTCGTGTAAACAGTTGCTAGTACATCAGCACCAGCCGACGAGATGGGTTCTGGATGACGCGGATCATACTCATCCTCGTCTCGATCGCCAGGAAGGATCATAATACGCTGCTCATTCTCTTCAGCATTGTCCTCTGGCAAGGTGATTGTAACATCAGTGTTTTCAGGTACTGAGTCGTTCTTCGTTCCTTCGGTTCCTAAAACTGCAGTTTCTTCATTTTGCGGCGTAGGGTCCTGGCTAGACGCAGAGTCGTGTTTTGGAATGGGGTTGACAGGCTCGGAAACGCTCGCTTCGCCACGCAAAGGGATGAACGGGCTATCTTCTGTATCCTTGAACAAGGAAATTGCATCGTCTGACTTAGAAGGCACCATTGAACTTCGTGCTTGGTTATCTTTAAGGTCCCTCTCTCGCTTCAGCTGGGCAGCAGCTTGGGACATGCTTAAATAAGTGGGCGCGGCGCCGACTGTACCGACAATCCCAGTGCCCAGAGACTGATCGTGCTTAGCTGGCTGGATGCCAGAGAGAAGCGAGCGAACAGGATAAACGTAACTCGTTGCAGAAGATGAAGAGGATGATGCGGGGTTCGCGCCAGAGGATGCCGGTTCCTTGATCGAAGCCGGGGTGGGAGTTGCTTCGGAAGAGGTGAACCCGGGCCTCTCGGCGTCGCCTTTGCGCTGCTCGTCGCCGACAGACATCGTGTCCGCGAGCGTCGAATGGAAGACGGCGGGGGGCACGCAGAAAACGGGCGTATACACTAAGCCCCGAACCTTTTTCCGAAATGAATGCGCGTCACGAGTTCGTGACGCAATTTGTTTGGATTGGTGGAAGATCAAGATGACTATGACCTGCCTTATCGGGGGTTGCCCTGTGTTTTGCAATGGACGCCTTCTTGGTGCGAGGTCAGCAGCTGCTCCTCATTCTCTGCGCGCTCTATCTCGTGTTTCTGTCCCTTCTCACTATCCCGTACTTCCAAAGACAGTCAGTACATGCAACGAAGCTCTGATATTAGTTGCTGATCGGGATCGTTTCACTGCATTGCCATACTTAGTGCGATTTACCTTCATGCGCTCCGCTTGCCGCTATTCGTGGACTTCAACAATCCAGTAAAACATGGCCTTCCCGGTGGGCACAAATGATGCATTTTCGTTTGAGCCTTTCTAACAACTGGTGGGGGCCATCAGCTAGCAGGTCCCTCAACATACAACTAGAAACTCGTGACAATGTCCGACTCGGAGCTTGGCTTGTTCTTCCTCCGTTGAACCAGAAACAGACAGCTTTTGATGGTCCTCCAAGCGTGACCGAGATATCCGAAAGTATTTCAACGCGACCGACGATACTGTTGTTCCATGGAAACGCTGCGAGTCGTGCTATGTCGTTCCGTGTTCAGCACTGTTCGACATACGCATCTCGTTTCGGTGCCAATGTCCTTGCTATAGACTACCGCGGCTTTGGAGATTCCGAGGGAACACCCAGCGAGGACGGACTTATCTCTGATGCGCGCGCCGCATGGGACTGGGCCGTTCATCATGGCGCCACACCGGAAAATATGCTTTTGGTCGGGCTGAGTCTCGGAACTGGTGTATCTGCTGGACTTGGAGCAGAACTGGCCAAGGAAGGTATGTATTCAAGTGACTGCTCTGAGTTCCGACGTATAATCCGCTCCAACTTTTCAGGTATTCATCCAAGAGGGATTATATTACTTGCACCGTTCACATCTATCAAATCGCTATTATACGATTACCACCTGTTCGGGTTGATACCCATTTTACAGCCTCTTAACTTTTACCCTCCCCTACAAGGTAAAGTGGACGAAATGTAGCTTTACATGATCTCAATGTCTTGTCAGATTTTTTCGCAAAATACCTAATTACGCACTTCAACTCTAGTCAGACTCTTCCAGTATGTCTGTCCTTCCGAAATACTGCCATTATTACCGACGTTCGACTTTGTAGACGATAAAGTCTCGCATACTTCTCGTGCATTCCAAAGACGATGTCGAGATCCCGCACTCACATTCGCAATCTCTCTTCGATGGCATTGTAGATCAATTTCTTCCAATCCTGCCTGCTCTACCCGAATCAACTAGTGAATTGCAAGGATTTGACTGGGCTGGGTTCGAAGCGGCAAAGAAAGAGCGGCAGACTAGCAGGGATGCACTCGTAAGGAAGCAAGAAATTCCTGGTTTTGCAACTGTTCATCGGCTGCATCGACCGGGCGAGTTTGGCGAGGTGTTGTTTGTGGAGGCGGAATATGGAGGACATGACCGCGTTGGACTCCAAGAGAGCTTGATTGATCTGATTAGCTACGAGCTCTTCTGATATGGAGTTGTCTTTGGTGGACAAGTGCTGTAGTCGTGGCAAAAGGCAATATGCAAGGTAGGAAGACTTTGCGAGCTCGATACCGATTCATTATCGTTCGTTGTACAGGGCTTGGGAATTTGTTTGCTTTGTCTCGTGCAAGAAACAGACATAGGTGCACAGCTTGGTTTCCTTCTTAACACTACATTTACTACTTAGAAGTATGTTCAGGATTTGACCTTATACCATTCGTTGCCAATGTTGCAAGCCTGCTCCTCTCTATATAATTATAAGTTCTTCGAATGTGATCTAGCTGAATAATATGCACTGTGGTCGTTGGTACTTTGTAAACAAATCTTGTCTCTCTCACATTTTCTGACACTGTACTACTTGTCTCCATTCTCTCTACTCTAGGACTCAAGCCATTAGGGCCCAATGACCTTGCAGTCCTATTTCTGCATTTAAAACACAAATGTGTGTTCAGGATGGATATGAAAGGACAAGAGTATCTGGTAGAATCTCCCAAAACAGTGTTCTACACTTTTTGGCATGACTTAGATCAAAAGCTAGCATGTAATAGAAAGATCGTTTTAACTTAAACTTGCATTTACTAAGCCAAATTCCTCTTTGGTGGACTGGACATTATCCGAAATGAATCAGATTCCAATGGCAAATTGAGCTTGATTGATCTAAGCAGCACCGAGCTCTTCTCTAATTCAGAGGTAGCTTTTGGGGTACCAACGTGCTGAATAGTCGTGGTAAAAGTGCAATATGTAGTGAATTATAGTGGAGTGGCTCTTGCCAAAAGAGTCTTTGTTGGCTTCTTGGGGTGGTGAACTGGGTGATCCGCACCGTGGTAATCGGAGCAAATGCTTTGTAAACAAACGTGTTTTATCTCTCGCCACTTTGTTCCACTGTAGTGTAATTCTCGTCTCGTACTCCCCACTAGACTCTAGAGCTCGACCTGCTCTGATGGCCTTGCAATAATGTCTGCTTCTCAAGTGAAACACGACGGCGAATCCAAAACGGATATGGACGGACAAGAGAGAATTGCCTTCCGTGACAAGGAGGTCGAAAACGAGCAGTCTGATCAGAACGATGACCAGACAGCACGTACGACGCTTCGCGATGCCGACCCTTCGTCAACGGCCGTGTCAGCAAGGCAAGGTACAAAACGGCGGCGCAGTTTTATTGTGTGGTCAAAACTACCATCCGTCCGTCCGTTCTACGGTATTGCGCAGGACATTCGGTCCCGCGCTCCATACTACGTCAGTGATTGGACCGAAGCGTGGAACTATAGAGTTGTTCCGGCGACTTTATTGATATTTTTCGCAAAGTGGGTATTTATGACTCTTATTTTCTCGGATGAGATGGGCTGGTGCTGATAAGATAACCGTGCGCGTTAGCGTGTTGCCTGGTATCGCGTTCTCGCTAGACTTGATAGAGACCACGAATCAATATGGAGTTGCGGAAGTACTGCTATCTTCCTTCATGGCTGCCTTCATATTTTCCATCTTTGGCGCCCAGCCGCTTTGTATTGCGGGCGTCACAGGTTGGTCAAAAGTAGCAAGAATCCGCTTGTTTGTTGAACGTTGAATTTGCAGGACCCATCACTGTCCTGAACAAGACCATTTTTGATATTATTAAAAATCAGGACGATGCCCCAGACTACCTACAGTTTGTAGGCTGGGTGTATCTTTGGGGAGCTATACTGCATTGGATAACCGCAGCTCTGAACTGTAGGTTATTCCATCTGCAACTAAGAATTCAGAATTAAAGAGTTTCAAGGGTGCAATTTCCTCAAATATGTCACCCGGTTCTCATGCGATACATTCGGGTTCTTTGTATCCTGGGTGTACCTTCAGTACGGCGTGCAGGTCGTGACTCGCCAGTTCAGTCACTCGTCAATCGACGGAGCTTTCGTGCAAATAATCCTCGCGCTCGTTATGCTCGTGGCATGTTTCCTATTCCAGTCGCTCGCACGCACAACCTATTTCCATAGACACGTCCGTCGCTTCTTTGATGATTATGGCATGCCAATCTCGCTCGTCGTGAGTTCTTATCGCGTGCTTTTCGTATCGACTGTATTCAAGAGCTGTCTTCCAGGCTACGACGGGTTTAGCTTATTGGGGCCGTTTCAATACTGCTAACCCCGAAACGTTGCCTATTTCTGGCGCATTCCAGCCTGCCGGCGGACGCGACTGGCTCGTTCGCTTTTGGGAGTTGCCGGGTAAATGGGTCGGAATTGCCTTCCCGTTTGGCTTCGTTCTATGGGTCCTGTTCTTCTTTGATCACAACGTCTCCGTAAGCTTTTACCATTCAAACTATTTTGAGTTCTAGTAATGATTGCATAAATCTAGTCGCTCATTGCACAAGGTTCCGAGTTTCCCTTGCGTAAACCACCTGGCTTCCACTACGACTTCTTCCTTCTCGGGATCACGACATTCATTGCCGGCCTTCTCGGTGTCCCAGCACCGAACGGACTCATTCCGCAGGCTCCCATACATACTACCTCTTTGCTTATAATGGGAAGAAACCGAAAAGACGACATTGAAGATCCATCCAGCAGTGCAGGTCCAAGCAAGAGCGAGAAACGCGCAGATGGACCGTACCCTGAACCCGATCCCAGTCCTGCTTATCATGAGGTGCCTATTGGAGTTGTTGAACAACGCGTTTCGAATCTCAGCCAAGGATCTATGTGTCTTATCCTTCTTACTGGCCCGTTCTTGCATATCCTGCATCTTATCCCTCGAGGTGTACTTGCTGGGCTTTTGTACGTTATTTTTATTCTGAAAATCCTATGCCGTCTAATTTTGGACTTATAGCTGGTTCATGGGAGCGGATGCTCTGCAAGGAAACGGAGTTACGACGAAGATGCTTTACCTCATTCGGGACAAACACCTTACGCCTCTGGATGAACCGCTTCGCAAAGTCCGGCCATCCCGTATCATTCTTTTCACGTTGATACAATTAATTGGATTCGGAGCAACGTTTGCTATCGTGCAGACCATAGGTGAGTAACACAAATTCAACTTTGTAAGGTTGATATTAATAATCTGTTTTTTAAGCATCAATTGGATTTCCCATTATAATTCTTCTGCTCATTCCTCTCCGAACATCTATTGTTCCTCGGTTGCCTTTCACAGAGGAAGAACTTGCTATTCTTGATGGACCGACCGCATCGCCATTCGTGAGTTGTCACCATTGCATGGAATGCACCTTTTCTCATGTTTATTTCTAACTTTCATAGACGATGGAATCTGTTGGTGGTTCTCTATGACTTGACGAACTCCAATGACAAATATGACGAACCCGATTTTCTCAGTGGAGAGGAGGAAAAAGATGTTTTTGTTTTGGATGATAAATAGGATTGCATTTTTTGGAATTGGAATATTGGTATGTGTAAATTGATATGGAATGGAACACAGACTAGCAGCCAGTGTTGTCGACTCTTGAGTTTAGAAGTAAAGCAACGATTAACCTAGTGAAATCAATGGTGTGTCAGTTAAAAATTAGATAAGATAGAAGTAATTTGTTAGAATCACGCACCCGTATAAGCCCAACACCTCTGCGAAGATGAGGATGAGGACCATTGAGACGAAGACTTTTGATTCGTGCACGTATGCTCGTACACACTATTAGATAATATAAGCCGGTGTAGGACACGAGCGGGAAAGGAGACGTACTGAATCGCCAACGATACCAATGGCGTACCCCGCCGCAAGTCCTGTTAATCCGCAAGCTAGTCCAGCGGAAAGGTGTAGGAAACCGCTGTACAATGAGTAGTCCTCTGTGGGGCTCACTACGCCACAGAATGATTTGTTCGTTAGGCGAGCCAGGCTCTTTCGTCAACAAGTTTCTAGACTTACGACCGCCAGCGATGAGGACGGAGACCACTAGTCCGTAGACTGCGATGATACCAGACATGACGACCGGGATAAGTGACTTTACATTTAATTAGTTTCGTTAAACATGTTTGTTGTAAAAAGTGAAGAAGGGAGAGTGTGTGTACGAACCTTCATGATCAACTCTGGTTTGAAGGTGCCCAGACCGGCGATGCCTATGCCTGCTTTTGCAGTTCCGTACGCGGCCCCGACAGCTATGCGTAGCTTCGTTTAAATACCAAATAGATGGATAGCTTTGAAAGGCTAAGAAAACGTACTGCTGAATATCATCTACGGCACACAACGTCAGTCAGTCCAGTTACTTCTCTCGAGTCTATTGCAAGAACACGTACTGAAAGGGACACGCCCGCGAAGCCGAAGAACGGCGCGTATGGTGGACAGACAGACATAATGGGAATAAGAGGTAAAGCCGAAACAAAGGGAGAGAAGAACTATGTAGTGCAACCCCCTAGGTGTCGAGGTTGGAGGAAGACGAGTTGAGTGTGCCGCGTCGGTTCTCTGTGGCGAGTAGCGTATTACGTACACATCAATCGTACTCAAAGAAGTATTGAAGTAAGAATTAAGTTCGTACACATAAATTCGATTTTGTTTGCTCATGCTCCTGTAAAGTATTATACAGTATTACCTGCATTTGAAAATGAGGGATACTATGTGCAGAAACATGGAACTGTTGATTTGATACAATCCGTGCTAAGAAAACACTGCTGGTCATATTCGAATCCTCTAAATAAGTACTAGCAGGAACTTGGAACCTGGCAGTAGAGCAGAAAAGGCCATCTGAATCATTGGACAGCTAGCACTCTTTATGAAGGAAATTTGAGTTGCACAATTGGTTTGAAGCTTGCCACGTAATTAGCATTTCCATGGCTTCGCAAATGTTTGTCCATGGGAGTATGATTTAACATAATAAAGAATATAGCAGTGCGTATTGCGAGAGGATCTATCATTTCTTCTTGACCTGCTTTATTCTAATCGTCTCGTCACCCACGAAAATGCCCTGCACGACACGAGGTCAATACCCACTGAAGGCAACACGCAAAATAAGAATGTCACATACCTTTCCCTTGTATGGTTCCGGAGGCCTCCACGACCTCACCTTCGCCGCAAACAACCCAAGCAAATGTTTATCCGTACAGCTCAACACGATTTTCGTCGGTAACCGTACCTCAGCCTTTATATACGCAGGAATCGGTACAAACACGGAATGCGAATACCCAACCTTCATATTAAGCCTCTTCCCACTATTTCCTTCCGTCGTTCCACGCGGGTCGTCCTCTAACGCAGCACGGTATCCTACGCCAACAAGGTAAACAGGTACCGTAAAACCCTCCGTCATACCGATTATTGCGTTGTTGATGAGCGAACGCGTCGTCCCCCACATTTGTCTTTGCTCCTTCACTGCTGAGTTTTCAACGCCGACTGAGAGGACTTCGGGTTGTGGGAAGGAGAGTTGAACGTATGGTTTGAGAGGGACTGAGGTGGTGCCGAGGGGTCCTTTCACGGTTATTTCGGAAGGTGAGGGAGTGAGGACTACTGCTTGTGGAATGGGGATGGGTGCGCGTCCGACGTTTGAGATGTGACCTCGGAGACATGATGAGGTGCTGAAGAAGCGATGAACTTGTGCTGTTGATTGTCGTATTCGATTTAGCATGGTTGCGAAAGTCGAGCCCGACTGACGTCGAGAGACGCGGTCAAGGAAGTTAATGGTGAAAACACGGAAAAGTCAATGATCGCGCCTGTTTTTGGAAAGTCGATCTTAACGGACAAAAACAAGACCAAATATATCTTTTGACAACAACGGAATAGTAGTATAAGTAGATCAATATGTTACTCTGTTGAGGGGTACATTAGTGTATCTAGAGTTTACTGTACTTTCATTGAGCTAGGTGGGTTTGTTTCTAAGCCATGAACCACAATTATGATTTGTCGACACATGCGATTCGATCACTTCTACATATCTAAGCTGAGAGGAAAACGGTCCATGCGATAGTCGGATTGCCCTTAGAACTCGCTTTTGTAATAACTCCTCCAGATTTGCCAAGGCAGCCTTATACTATCGCGCAACTGCAGCTTTGGGTTGAAAGCATCAAAGTTAGCCTTTTCCAAACGTCGCAAGTAATTCTGTACTGGGACCTTGAGACGCACGTAATGTCAGAACGAACAAAGGGATATTCAAAATAAAACAAACTTACGGCATTCAAAAAGACAGACATGGCCTCTCTGGGTACCTCATGAAGCCCATTACTCCCCTTGAACATATCGCGTGCAGTGATGAGATGGTCGTTTGCAACGATAGCAAACTCATACACGGCATCTTGTAAACCGGATGCAGCTGGACCACGACGGAAGACTTCTTCTTGGTTGACGTGATGCTTCGCCGTTATACTTGCAGGGATAACCATGACTCCTTTGGAAGCATGATATGGAAGGGCTCGTAAGAGGGTTGAGACGGTTTGTGATACACCTATATGCGAGGCTGCATGCGAGTATGTGTCTGAAGATGACAAGCCGAGGATTGATAGAAGGATATAGTTCAGGGTTGAGGTTGTCGACTCGGCGTGAGCTAGAAGGGTATCCATATTGAGGTGCGATGGTGAGTTAAGCTCAATGTCCTTCAAGAAACATTAGCAACAAATATATATATATAAACCAGACCTGTTCAAGGACGTACCCGAGCTTCGATAATTCGCCTTAAATGATATGGTGCGATATGTGCGCCTTTCGACGCATTGTGCAGCGCTACTGCAATTGGGTGAGGAGAAGCACCAGGTTGCTGTATAGCATCTTTCCAGAACTGCATCCTCATCTGTCCGATGAGTGGGTTTGACACTGAGTCTTGGATCATGGCAAGCTCTAGCTTAGATAATAATATTTCATGAGTGAAAAGTATTATAAAGTTAGAATGATGCGGGAAACGCACGTAGAACGCTCGTACGGCAAAACAAGCAGGTTGTAAGGCTTTGGGGAAGAACTGCGAGGTTAGGTATGAGTCCCTGTCATGTTTTCGGACGAATTCGCGGCAATAGGCTTCAGGATCTTGTGGTCCTGCCGTAGACGAAGCGACGGAGTTCGTCGCATATTTTCGGCGCGACGATGTGTGAGCATTGACATAGCGTGTTGCTCCTATTCTGCGGCATTGGTGAGAGCGCAGGAATTGTGTGAGGTTGGTACGCGACATGAACGTCGGAGCCAAAGACGCGGAGCGCGTTTTTTACGCGCAAACTACGACATCAGTCTCGTGCCGCCATTTCACCTTCACTTCATAACCAGCAGACACATGCATCCAAGTGCGACGCGGCGATGAGAAGGTCTGGTCTACAGAAAGACGTTGTTGCTCTCTATCGTCGGCAAGCGTTTGTTCTCACATGCCACATACACTTCCGTGCTGAGTAATTATTGACCTCAGTGCCTTGCGTTTAATCCGCACCAAGCCGCCTCACACACAACCAAAGTTCAGTGCTTATATTCGATATACGTTCCATCGCAATGCACAGTCCATCTCACCGAGAGACTTCAACGCGATAGAACATCTTCTGAGGGTTGGGCGAAGGCAAATTGAACAACTAGAAGACAAAGCTGTCAAGAACTGTTTTACGGGTGGACAGGAGATGCAAGAATGGATTGCCAAAAATCCCAGTCGAAGACCAAGGGCATAACATGAAATAGAGGATAGATTGATTGTCTAGCTATGATGATGTGCGATAGTATAATAAGGACTCCATTAATATTAACTACGCTGTTGCTGCCACCCTAGGCTTTGCCCTCCTGGGTCTTCTGCCATTCGTCGCAGCTCTACTTTCCGTTACGTTACTCTCCGATACAGCATTTTGCTCAGCGGCCTGGACATCAGAGCTGTTCTTAGCAGCTGCAGCCTCATTCGCCTTCCGCTTTTCGTACTCGAGAGCGTAAGCCTGTTCATACGCCAGCCTTCGCTCGTTCAGCACTTGTTTGATTCGAGCCATAGTTTTGCGGCACTGCTTCCCATATTATGACCCATAACTCCATAGAAAATGAGTGTAGACATACCGTTCGGTCCTTTTCCCTCAGATCCATTTGTTCGTCGAAAATACCATGTCGTTTGGCTTCTTGTCTCTGGGTCGCTATTAAATTTCGTTCGCGGAGGACAATGTACCATAACGTATGCAAGTCTTTAAAAGATTTTCTTCGCAGCTCCACGGCATTCCAGCTTCGACCTGTAGAAAGTTAGGGAGAAAAATAAATAAATAAAAAACGAATGATCAAGGGAACGTCGTAGTTCACCTTTTTTCGTCTCTGCCTTGTGTTGTCCCTCCATGGTCTCATATTCAAAAGACATCCCTCCTTCAGTTGAGACCTGACGAAAGAACGCGTAAAGGCCATGTTTAGGACTGACGGGGATGTTTAGTTGAGGACGAGTGGGCGGTTCCTGCTCCTTCTCCGCGAGGAAAGCTTCGTAGCGCAGACGCTGGGCTTCCTCCGATTCATCCTGTTCAAGTGGTCGAGATGTTGGTAAGGACGTCTCCGTCGCAAGCCATCGACGAATGTTTGCGAGTGGTGCAGTTGGCCGTCGGGCAACTCGCAGACGAAGTGCTGAGAGCATAAGTAGCGATGTTTTGAGGAAATCGGTAGTTGACCTGAGAAGTCTGATTTTAGAGTGGAGAGAGTTCCTGATTGGGAGATCGACTCTGTAGAAACGTGTGTGGCGGTTAATCGCGGTCCCGCAACGTCTGACGCGCCTTGCATTCTGCTCTTCACCATGTCCGAATCCGATGAGATTCCTGCTCCTGCACTGGCAGTAAGATGGATGCGGCCTCTCAGTGCGTCTGCGCTACTCGAACTCCCAACTGCGCCAGTGGTCTTATCGACCGCGAAGGACTGGCAAGCATTAACGGCAGAGGAGAGCAGTGAATGTGAAATTGCGTGGCGGAAATTATCAGATGAAGAACGCAAAGCTGCGGAGGAGGATGAAAGTACTGAAGGAGTCTCGAGAGACTCTGAAGACATTGACGATGAGGATGAAGATATTATCGGCGTATCCATTGCAAGGGATAAATTATTCGAAGTAGACGTGAGGAGAATGCGTGTACGTCCGTCTCACTCGTCTGTTTCTTATCACGCATTGACGTTGTCAAAATAATCATAGCTACGCCCGATATACTGGAAGATGAACTCCCCTCCTATTAAAGTTATCCGGGGACTCTGGTTCTACGATGACGTTCGTGCTGTTATAATCTACGGACTATTGATATCCGAAAACCAATGTTGTATATCTTCAATATAGCATCATCCCGTCCCTCGAGAATTGGCAGAACAACTAGAAGAGCTATACCTAAGCGTCAAGCCTTACCTCCCAGCATATGAAATTGAACTCACGACGGCATTTGAGCAAGGCTCCGAAGCGCATGCCAAGTTGAAACAGCCTCTCGATGAGACACAAAGTGTTGTGTTCGAAAACAGTTCAAAGGCATATATCGTCCAGTAGGTTCTACCCCATTTGTGTCTACTATTCCAACCAGCTGACATATCAAGAAACTCGTCCAAGCGCTTCTTCTCGTTCCTTCCTGGAACTTCTTCATCGAAGCCATCGACTCTGACGTTCTATCCTGGTTCAAAGCCTGTTTATAGAGGCTATGAGGCGGCTGCAGAAGCAGGACCTGTACAAACTAGGGCAAGATCTGCGAGCGTTCCTACGAAGCGCAAGGCCAATACCGAAGAATCTGGGTACCAATCAGACAGCGTAGCCGTCCCTTCACAGGAGGATGCCCGAGAAGTCAAATTCGCCACCATTAAGAAACCACGAAGGAGCGTCAGTCGCGGAAGGAAACCAATTCGGGTAGGAAACGAGGATGGAGAGGATAACGTTATGGATCTTGTCTTAATTATTCACGGGATAGGACAAGGGGTACGCTATTTTCCTTTTCCCATGGCTGTTAGTTTTGCGCTGCTAACGTCGATGGCATGTTAGCTTGCGAGCCAGTACGAAGGATACAATTTTGTTTATGCGGCTAATCTCTTCCGACAAATAGCTCGGTACTATTTTCTTTTCACGGTCCTGGCTGAATATATGCGTCCTAACGAATATGATTTTATAGCAAACAGTCTACAACACCCGCCTTGGCCTCGGTAATGCGCGATCGCAGAGTACAGTTCCTTCCAGTTCAATGGCGGACAAACTTCCAGCTGAGTGCTGATGAGGAAAGTCGCCGCGAAGCTGCAGGAATAGACAATAATTTCACCCTTAATGGTAAGCAAAACCAAACCTGTGATAGACTTAATAATAGCTGAAAATTTGACTGGTTAGACATAACGATTAGAAATACTGTTCCTTACGTGCGTGATCTAATGAACAACGTACTGATAGACATCCCCTATTTTCTGAGGTAAGATCATCCAAATTGTACTGTGCTCGGCTAACAGGCCATTTTAATTAGTCAGCATAAAGACCGTATGATACAAGCGGTAAGTTCATTGAATGTCAATACAAGTGAGTTACTAAAATCTATGTATTGCAGGTCGCTAAGCAAGCGTGAGTAATGACAAGCTACTATTTATGTCGAGCTGGACTAATGTTTCGCTAGAAATCGTATTTATCGACTTTGGTGTGCGCGAAATCCAGGCTTTGATAAGAATGGGCGTGTGGTTCGTTGTCGTCCTTCTCAGAAATCAAGTTATTTGGATTAATGAAGCACAATACCAGCACATCTTAGCCCATTCACTCGGGTCAGCACTTGCTGGACACATCCTGAGTAATCAACCGACTATACAGCCTCCACTGTCAGAGATGGAGCCATCCTATGCTAGAGATCTCTCACATCTCTTCCTTTTCAACACTGCGTGCATCCTTCCTGCGTCCTTTCTAACATCTTTTTGAGGTACTGACATTTGTCCTTTAAAGATGTCTGTTCATGATTGGTAGCCCTTTCCCGCTTTTCGTTCACATCAATCGTTCGCAAGTTATTGCCAGAAAGGTATTTAAGCACGCTTCCGAGTTCTTCATTTAAACTAAACACATGCGAAGGGTCGGGAAAGAACGATGAATTCTCCCGCAGACGAGGCTGTACGTTGTATGCGTCTCATTTCCGGATCCCTAAGCTCAACTCTATTATCTAGTCTGTTAAGGAAGGCCTTTTCGGGTGTCTTGCGGTATGTGTTGACATCACGCTCGAATACATTCTCTCTAAACCTTCTGCAGGTTGACTCGCTTTACAATATTTTCAACCCTTCAGATCCAATCGCGTGCGTATTAGGAGTTTAAAGTGAGACTGTTAAAAAATTCTGGATTGACATTTTGGTATTTTTGTTAGCTACCTGATGAACCCGACGGTCGATGCAAGGTGATCTACAAATACACAATATTGAGGAACCCTGTATTCATGATTTGTTAAACTCCAGGAAAGCGAAGGAAATACCTCCGTCTATCATCAAGAACGTTAGCGTACCTATGTTCTCGTCCTTTTCGACCCGTGTATCGCGGCTATGGGAAGGAATGGTCACGCCCTCACCACGATCTCGGAGTCCGTCTAGACCTCGCATGCCTGCTAAAGCGTCGAGTGGGTTCGAGCTGGGCGGGTCAGTGGAGACAGTGGTGGGAACGAAAGAAGAGCGACGGTACTTCTGGTTTGATTGTGGACTTTTGGAAACACATTCATTGTTACATAGGTTCTTGGCACTCAATCCCCGTGGTACGCTGGACTTCGCACTTCCTTCGGAGGGAAATCTTAGTAGTTATTTCGGTAAGCAATAGTTCCCATTTTTTTTCCGGATCCCGTTGATCTCACCTTATTGCATCCTTTAATAGATATGATTACAGTGAGTTTTGATCGTGAATTTGTTTAGGCCTTATTGGCTCATTCTGACGTTACCTAGGCACATTCTGCATATTGGTCTGATCCTAACCTCGCTGCGTTCATCTTGGCCGAGATTTTCGCTCGAAAAGAAGACTTGGCGAGAACGGGCTTGGGTGTGGAGGCTGCTAGGGAGAATACACGCGAATAATTATGTTTCGAAGGGCCCACTATTCTCGTTACAAGTGGACAGGGCTGCTATGATTGACACGACACTTACTCGCAATTTATCTAGAATCGCTCATCCATTGTAAACTGACTGACACAATGACTGTGTATGATCTATAGACAAATACATGATGTCTGTTTGGTATAGGTCCCGTGCTTAAACGTTCCGAGATTCTTTAATCGCCTCAGTCACATTCGACCTGGAGTATTCAACTTTTTCAGCCTTAAATTAACACTTGAAGGGTTGGCGCTTGTTTTAAAGGATTCCTGTGGTCCTCGGGGAATACTCGTATTGACGTGTCACCTGTAGGTAATAATGGAATTTCGTTAATGGTCACGGGTCCCGCCCTGTTCGTGTCGCCGACACATTCATATAAGAAGATTGCTCAAATCCGAGGCAGAACCGCAATACGACGTATTATGAGGCATTTTCACCGATGTCTATCCAGTCGCCGCAGGCGGGGTAATTACCTGTTTTATTGCGTTTGTTATAAAAGCCTTTATGAGCACAAGCGTATACCCATCCTCGTAACCTAAAAACCGCATCTGAAAGCTCACGATGAAGGGCGCTCTTGCTACTCTGCTCTTGGGTGCTGCATCCGTTCGCGCTGGTAACGTTATTTGGAGTGGGATCTTCAACTCATCTGCTACCGTCGCGAATTTCGACAAATGTGAGTCCTACCATTCATCGTGTCGTCAAATACGAACGTTGAGTAATTGAACTCTTGCCGACAGGGTCGTGGTCAAACCAAATTCAACCGTGGCAGTGGTACATCCATGGGTCGGGAGCTACGACTGAGTACCTAGAGTTGTCGCCTAGCTTCAAGAACCCTGCGGATACGAGTGATGCTCAGGGTATCAAGATCACCATTGTACGTCCCTCCTCCCACTCCCAGAATTTGCATGAGTGTGAATGTGTTTCATATTTTTATCTTGCGTTGTTGTCAGGATGGAACCGCGTTCTGGAATGGGCAGACCATGGAACGATCCGAGATTATTCCTCAGACTTCGACTAACCTCGGAACGGGACACCTGTATTACCACTTCTCCCTTTCGACTTCTTCGACGAATCCGCCTAACGCGGGATTCGAACATCAAATTGCGTTCTTTGAGGTGAGGTATATTCATATCTTCGGAAGCAAAAGGCCGTTGTTAATTGCATTGTATTGTTAACGGTGTCTTTCGTTTCGTCTCGTAGAGCCACTTCACGGAAATCAAGTACGGACTTATCTCGGGCGAAGCGGGGACTACAGATAATTTGTTGCGGTTAGTACCTCCGTTTGCTGTGTCAAGCCGACGATTGCATCCATGCTTATTCGGACTTGTCTCGGAATCGGTACAATTTTCTAGATGGGACGTCAGCAGTCAGACGCAGTGGTCTACACAGCTGGAGGCAGGTACCTGGTACAACTTTGCCTACGACATCGACTTCGGCGCGAACACCGTTGGTCTGTGGGCTTCTACTGGCTCGGACCCGCTCACGCAGGTCGTAGCGCCAGTGAGTGCGTCGACCTCCACAAACTCGGAGGATTGGCACATTGGAGAACTGCGTTTGCCGAATGGCGGGACGGATGCTGATGCAGAGGATTGGTTCTGGTCTGGAATCTTCATTGAGGAGGGACCGATTACGACGAGCATTGCGGGACCGTTCCCTGGACAAGGTGGGTCGGCTGCAGGCAGCCCAGGCAGCAGTAGTGCACCAGCGTCGAGCCCTGCAGGCCCCACGTCTGCCCCTGCGTCGACCACCGTCTCGAGGACTTCTAGTGCACCAGCCACGAGCACGTCGGCTACTGGTCCTTTGCAGACTCAGTGGGGACAGTGTGGAGGCACTGGCTACACGTAAGTTGTATTTCATCCTGACCCTGATGTCAATATTGAGCGTATGGATTTTCTTGGCTTGTAGTGGGCCAACAACTTGTGCGGCTGGATTTACTTGTGTTTCTGTCTCGCCGCCCTATTATAGTCAGTGCCAGTAGATAATAAGTTATTTTCTATGTCTTTCTGGTAGGAATGGAAGGCTTCGGTTTGAATTTTGCCAAAAGAGAAGCGGGTTTATAACCTGTATGCTTTAGAATGATAGTAAGTGCAAAGATACGTAGGACGTGGGCACTGGGATGTCAATTCTGTGATCAGATGTGTGGGAAAGACGGTCGGCATTTGCCAGTACTCCAGGATCATAAGATATTCAAACCACGGTTTCTCCAAGTCGAATTCAATCCCGTCGACTGTCTTTGCTCTCAGATTATGGATGACTCGGAAGCACCTGCTGAACCGCAATTCTTGAGTTCCTTTGATAAGTTTGACGAGGTATCGAGTCTTTTGGAAAGGCTGATCTCCGTATCACCTGCGGTCGAGCCCTTACCTGAAGAGGACAAAACTGAAATAACCTGGTTGGATAAATTGACACAAATTGTAGCGTCTTTGCTCATTATTCGCTGGAAGAGCTGCATGCCTGACACTCGGATAGTTGAATTATTATCAGGAACAGCCTTACTTATTGGATCCTCATCTTGAAGAACTTATCGTTCCTGTCGTTAATGCCTTCCGACATCATGTGCAAGAATATAGTTCAGGTCATTCTAGAGACTACTCCTTCGCTCGAGTGAGCAGGCTTGCATCAGCCATATACGTCTTCGTTAAAGTTCGCGGTTACAAGACAATAGGTGTGCGTTTTCTTGTATCATGTTCATCATCAGCTCAACCAAAAGCATTTAGTTAGGTTTTTTCCACACGAAATAACCGACCTTCCTATAGCGATCAGATACATAAACTCGGATGGTCCGGCAAGCAATCCAGATGCATGGGTAATTCGATATATAATGATGCTTTGGACGTCGCTGGTCTGCATGCTGCCGTTCGACCTTGCACAATTCGATGGCGACTACTCCGTGACTACAGCCGAAAGTCTCCAGACAATCGGTATTACTGAACTGGACAAACCAGGCCTCGAAAGAGATGGTGCTGCGCTCTTGCTTTCTAGACTCTACATGAGGTAATTGGGCACCTTGGTACTCGGATAAAGGCTGAATCGTGTCTCAGGAAGGATACTTCCACACTCTTGACTTCGTTCTTGGAAGCTTTTGAGGCAGAACTCCGTGAATCGCCTAATCTGTTCAAGGTTTGGCCGACCCTCGTCCGCCAAAATTCTTTTATTACTTAACTAATTTATTCAATCACTTAGACCATCGGTTCACTAAGAGTGATCGCAGAAATAACCAAGTCCGGACCGATGGAAATACTGCATCCGTACATCTCACGTCTCCAAACTTTAGTGAACGAAATTACCCGTGAGCAGCACCTAGCGGAGAACACTGTCATAAGAAAATTACGCACAAAATGTATCACACGAACCGCGAGTCGATTGCTACCTGCCAGATCCAAAAAGTCTCGAAGTACTGGTGCGTTTACTCGTAATATTTGTAGATGGTTTAATTCATCGCGACGTTCAGCAAAGTCTCTTGAACCAAGTTTGAGAACGGAAGAATATTCACTAGACGATGATGTTGATGGTGAACATGATGTGCCTGGCCAGGTTGAAGATGCAATTGGGGAGCTTTTTGAGCTATTGCAGGACAAGGTCGGTGTTCGTCGCCCTATCAACATTTTAATCGGAGTACAATAAGACATCTTGTAGGATACCTCAGTCCGCTGGTCTGCTGCGAAAGGCATTGCGAACATCTCCGAACGGCTCCCAACCTCTTTCGTTGATCAGATTATAGATAATATTCTGGGTCACTTTTCAGTGTATGGGATTCATGCAACACCGTCTACTCTTCCTTCCACCGCGGAGCATCCATGGCACGGTGCAACACTCGCTTGCGCTGAATTAGCCCGCAGAAATCTGGTACCGGACGCGCAGTTTCCGAATATTTTACAGTGGATGTCGAAGGTATCTTCATTCTAAGCCTTATGGTTTGGTCGCGTTTGATCATCTGTTCATTGCACATCAGGCTCTGTACTTTGACGTACAGAAAGGTTCTTCCTCAGTCGGTTCCAATGTTCGCGATGCCACGGCGTATGTTCTGTGGTCCCTCGCTCGCACGCGAAGCACGGAGGCGCTTGAGCCATATGCCGTTGAACTGGCGCAGAATCTTGTTACTGTAGCTTTATTTGATAGGGAGATACACATACGCAGAGCTGCTAGTGCCGCATTCCAGGAAAACGTTGGTCGTATGGTAAGTTGTAGAAGATCCGGAAGATTCACGTAAATTGTTGTTAACATGCTATCCTGCAGGGCTTGTTTCCGCATGGTATTGCCGTCATTGGTGTGATCGACTTCTATTCGGTCGGAATTAGGCGGAACGCTTTCCTAGTTGCAGCACCTGAAGTATATCGGTGAATCGCTATATTTCGATTGAATAGAGTATGCTATTAACTAGGTAAAGTTACAAGGAGTACCGACAGCCAATCTTGGATCACCTCTTAAAGATCACTTTACGCCATTGGGATGCGGCAATGCGACGCTTGGGAGCAAAATCTCTAAGGAAAGTCTGTGAGACAGATCTAGAAAATGAAGTGCCTAAAGTGCTGGATGCATTATTGGCCCTTCTTCGTTCTGTGGATACGTCAGACATACATGGAGGATTACTAGCTCTGAGCGAGCTCGCGGGTGCAATACGGGAGGTTAAGGATGTGGAATATGCACAACGGTATCGGCGCAAGGTGGAAATGACTTACTTGATTTATTTGATACGCTAATGACGCTTATAGATTTTCCATTCTATCGACTCCGTTGCGTCTTCGGTAGTTTCATCGCCACGGAACTACGTTATTACGGAAGCAGCATGCTATGTCATTGCCAATTCAATCTCATCCGAAGAGTCTGATTCATTACGAATGACATCGATTGAACCGTACTGGAGGGTTATAATATTACAAGGATTACGGCACCGAAACAGCACCGTGCAAGAGGCGGCTGCAGCTGCGATGCATTCACTAAGCCAACTGAAGGATTGCTCTGAAGATGTCAAGAGATGAGTAACTGCCATCAACTTATAGACTCGTCTTTTGAATTATTCCCGATTTTACATTGATCAAGGAATTGGGAAGAGGCTCAGCGATCATGCAACAGAGTCTGGGTCACGTATTGGGCTGCTTTGACTACTATTCCTATAATAACGGATTCGATTCTGCGCTTCACTGCTTGCTGGAAGCAGTCAATCCAAAGGTATGCTATTGAAGACGCCCTATTTGCAGCAACTAACAGCGAACTTAGTCACCCAATTTCTTCCGAGACGTGGAAGCAAGGCGCAATGCTTATACATCCCTGGCCGACGTAGTACAGCGCATATCCCCGAAGCTAGATATTTGTAAGCTATCAGTGCTTTGACGATCCAATCCTGATTATAGACGTTGTATCTCAATAGATATCACTCCAGAAACGATGAATCGTATATGGCAGGCATTTTTTGCTGGTCTTGACGATTACACTGTCAACGAACGGGGCGATGTCGGCTCATGGGTTCGTTTGGCGTGCTTGAAGGGCATTTACTCCGTGATGGAATCGCTGATTCGCGAAGCACGGAGTATCGAGGCCCACTCGATTCCTTCCTGGGCTGAAACCGAGGAGAAATATAGTCAATATTTACCTCTCAGCACCTATCACCAGACAATCGGAATGATCCTGAAGCAAGGCGTCGAGCGGTTGGACAACGTCAGACAATGTGTTGGAGACGTGTTCTTCGCCTTGCTGCACCTCGATCACCCATCGTTCAATCACGGAGAAAAATGGAGTGTGCAACGCAAGGACCACTTCAGAAATTTGCTCGAAAGTGCAGAACGTGTAGGCTGGAATGATGGTACTTGGCTTTATCCGAGCGCCGTTCGATTCTTGGACGTTTCTATGTACCGACAGCCAATTTTAAGAGGTCTTTTGCTGAGTATTGGCAGCAAGACGAGTAGTACGGTAAGCAGTCACTTGCCCTTACAGAACCAAGTTTCTAATGATTCCCGTAGCAACAAGTTGCTTCTTCAGCTATTCTTTCCTATGCACATAGTCTCCCAATCACATCAACGCACGATACGACGTCTGCATTGGCTGAACCAGACTCGTACGACTTGTATAGCTTCGTTTCGGATCTCCTAACAGTTGCATTTGAAAACCCATTATTAAACAACATGGTCATCCCGGTCCTGCATACCTTTAATGTCTTGCTGGAAGGCGGCGCACTTGCTCCATTGCTGGAAGAAGAGAAAAATTTGGCCGCGGAAAAGTAAGGACAACCCGAGTACCTTGGGCTTTCACTCATTAATGCTCTACAGGGTGACGAAGCTCATGGAACTTGCAACCAGGAATATTAATCGCTTGCAAAGTATGCAGAGAATAGACGAATCAATGAGAATGTCAGCTTAACCCTTTCACCCCGTCGTATACATGGAAACTGACTCTTATGCGTGTTCGTTTCTCATCTAGTGTTGTCAATTTGTTTGGTACAACGTCAAAAGATATCGGCAAACGAGCGGTAACTTACCTAGAACGCTTCCTTCTGCATCCTTATCCGAAGGTATACATATCCATGTGAAGTACGCTCGATTCTAGTCTTCTGATCCATCGATAACAGGTGCGGAGTGATACGGCAGAAGCGTTGTATCTTGTCTTGCAGACGAAGGACGTCACGTACGATGAAGAAGTTGAGGTTATTCTGCTAGAAACCGAATGGTGAGAGGAGCGATAATTCGTGCCGAAGGCTGTGTCTTGCTGATAGTCTTATCTTTCTTAAGGTCGAACAACGATGTTGTATCCCTCGATGCGCCCGTGAAACAGCTCCTTGCATACCTAAACAAATTGATTAGTTGAGTAAATATTAGGTAGGATCTAATTTTAGACCTGCAAATCAACCCCTTGGAAGTGACTGATTTATCTCATGACACCAGGATCTATAATGTGAGATATTAGGAATACCATAACCGAGCTATCTAGATGCATTTGCACAATGTGAGCAAACTTAATGTTCACGTTCACAACCGTCCAAACCGGCTACACAAATGCAAGGACACATTGTTTTACCTAAATCGGACCTTCCTCTACAATGATGTATCCAAAAGCCCTTCGTCTGACATTTGACACTCAAGACAGTGGCATGATGCAATGCTTTTCATTGTGGATGCTGCATGGTTTATGATACTGCCACAGCCTGGGTCCTTTGTCACCCGAACACACTAATTGGGCTCATATGCACACACCTTCGAACTTGAAGATTTCTGTGCGTGTCTCAGATACCTATGACTTCAAAATCTTGTACTGTGTACAAGCAAAAACTGCTCTTACGGAAATGAAAGACGATCAGTTGGCGAAGCAATGCTCACTTTAGGCTAAGTGTCAAATGAGCCGTGAAGAATCTAACAAACTAAGTAAGTACCTTGCCTCACAGCTCACTCACGAACTCATTGAGAGAGGTGTGCTTCACACACGTCGAGTGGCGCTCGACTGGCAGAGAAACCGCAGTCTCGAACTCGAATAAGGCGTACAACAGCCTTGCCTGTGATTCAGCCACTTTCTCATGATTGGAAGGCGAAGCAGACTGGGGAGAGCGATGAGGTAACCTTCCCAGCACCCTTACACCCTCGTAATGCAGGTACAGCATATGAAAGCAAGAAGCATATGTGTGCGTAATACCTACTCCGACTGTATTGTGTTGTCTTCCTGCCAGTTCCTGGATTCTATAATCTATCTTGCAGAAAGGATCTTGGGGCTATTCTCTTCGGAGGCGTTGTGAATCCAGTCGGATCATCTTTTCCCAAAAGTATACTTGAAGGCGTTCCGCACCTGGAAGACGGGTGAGTGGACTCACGTAACAGGTGAATCAAATACAAAAGACCAACACTCATGCATCATGCTATTGTGCACCTCCCGCGTTTGTGTTGAACGGCTTTATCAGCTGAACAACGGAGTGTTTCTCACTGTGGCAACTCTGAACACGAGGATAAAAGAGAGCACAGCAAGTGGGTTAGCTATGTCATAAGACATTCCAGAAGCTTGAATAACGGAAAAGAACATTAGTAGTTTACCCACAGGTATAACTAAAAATGTGGATATTTCCCCAGATTACACTTCCCGTTAGTCATGAGCTTGTGCCGAGGTGAGTATGCCGTATGCCCGACAAACGATAGCAAAAGTAGTATCAGGATTTCTACGGCAAATCGCCAGCCGCAATACATACACAAAAGATCTCGTAGATCTAGAACCTCTTACATGAAGGATGCGACCTCTGCGGAACGTAAGCGGATGTCGACGACAACCAGTAAGAGACCAGTTTTATAGCGTCACACGACCACAACTTGAAGGTCCACAGGGCAAGGCACTTGCCAAATTGTGAGACCTCGGGAAGGCTTTTCTGATTGCGAGGCTTCGTGCCCAATAATAACTCTGTCGGGCCGAATTCCGGAGTTCGCAAAGGTGCAATATAGGATTGAAATGTCCTAGGATTGATTCAATTCAGAACTCCGGACCTTTTTAGTCCGCCAAATTATAGTCTCTAGGTAAGATAGTGCGAAAGGGACGCAAGGTGACTAAATTAAAAATTCAATACTTGCATGGATCTAAAGCCAAGAGAACGTTGTAGCTAATGCGCTGATAGGCAATAACCTAAAGAACACAAGACGTCTCAATTGGCTAGGTGCATTTGAATAGCCCTGAAGACTCATGTCATGGAACGGGCAAGTCCGGTCCTGACGGTTTTTAAAGGGCCGACTGATACACTTTCGCGCTGGAGAGGTCCTTGATTTCGGCGAAATTCATGAAATTCAGGTCGCCCGGAAAAAAATAAACCCCAGCTAGAGTGAGAGTGAGAAATCCCATTGATTTCGTAACGTGTGATGTCCCATAGACTCAACTTGTTCAGCACTCATCTCTACAGCAAAACCGTCACGTCGAACGAGAGATACAGAGAGACGAACCTGAAGATAAGAAAATATTGAAAATTGAAATGACGTGTTCCGAGGGTGCGGTACGTAATCATAAAGTCTAGACCGATGAAACCCTAAAGGCTATGCTATGCTATAGCCATGACGTTCACCGGAATTTAATCATTTTATGGCCAAGGAAATTCGTATAGAAAATGCACCCATCCCGCCAAGGCATGAACCCAACACCTTATCTTTTTCTCCTACCACCACTTTCGCTGGCGCCAGACTATTTGGACTCATCGCCAAACGCAGGGTTTCCGTTATACAACATCGTTACGTTCGCCACGGATCTTCACACTAGCTCAAGGTTCACAGTTACGGAACACACCTGTGCCCTCTTTCTCATCGTATGCTTCGTGATGAATTGCGTGTCGTGTGACACAATTTCACTGAGTTATTATCGTCATCTAGGAATTTCAAGGAAGGATCGCTCGTGCCGTGTAAAGAAGCTTGTCTTCATTTCAGATAAAAGGACGAAGACCCCCTCAGCCCTCCATCGACGTCAGGATAGCGAACGTGCATTCATAGATTCCTGGTCACAGTGAGCCTCACGGAACCAATTATCTCGAGTTCTCTCCATGACGCTATTCCCTTGCTCACACGAGTTATCCGATGACCCTCGCGTCATCGACGCAAACTACCGAGGTCGTCCAGACCATTTGAAGTCAATGCTACTGGTATGTCCACTGATTTATATAAATATACCAAGTCGTAGGAGAGTTTGCGTTGCTAACCCGCTGTACCCCCGACGCCTCTCCCGCCCACCATGTATTTCTCAACGATGTATGATTACCAGTCATCTACCTCCTCTTCATCATCGGGCGTTACGACACCTGTAGACGGTGTTCCACCGAGATTGGTGGCATTCCCAAAATCCTCGCCTCCGCTGAATGGTTTTACGAGCTCAGGCTCCAGCGACTCACCCGCCGAGAAGCGTCGAGCCCGTCGCTCATCGTATTCCAGTACAGCTCAAATACCGGTCCACAGACCGGTCAAGCTCTCTCTGGAGTCTACAAAAGCTAGTCCGATTCCCGCAATACACTGTGCTTCGGAGGATTATTCCCCGCTCGGGGCATTTAGTCTCACGAGCTCTGCTGAGGGACATCTTCGGTCTTTAGTCACACGAGTCGTTACTCCGACGAAATCTACCGACGTACCTACTTCGATTACTTCGTCAACCCTTGCGAAGCGCGAGCGAACTTCTTCGTTGCGTTCATTCGCGATTCCTTGGTCTCTGGACGACGACATCGAAGAGGAAGAAGAGACGTTCTGGCCTCTCCAGAAACCGGCTGGGCACTACGATCTTCCTTCTATCAGTCGCAGCTCGTCTCCTCCAAAGACGAGCGATGCAACAAACCCATTTCATCCTGATCCACGAAGGCGGTTTGCAACTGCACGTGCCGCGACTTCCCCAAAAATGGTTACGCACACCGACGTTGACAGGCTAAGGAAACCAGTACACGTCCGTGCCAACTCATATGCTGGTCCTTCGAACGAGACCCGTACGGTGGCTACTCTGCGAGCACCGGAAGCATCTCACCCACCTCGCACCTTCCTTCGGCCCGCAGCACCGAAAAACAAGGGGAAGAATGCTTCACCTCCTACACCTGGAATTGCACATGCCACGCAATCGAAAGGTGCTTCAACGCTCAACCCAACCTTAGCCGCTGCGGAGAGTGCTTCTCGGCTTCGCGCAAGGTGTGTGTGCACTGTATGCGGGAAAATTGGCGTGGATTACCCACGCTGTCCGTGCTGTAGCGCTACATGGTATGCATTATCCCTCTTCGAGCTCAACCAGCCTTTTTCTTACGAAGCTATCGTGTATCAGGTGTTCGCGAGAGTGCCGAGTCTCTAACGCAGCAGCGGGATCTGCGCGTCATACCTGCAGGGATAAAAATAGCGGGAAGCGTCCTGCTGCTAATGTTAGGCCGGTGATCCCCGGTGCATAATAATTGCTAGTTTTATATTTTTAATGTCAGGCTCCACGGAAATATCTGACTATCTCCATGCTGGCCATGCCATTATGTTGTCGCAATGCTTTGTTGTTTTGCAATAATGCATGTATCTGCACTCCATGTATTCGTCTTATGTTGTCAATCAATGGAAATGTTTCATGCTGTCTTAAACTCGCGTTGTAGTATTAAGTTCCTGAAGCGAATAGATCTTTTGGTTGAAAGCAATAGTATAATGCTTGTGATTCGTTGTTAACACGAGCTAAGAGAGGACACTATATTCGAGCAGTTGAAGATCCTAGCGATCATGAGAGATCTGTATGCAACAAGACGTTAAGGAAATGTCCCTGAAGAAGCCATGGAAGGTGAGAGAATACGATTCATATCTAGCACACAAAATAGGCAAACAAGCCATCGCATACGAACGTCAACACCTGAACTCGGCAAGATCCTGATTTAATATCAAGTAAACTTAATCTTCGTCCCTGTAGCTGGCACGATAGCGGGGTTCAACTTCTCCTTCAGCTTCCGTTTCGCTTCCCATGAAGGGTGCAATGGCTTGCTGTGGTCGTCATGACTTTGCACCTGGCCGCCTGTTGGGCGAGTAGTAGGAGTAGTACTATGCACGTTCGATGGAGCGTTCGTTTCGTTGTTGCCTTGAGCTGCATGTTGTCGTTGTTGCTCGTAGGTTTTACGGGTGCCACCTCGGCCGCGTCCTTGAATGACTTGATGCGCCTTGTGATGGGGAGGATGTGTTGCATGTGTTTCTGAGGAAATGGGTTGACCACGACCTCTGACGACATTCCCCCGCATTGTATTCTTCTTATCTCCTCTATTTGCCCCAGCTCCGCCTCCTCCCCTTTGCCCTGGCCCACCACGTTTACCATACGCCGTGCGCACAGCACATGGGGCATTTTACAATTCCTTACCTTAAAAAATAACTTACATAATGATAAACATTATTTGAAATTTATTTTCCCATTTTTGACCAGCAAAAATTATAAACAAAATTTAAAACTTTCTTTATACAAAAACTAGAAATTATTGTTAACATTTCTTCATTTGTGAAATCTTAAAATAAATAAAGATAATAATCTAAAACAAAATTTCAAAACAAAATTAGAAATTTTCTTTTGAATTTTTTGTTATTCCTCTGTACTAGTAATGAAGAAATTTAAAAGAAAATTTCTAATTTTGTTTTGAAATTATGTTTTAGATTATTATTTCCATTTATTTAAAGATATTACAAATAGATAAATATTAAAAATAATTTATAGTTTTTGTCTTAAGAAAATTACAAATTTTGTTTATAAATTTTGCTGGTCAAAAATGGGAAAATAAATTTCAAATAATGTTTATCATTATGTAAGTTATTTTTTAAGGTAAGGAATTGTGAAATGCCCCACGTGCAGCGGCGTTCACTTCGTTCTCACGTTGCTTCCGAAGATGATTTGCGTTCTTTCCATACTTCTTCTCCCAGATCCTTGTTTTTAATGAAAACGAAAACAGAAAACATACGCGCGTGTCAGTTCCATAGCACACAAGACATAAAGATATAAAGACATAATTCCGCAAATAGAAGAAAGTAAGTTAGGTATGATTGAGTTAGGAAGGGGGGTGGAAGACGTACGCTTTCCGTGCTCTTTGACCTCTTCTGTTCTTCTTTACGGGCAAGTCCGCGATTTTGCGAGCTTCTGCGTCATTAGACCAGTCGGAGTCTGAGTTGCTGCCGCTGATGAAGCCGATGGCGAGAGATGGTAAGAACGTCGATTCTCCCGCCTTGCCTTTCAATTTCTCTTTGGGAAGAATGGGCTTTGTTCGTCCCGTCCTTGGTGGCGATATGGAATGTGAAGAGATGGAACTGGCGTCGTCATCGTCGGATATGTTTGAGCGGTCATCATAGTTTTGGGATGAGTCGGAGTCTGAGTCCCAATTTTCGTCTTCATCGTCGTCCTCCCGTTCAGATCCGCTGAGATTTTCATCGTTGAAGCCCGTCCATGCAGCTTGGTCGTTGTCCTCCTCCGCCTCCTGTCTGGTGTCTTCATTTTCGTCATCTTCATCGCTTGCCGAGCTTGGTCGTTCATTCACCCCAGATTTTCGTTCAGATGTCGTTGTTTTTGACTTCATCGGTGCTACTTCCTCATCTTCACCGTCTTCACTATGACGTGCATCCGAGGCCGTTGGCGTCTCTTGCCTGTTTGCATCAAGCACCGCCCTCAAGGACGCTATTACATCGGTAACCCCCGCCGACAGGATCTTTGAGCTCATTAGTCGGCTCTCGACGACCGTGCGTTCAGGCGGGCCAACATCTGCAGCAGGTTTGCTCGTTGTTGAGCTCGGCAGCTCGGCCTCTACAGCTCCCTGACAGTCTTCATCTCTAGACAGGAGTGCGTCCTTCTTAATTTTAGACCGAAGCGCCTTGATAGCTATGCCTTCGAGGTCTATGTGCTGCGAAATTGCAATCCAGAGCTCAGTCAGTCTTTTGTGGGTCACACGACTAGTAATTCACAATTTGATTGATTGGAAGTTACCTTACCTTAAGGCAATCGAGTTGTGATTCGAGAGTTTTAATTTTAGTGATGTCTTCACCTCCGGCTTGTCTAAATGAAAAGATGGCGTGGCCAGAGTCGCCAGACAGGATATGAGTGAGAACATTAAGCGTAACGAAGACGGATGACGACTCACTTTGCGTCTTTCAACTTCTTCACTATTCTTTGTGTTTCGAATGCCTTGGCTTTCTTGCATGTCTTCTTAACAGCCTTTAGACCGTGATGCTATCCTTACCGTGCAGTTTGGTCAGTATTGTGTGATATACTTGACGAATCGGAGGGTAGCTAACAAGTTTGGCTTGTAACTTTGGAAGGTTGCCTTCCTCCTGAATGAGATTCATCATAAATGTATTTTCTCTTTTGCAAAACACGGTTACTCACAGGTTCTGCGTACGATTCACGTTTCCTCTTTACGCCTCGTTTTGCAGTAATATCCATTGATCAAAGAGAGCAAAAAATTTAATAGTAATAGTCGTAGTAGTAATAGTAGTAGAGAGAAAGCCAAGCATGATTACACGCGCGTTTGCGCCTTGAACTCTAATTATTCCTCACTTGCTCCGTCCCGAGCAATCATATGCAGAACGGCGGTGCTACCTCAGACAGCGCGGGCGCTCAAGATCTTTCATCCAACCGTCGACGACAACGTTCACCATCTCCCGAAAACGCTGTTAAAAGGACGCGTTATTCGTCATCCAGGCCGTCCACGTCAACGTCTGCAACGAACGGGATGGGCACGAACTTGAAGCCGTTATCGCTTTCTATACTTGGCGTCGAGCCGCTTGATGAGTTCATTCGAGAGATTGCAGATTTTATCTATGAGTGTATTAGGACTCGACCGGATGTGGATGGACAGGTGGAGGTGGAGGCGAAGTTGGGCTTGTTGAAATATCGGGATGACAACGTGCGTGTTGCGTTCCCTGTTCGTTCGGAAGCGAGTGAGCTGTCCTGCCAATTTCTATGTAAAATTTTTATCAGAACGTTGAATTGATGGTTTATAAGTTATTTCTAGCGATGACCATAGGTTCGAATCTAACATGACAGCGGTACGACACAAATCTTGACATGAAAGCTGGCCCATGTGCTGAACAAATGACACTCTTAGCTACAACACAAACATTTCAACCAGCGACTCAACCAGCTCGAAGCATCTTCACACCGACCAGACTATCCCTCTTCACCTATTCGATACCAACATTCTTACCTTATTGATTCGTTCTACCCGTCCGAGGGCTCGGACAAGATTCGCGTCACCCGAGATGAGAAAACTGGAGACGTGAAGGAATGTATGAAGAAAATACGATTGGGTAACTTGGATATCTTTAGTCCGAAGAATAATGCGGATTGGCGGGTTAGTGTTAATATGGAGATTCCAGGTGAGTTTTTCGTTTTCGTTATTTATTGCTTGCGAGTATGGATGATTTTCTAATGTATTGAGAATGTAGTCCCACATCCGGTTGGTTCTGTCTCGTTCTCGCGAAGAAAGGATCGCATGTCGTACTCGCATGAGGAATTTGTTATTGACCTTACACAGGTTACGCAGACGTCTGGTCCCGGTGGTCAGGTATGTTGTTACACACATCACAATAATGTCCTTGAGAAAGTATTTGTTGACTATTATGCCTTGTTCTTGTCAGCCACAAATCATGCATGAACTGGAAGTTGAGCTCGCACGGCCGTCTGTTCTGCTCTCCACAGCAGCTGTACGCGGCGCAGAGAACGCACCACCGCTGGAAAGAGACGCGTATGACGAACTGATTCGTGCGTTCGTGAATAACGTGCGGGTCCTTGTTAGGAATACGAGGCCACCAGTATGATTTTGACGCATTCTCCTTTTCTCTCTTCATTGGTTGCGTATTGTAGTAGATGTGTCGATGTTTAATTTGCGTTTGTTTTCTGGAGGTAATTCTTTAACGTCAGCATTTATATTATATTTTTGTACTTATCCGTGATGGCGCGGAAATGGGCGATGCAAACACGCGCCGCGGCTCACCTCGTTGTGAGAGAATCCATCATGATGCTCTACCATCTCTCAATCTTCCCGTTCTTTGTCTTCTGCTCCTTCAAGAGCTCCCTGTCTTGCGAAATTCAAAGCTGTCCTCGACACACAGAATAACCACTACTCGTTCAATAGAACAGAATGTCCTCTGAGAAACCTACCGCGATTCGCACGCATCCCGAGCTTACGGAAGAACAGGAAGCAGCGTTACATACCTTTCGACGAGAGCTCCTCGAGGAAGGTGCAATAACAGATGAGGGAGATTCCCTTGGGACGCAGTATGATTGGGTCCTTTTGTGAGTTTCTCGCTTTTAGCCATTACTCATCCCTATTCAAGTTGAGGGGATGAATCCATGCATTGACATGGATGCTGACGTAGTTGATGTTACTACCGTAGACGATTCTTACGGGCACGAAAATACAACCTAAAGAATGCGAAGATTATGATTAAGAATTGTATTGAATGGAGGAAGACTGCGCAGGGTGTTGGTGTTGACCAGCTTTACCGTAACTTGGATCCATATGACGTGAGTCGATGTTCAGACACTGGGGTATGTCCTGACTAATTAGAGTATTGAATATGGAACTCTTTAGTATCCGGAGAGACAGGAAGTCTTCAAGTATTGGCCGATTTGGTATCATAAGGTACGCTGATTACTCCCTGCACTCAGAGTTTCGGTCCTGACTTTCGTGAATAGACAGACAAAGTAAATACGAAGCATCTTCCATTATAATATTCTAAGCACTGAACTTCGTTTCAGAAAGGTCGCCCAATAAACGTCCAATCGCTCGGCGGAACAGACGTCGCAGCACTCTACAAAGTGATGTCTCCCGAAAAATTCTGGGAGACAATCCTTGTAACTGCGGAAGGAGCGATGCGCGAAATCCTACCTGGTTCGTCGTATGCTGCAAAACGAGTTGTGGATAGTATCCTTGTTATTGTTGATCTTAAAGATTTCGGGTACGTCGGTCTACTGGATCAATCATATCTTATTGATTATGATTGTGATTATATGATTGTTGACTGTGTTATGCTGATTCGACGCTCGTTGCTGCAGGTTGGGAAAGTTCTGGCAGATGAAGAACTTGATTCGGGATTCTTTCCAGATTACACAGGATTACCTACCTGAAACGTGAGTTCATTCAACAACTACATCACTCCTTCGAACCAATTAGTCTCATCAATATTGCTCTCTTTAGCATGGGCATGCTCGTAATAATCAACGCACCATCAACCTTCACTGCAATATGGACAGCCGTAAAACCTTGGCTGGCAAAAGAAACTCAAGAGAAAGTATGCATATTTGGTTCGGACTATGCACCGTTCCTTCTAGAGGAGATTGACGCGGAGAATTTGCCTGAGTCGCTTGGTGGGAAATGTACGTGTAGTGAAACGGGTGGGTGTCAATTTAGTAATGTTGGACCGTGGATGGAGGGGAGGAAGGAAAGGAGGGAGAAGTGGTTGAGGGGAGAGAGGTCGAGACCTGGATTGGGCTTGGAGGATGTAGAAGAGGAGGAGAAAGAGAGGGAGGCGAGAGAGAAGGGGGAGAAGGAGGAAGAGAGAGCTGAAGAGGAGAAAGAGGAGGGAGCAAAGAGGTTGAGCAGCTCGCCTGTTTCTCCCCATTCTGCAGTGCCGATGAGCGCGAGCGAGATTTAATTTCTGCAACTTTTACTTAGCTATGCTTTCTTGCTTTGCTTTCTTTTGCATAGAGATATTTCTTGGACTGGACATTTTGTAGTACATTTTTTAGACTGTATAGACATGGCTTCCGGCTCGGGAACAATTTGTGCATCTCCGCAGTTCTGAGTTCATCACCTGCGTCTGATTTACCTCAGACGCGACCAGCATCTCTTTGCTATGCTATGACCTTGACTACCGCTACCCTCTCTCTTCCACTCCATCCTCTTCTGTCACCTACTGGAAACTAATATGTCGGCCTTCCTAATCGTCCTTCTTATGTCGGCAGCGCTTGGCGCCACGTCGTTTGGGATTGGAATGTTGCCGCTGTTCTTCACGTTCTCTCGTGAGCAGGCATCTTTAGACGGACGATGAAGTATATTAAAGCTGAATGTCTGATGCAGGAACGCATATTGAACAACTGTCGACGCTTGGAACTGGTTTGCTTTTGGGTGCAGCGTTGGGTATCATTATCCCCGAGTAAGTGGACGCCATTACTTCAAGATGTATTGTAATAATAGAGTGGGTTTCTGTTGTGTTGACAAGGGGTGTTGAGACGTTAGTTTCGTCAAGTCCCTCCGACCCAGCACCAAAGATAGCTTTATCCCTCATCTCGGGCTTTTCGTTCATGCTCCTCGTTGAGCAGCTCACGTCAGGACACGCCCACGGACATGGACATGGCAAACACTTCCTCTCGCCGAGTCCCCGAACAACACCGCTCGATTCACGCAACGCACATACTATCTCCGTAGGCTCTACTTCATCTAATGAGGAATTCGATATCTCGTTAGCGGAGTTGGAAGAGGCTGAAGGCTTGGGATCGGGGACTGATCGTGGTGTTAGACAACCAATGCTCAATCATCGTCGAACCCGGTCGGACGAGCAGAGTACGTTCGAGAAGCCGAGGGCTATCGCGATGACCCTTGGTTTGGTGATTCATAGTCTCGCGGATGGGCTCGCGTTGGCTGCTTCTGCGCTTCCGAGGAAGGTAGGCGAGGGTGAGGGACAGAATACGCAGCTATGGTTGTTGGTTTTCTTTGCTTTGATGGTGCACAAAGGTTCGTTTAATACTTGTCCTGATTTCCACGTGTGTATTGATGCTGATGGGTTGATTGGTTGGTTTATATAGCGCCAACGGCATTGGCGCTGTCTATGTCATTGATGTCTTCCCTGTCGGCGGTGGAATGTAGGAAACACCTTGCAGTGTTCAGCGCAGCGACGCCTTTTGGTGCCCTTGCGTCATTTGGGCTTCTCAGACTTATTGGCGCTGGTGCAGATGGTGACTGGACGGGAGTTGCTCTGCTTGTATCTGTACGTCCCTCCTTTCTGGACATATCCGAATAACAAATCCTAAATCTTCCACGTCTGTAGGGAGGCACATTCCTATACGTCGCGACCGTCTTACAACCCGTCTCACATCAAGAAACGCGATCACCCTCGTCATCAGAAATGAACGAAAAAGTACGAGTGGGGATTATTATTATCGGGATGTTCATTCCGTTCTTGATTTCTTTGATTTCCGGACATGAACATTAGCATTGAGTATTCAGTTAAACAAGCGCAATAATTTTATTGTTTTGTCCTTGGTTTGTTTTCGGTATTCCTCATTTTTCGTCTGCTGTGTTAGATGCTATGTATGTATGAACTCGTAGGTTAATGAACAAAGAACATCGGTTAGTTACTTCATTACCGTGGCGCGTCGGTACCGAGCATAGCTTCGAGCGCATTTTTTCGTCGGTCCCGACGCGCGCACATGACCACAGCCACACCGACGCGTGAACATTGTCCCTGCCCCTGCATTTTGATCAACTTTGAGTCAAAGCCACTCAATGAGGCAACCACACGTTGCCTGACGTGGCTATAAAAGCTCGTGAACAGCAGCAGCAATTTCAGCAAACAGCTGTCTACTACCCGCCAGCCCTTCAATACTTTCATCGCTGCGCAAATAACTATGTCTGACAAAGACGAACTTGCTGAGATCGACGGTGTCAAGCCTAAGAAATACCTCAAGGATGGGGAGGAATGTGAGGCTAAGTCGCATACGAGGTTAGCACAGACTATCATGGACTCTCGAATTCGAACTTGGGGGCTAAACAAAAGTACTTTGGGATTTATAGTAATTCTGTGTACAAGATCAAGCGAACTTGGGATCATTATTACTGGTAAGTCTTCTTCCTATATGCTCTATCCCGTTCCAGCAATTAATAAATGTTTACCCGTTGCATATAGTACTTGCCCTGTATGTTCAGCCACACCCCGCTCGCTCTCCTGACGTTTTCTAATCAATCATGCTTCATTGTTTCAAGGCATGGCGAAATCAATCTCGAGCACCTGTGAATGCACGTTCGTGTAAACACCTGCGCTCGGTCCTCGGAGATGCGTATGAGGATGCGCGTATTTGCTATATGGATCCTGACGGCGCTGCTGCCACAAATGCGAAGAATAAGAACAAGAGTAAGAGTAAGAGCGCTGGGAAGAGGAGGAAGAGGGATGACGGCGACGACGACGACGATGTCAGCAAGAGTCCGAAGAAGAAGTCGAGAGGAGGAAGTAAACCTGTATCTAAAGGCAAGTCGAAGGACAGACAGGATGAAGAAGATGACGAGGGAGAGGATGGGAGTGATGAGAGCAGCAATGGCAGGGCTGTGGTTGAAGTCCTCCTCGCAGTAAAATGGGACCTCGAGAAAGGAGTCGATCCTACTGGTTGGTGGGTTTCTGAGAAACTTGATGGTGTTCGGTACGTTCCTCTTGTGATGATATATGCCGTCTCTACCGTCTCTTTCTGAAACGAGATTATCAGTGTTTATTGGGACGGGAAGCGAATGCTAAGTCGACTTGGGAATCCGTTCACGCCTCCGAAGTGGTTCATCGAAAGTAAGAACAGTTTTTTTTTCCACCTTTATTCGGCGCAAGTAAAGATTCACCATAATCCTTAAAGAGTTACCCAAGGATGCAACCTTGGACGGAGAAGTATGTCATCTCTTCACCATCTCCTTACAAGAAATTCACAATCGAAACAAATTTATTTCTTACAAGCTCTTCGGAGGACGCGGTCAATTCCAAAGCACCGTCTCCATCGTAAAGACATCCAACTCTCCACGCTGGAATGACATCACCTTTCAAGTATTCGACGTCCCCTCCATGGGAGAAGAACCGTTCGAGGACCGTCTCGATTGGCTGAAGTCGAATTTCACCAAACTTTCTGGAGAAAGGAGACATGGACATATTAATGTTGTTGAACATGTGAAAGCGAAGAATCGGGAACATGTGTTGGAGTTGTTGAAGGAAGTGGAGAAGGATGGAGGGGAGGGACTTATGCTTAGGGAACCTGGGTCGTGAGTAAATTCTTTTATTTGATTTTTTCGTTCCTTCTGATTTGAAATTGAAATTATTTGAAGTCAATATGTAGGGAGCAGGTCTTCGACGTTGCAGAAAGTCAAGGTGAGCGATTTTCACAGGATGGTGGCTCGCAGCTGTTGCTCACAACGTAACTTGTTGCTACAGACGTTCCATGACGCCGAAGCCAAGGTCACAGGCTACGTTCCTGGCAAGGGGAAGCACCAAGGTGTAATGGGTGCATTGAAATGTGTCATGGCTTCAGGGAAGGTATGTCAGCCAGGATAAATATCCCAATAGTCGAAGTCTGATTTGCGATATATCATTAGACATTCAACGTCGGAACAGGCTTCAGTGACAAGCAACGAGCGAAACCACCCAAGATCTGTTCAATCATCACGTATCGATTCCAGGAGCTCACTCTCGATGGAGTGCCGAGGTAAAGACTTACTTACGTGCTGAGTGTATGTTCGATTCTGACTTCTTATAGGTTTCCGAGTTTCATCGGTGAGGCACTGGATAAAGATAAACCTACTGATGCGGTTATACCTTATGCTAAGAAGGCGGATGTGAGGGGAAATAATGAGGATGGTGTTGAGGCATGAGGCGACGAAGACTTTTGAACATTTATGAGATATGAGATACCTAGCTAATGTATTGTATGCTGCGATTCCCATGTAATGATCTGAATTTCGACAATGAACTAGCTTGCCTCGATGGCTGTTGACCTCTTATGCCTTTACCGGGCTGACGTTCCATGTATTTGGGGAATCGAGCATGAGCTCTCAATTTATTGGGAACACAACAGGTTAACCACTGTCTATCAAGTGAAACATGCATTTTCAAAGACAGAAGTTGATTCCTTCGATGTGATTTATGGATCATACCGTCGTCGTGGGTGTAGGGTTGCATGGTCCTACAATAAAATATTTCAGAAGAGGCGAGATCAGGACATGTTAACCAAATATGACGATATCGGGCATAAAAGCGCACCAGGTAAACCACTCTCACTCTCAACGTTTACGCAAACGAAATTCGGAGTCTCGTTATTCGGAGTCTTGACGTTGAGGTTTTTGAACGAGATATTTGAGCATGGAGCGTTTGCGCTGCATTCAAGGTCGACCACTACAACGACGTGTTAGATTCTGACACTGCTAGGATATCCTACGGAATTGGTTGGCGTACGTGTATTCGTGCTTGCAGTTCCGGACCAATCCTCGAACGTCAGGTCCCTAAAGTTGAAAAAGGACGGCGTATCGCTCCTGTTTACATCATATGCCGTCACACAGGCTGTATGCTATTGAGAGTGCAAATGCATGCGACATACGAGTTACCTCCATACGTCTGGTATGCAGCGACGGCAGTGTCCACGGAACTGAGGTGGACGTTCTTTGCAACGACATTCTTCACGAAGCCTGGACGAAATTGTGAACATTGGCTTACAGGGAATTTTAATAAGCACCGCTGTGACGTACCTCCGCTACCTCCGCCACCAGTTGGAGGTACTCCGATTACTGAGCCTGTCCACGACTTGAAGTATACCTGCAAGTCAGAGGATCAGATAATTAAGACCACATCAACATCCGTTCTGATTTACTCACCCCCCACCTCATAAGTGGCTGTATCGACTCATCGATACGCAGGACCTAAAGTGAAAATACAAATAAGAAAATTAAATGCATATTATGAGGAACGTTTGAGTGATTACATTGATGTCTTCCAGAAGAACATTATCCACAATGTCGTTCTTAACAGAATAGTCAATCCGTAAATCCAAAGCGACGCGTAAAAACAAGTTACTCACAAATTGAACATATTGACCCAGAGATCCAAACGCAATGCCGTTCCCGCCACGGCAGGTTATGCCTTGTGCTACGATGTTTGTGGAATTCTTCGTACAAAGACATAGACTCAGCTCAGTCTAATATGTATAGTAGCTAGGAAAGCTCGGTGCTTACACCCTTGATCGCCAAGCAGTCGTCTCCGCAAGTGACCTAGAAACGAACTTGTAATCAGGAATTCAGAAGCGAGCGATTGCACGTACATCCCAATTTCTAAGAGTGATACTGTCACTCCGATAAGTATCGATGCCTAGTAAAACTATCATTATGGAGTCGTTCTTGGACAGTAAATAATTCTACCGTCTGTGTTCGGAGTGATACTGTAAATTCGTATTAATCAGGCTTGTACGTACTTGAATAATACAGAATTACCTACTTTTCGCCGAAGAAAGCAGGGTTTGTATTTGTCGCGTTGCATATCATGCCGTCATAGAGTACATCCTTCGAATTGGCGACACAGTTGCACCAAAATGGTGGCGACTGGATGCGGAAGTTGCGCACTGTCCCTCGCTCGGCCTCAAAAACAGTTAAGGATAATGGTCTTCCGTCCCCATCTTCACGTGTATGGCTTTGGAAGTACTCCCACCATGGCTAAAGGAAAACGGCATTTCATATTAATTTCCTGCCGAGGCTTGAGTGCAATTACTAACCTGTCCATTGCCTTCGATGCCTCCTTCGTTGTGCGCATCTACGACGAAGTCCTTCCCTGTCAGAACGAACCAAGATGATTGACTCTAATCGGCAGCCAAAACCTGTAAGGATTCAATAGTCGGTGGATAATAGAATAACATACTTGAATGAAAACGACTTGGTAGGTATTCGTCATATCTAACCAGTACTCGATGTTCGGTACGAACTGGACGAGATACGCAAATGAGAGAGCGAGTAACTTGCTCACAGTGGTAGCTTACATTCAAAGTTCCGTATAGATCGACTTGTGCATTTTCAAGATTCCAGGTCATTTTCCTAACAGGACTGTAAGTACGTTCACGACATCGTTGTTTGCAGAAAGAAACCTTGTAATGTTATAGTTTCCCTTTTGCAGGACCGTTCGTCCATTTTTGCCGCATTCATCAATGGCTTTCAGGACCTAAGCGTGCGTCAATTTACATCCTCCTGACAATTGATGTCGAGCTCATACCTGATCAGTATCATCTTTACCCTTCCCAAGAGGCGAGATCGTGCAAGTACGCGTCGCGGCGCCATTGACAGCGGTAGAAAAGCCTAGGAAAAATAATAGCAGCAAGCTCTTTAGCATGTTGCCCATTGGTTTGTTCTGGACGGGGCGAACTATGCCTCCATTTTCTCTTATAATACTTTCCACGCGTTAAGTATTCTACATGATGATGCACGATGTCATTGCGCGTGATCACGAGGAGATTTAGTGATCCTAAGCGACTTCTCAAAGATACCGAAGGAGTGCGAGAGGCGGGCCGCGGGGTTCTTAGACTTAAGTATTTATAGCGGCGGCTCCGGGCCAGGACTGGAAAACTGCGTCGGGCCTGACGCTAGCAGAGCAGGATGAAGTCACTTGACCTAGAAAATTCAACAAGAGCTTGGCATTCAAGCACGGCACGGTTTGTCCGATTCTGGAAGGCTTGAAAAAAGGGCACAACGGCGATTCACCAGTTCACCTTTTGCAGTCTGCTGACTGATACGGAAAGCGCAAGCATCTTTTTGTTCTGCTTGCAATAGAAGCCGAGATTGACAGCCACCATCTATATCAAGGTAAACATCCTTCTAGTCGTGTACAAATTTTCTTGTTTCTTCTAGGGAATCACGATAAAGACGCCCCGACCAAAGTGGGTGCAAAACAAACTCCGTTTGCCGTGCGGATGGTATGCGCATTTCCTGTCGCTGGGTCGATCCAGGCGGCCTCTTTTGATGGCAGGGTCTTGAAGCCTGATAGCTTTAATGTCAGCTGTACGATCTATTATCAAGTGTACCTCGACGAACCTGGTTGAATGGTTTCAAAGATTTTCTTCTTCGGATTGAGCTGCGAGAGCGGTGTCGCATCTGAATATAACTTGTTAGGAAGAGGGTTGAAAAGAATGACTGAACAATCTTACTTTCGAACTTCTCGCCCTCGAAATACACTCTATCACCAGGTTTTGAGCCACTAGGGGGTTGGATAAGTTCGATACGTTTTATTCCATCTTCTTCTAGTGATGCCTAGGATGTATTGTCAATATCGACCAGTTTCCTGTGTACATCGCAATACTTACGCAAAGAACCATTGCGTGACTCTTCACACCGCGCATATTAGCCGGTTTTAGGTTACACTTGATTAAAGCGTCAAGACCAACGTCACTAAAGTAATAAAACTCGACTTGCCACTGCTACAAGATACTTATCCCGCATCTCTTCAATGGGGATGTAGTTCACGAGGCCAGAAACAACAGTTCGAGGTGTTTCTTCTCCCACGTCAACTTGCTATTGGAATAATCATCACTTATTCAAATCATGATTACATGGCGATTATACGAACCTCGACATACAAGCTATCAGCATCGGGGTGTTTCTGGACTGGATAAACACTCAGTATCAGTGATATTTTTATTAAACGAATCTTACTTTCAACTATGTGGCCGACTCGAAGGTCAATCATAGAAGGTACAGGCTCGCCAACATCCTCAGGGGTAGCAGCAGACTTTCCTCCCTGTTTCTTTGCAGTAGCAGCACCGTCTACAGCAGCACCTTTTTCTTTCGGTTCTTTCTTTTCCTTCTTTTTTGGCGCAGCTTCGGCAGCAGGAGCAGCGGCTGCATCGGATACAGGTTTCTGAGCTTTCTCTTTTTTCTTTGGTGGTTCTGCCTTGCGTTCGAGCCTGGGCATATTGTCCAGATCAAAAGCTACATGGGCAAAAGCTGGAGCCAGAGTTTCTGCAGCCTTGCGGACCGAAGGGCGAGTTTGGATATGGTCAAAGTATCGAGTTAGGGCCGGGTGTGAATAATACTGCGCAGGTTGCAGCTGCGACTAAAATGCGAGTTTACTTCTCTGGATGCTTGTATATTTTACAATACGACTCACGATGGTAGGATGAAGAGCGCCATACAACGCCACGTCTGCAGCTGTAAGACGATTGCTAACGAGGTACGTTCGTGGTGTCAATGTTGCATCTAACTCCTTCGAAGCCGATGATTTGACGATATCGCCCTTGGCGACATTTGATATCCAGTCAGAAACTTCTGCTTTATCCTTCTCATTTTCTCCAAAGTCTTCATCGCGCGGAGCAGCGGCGGCAACGAGATCGCGCAAGGGCGATGGTAGTGATTTCAGAGCAGCCTGAGAAGACATATTTTTGCGTATTGCACTGGTAGATATGAATGATGTATGCAGAAAGGAAACAGAACGTAGCAGCAAAATCATCACCGTTATAGGTGTAAATGCGATTGCTTACTTAATGTACACGAACTTTAACATTCGTTCCAATTTAGGAAATGCACGCGCGCTTGTTTAAATTTCCCTTGTCTTCGGTGTTCACTGTCTGGCACGCCTGGCGCCTGCTGACCGTGGCCGACGTTTCTCAACGGCACGTCGTCTCTGACGACGATGAGCAAACATGACAGGGAACCTCCGACGTGTTCGTCCTCAATGCCTCCGCCCCCGGATCCTCTGACGCGTCCTTCGACGCGCTTTCCTTTGATGACACCCAGTGCCTCACCACCTGTGCAACGACCATTTGGTCGCAAGTCATTCACTCCGACTCCAGCAAAGAAACGAAGAGTGTCCCGCACACCGTCTCTGCTTGGCCCGGGCGCGCGGAGTCACTCCGTTTTCTCTGCTTCGTCTTCATCCACGTCTCCTGCGTTCAACATTGACGCGTCTGCAGATCCTGGGCCCGGAGAAGAGCTTCACGAGGCGCGACGCGCCAGTTCATTTCGTGTCTTGGACGTCTGGTCGCGTCTTGGGGATAAATATGCTCGCAGACTCGACGAAGACGACATCGTCGACTTGGGAAAGAAAACTATTATTAAAGATCATGGGGTTCTAAGGTCCTCAATAAATATGTTCGAGATTGGACACTTTGCCGATGAACATGAGAGAGCACAACGTCTCGACAACGGCCAACCTTTAACTCCGGTGGATGACGAGCCAGATGAACTGGACGCTTTCGCTGACCTCCACGACAATGTATCACGCTCAGAAGTAGATGGAGACGAGGAAGATGGCTTGGAATTATCACAACGGTCGAAGCCCTTACCCCCAGTACGCGAGGTCGACCCAGCCGATGCAGCTGACCTAGCGGAGTTCTTGAAAGCAGAGCAGGAACGGAGGATGATGTTTGGAGATCCTGACGAAGACCAAGAAGAGGAGGATGAAGAGGAAGAATTTGAGAAATTTAATAATGACGAGGAATGTGGTTGGGAAGAAGACGAAAAGGAGGACAATGTGCTTGATCAGAGGGGTGACGAGAGCTACGATATAAGCGCTACTGCTTCCAACTCCGACACCGAAAGAGCTGGATCCGGGGCACGCGAGTCCGGGGACGAGGAAGATGCTTACGAACAAGGCATTCACGATGATGTCTATGGGAATGATCGAGATGATTATTCCCGTGTTTCAACACCGTCAGGTTCCCCAGAACTCGACATTTTTGATAACTCTGGTGTAAATGAAGGTTCTGACGATGAAGTCTTACTTGCGGCTTCCAGCTCAGTAAACGAAAGTCCACTCGTGGTCTCAGACGAAGAGTCCGAAGACGAACTGGGCGGATGGGATCGTGACGAAGGAAGCATGCTGTACGTTGTCGGTGATGTCGATGAAGGTCCTTCTAATCTAAAGGATCGCGACGGCTTAGAGGGCCCGTCGAACTCTAATCCTGAGCCACCGCCATTGCCGCGCAAGAGGGGGCGAAAACGCCAGGACGTTTCGAATGGAATCTCAGAACCACCTTCAACGCAAAAGGCGAAGGGAAGACTTTCAATAGCTCGCAAACGTTCACCTACTCCCATCCTCCAACTTCAGACTCCACCGCGGTCTACATCCTTCGGACCCGAAGGCCGTAATGCTAAAGTCACATCGACATACTCGCGGAAAGGTCATGGGGATTCTTCTAGTCCGAGGAGGGCACCTATGAGGATAGAATCCACTGCATCAGAGAGTTCGGGTTCAGAAGCAGACGAATTAGCTATTTCACCACACAAAAGCGGAATCCAGAAGCAAACAAATTCTCGCTCTCGTCAGACATATTCGCCGAAAACCAAACTTGTTCCAGAAGTCTTTATCGATGGCCCTTCTCGTACGCCATCAAGGAAGCTCACTCAAGCTGCGCCTTCCTTTGAGGATGAAGATTTCGATCACACACCCGAACTTGTCGATAGTCCTTTACCCGTTAAACGGAGGATTGATAAGGGAAAGGGTAAAGCAGTGGACCTGGATAATTGCTCTTACTCTCACGAGTTGGAAGAGGAACGACAACGCTTTTCACCTCTGGCTAATAATTTTTCCGATACGTTTCTTTCCCCTTACGCTGAAGAGCGTGACTCGTCGGGATCCCAAAATCGATTCACATCTAGTAAAAAGCGAAGACGCTCATATTCTCCTATACCAGAGCCTAGTATTCAAAACAGCGATACAGTTGACGTTATGATGGTCAGCCCTCGTCGACCTTCCTCCCGAAATCCTAACCGCCGATCGTCCCATTCTCGGCGGCAAAGTCTTGTCACTGCGGCCGACTCCTCCTCGTATGGTATGTATTACAGTCTGTTGACAGCATGCCGGTTGATTGAGCTTTGTCTATTAAAGATGGATTCGAAGCTGGACCAAGTACGCAACCGACAAACAGACGTCGAGCTCGTTCTCGGCACTCAGAAGAACAGCCTATCGAAAGACAGTCGCGTTTACATCATCCGCCTGAGCTTGACTCTTTTAACTTTACAACGCCTCAGCATTCCTTCACTGGATCGCAAGTTTATGGGTCTAACAACTTCACACCATCACTTCCACCACAACATCCCCCAGCAGCGAACTTCCACGACTCTGCGGCACAATACCATTTGGCGCAGGCATTGCAGAGCCTGTCTTATCTGATGGGAGGTTCATTACCTTTCCCTTCGCCACCGGTGAATGGCTCGCATGTTCCTCCTTTCGTCCAAAGCCCTACGCAATATGGACATCAACCGTGGAATCCAACCACTCCGCGACACCTCAAACGCTCCGCTTCCTTTCACACACCGCAATCCGTTGCAACTGCTCCTCCGACATCATCCCCTATAGGCTCCGATTACGAAGAAGAGGAAAGGTTGTCATCTTCTCCTACCAGGCGATCAGTTCAGGAACGCGGGAGGACGCAATCGCAGCTGCATAATTCCAGACGTAGCCGACCCAAGTCCGCAATCCGGGAATCTAGGACATCATCACGAAGTAGGTCTCTCGGACGTCGTGTCTCGTTTTCGTCACCGGAAGCGACCCATATAGAGGATCAAGCATATAGTTATGTCAGTGACGACGTTGTTGAGGTCCACAGCTCTGGTGGTGAGGATAGCGATTTTGAACGTCGTCGGCAACGTCGCGAGACGCAATTCAGTCACTCTGTGCGACTTCAAGCACGACCTCGCGACCACAGTCGAGCGCAGACTCCCGGTCCGCCAACACGGGCACCGGTGGTGCACTCTGCCGAAGTAGACATGCAATGTTCAACGATTCAGAACCAGAGAGGGCACCTGCAAACGGCTCTCGCATTCCCAGAGTGTCTCATCGTAAATCTAGGAGGGAGCATCGATGAAATGCAGTAGCGAATTTAATCGATTCATGATCTACTTTTGCTTTGTTCGCTTTGCTTAAAGGATCTTGTGTAGCAAATATTTTGTGTAATGTGTAGTTATTTTGAGTTATTTTTACAACGTGTACGGAATGAATAATACAGCCGAATTCGGTGATGACGCATATAAGTACGCGTTAGCTAATTCTGCTTCGTACTGTATCATGTAGTGTATCTCCGCTATATCTATCTGAATGGCTTGTTTCCCTACGAATAGGTCTCTGCTCAACCCCAAGTTTGAAGGGTACAAGCTCTCACCGCTCGCGCAAGACGAGCACATTACACGATTTCCTTTGACAGCGTACCCGACACAAGCAAATGTTTCTGGAAGGTCGCGGACACCGCTGTCGTTCGAGGAAGTTCAATCACGTATAACGCATAATCATCTAACGATTTCGCGGGATTCGAGTGAGTCGGTCTATGTGGATGATGATCTGAATGTCATTCGTATTGTTTTGAATCCGGTGAGTGCCGCTACTCTATAAACTAATTTGATTTGGAGCGCTGAGAGGAAGAATGACAGGATTTGACGCCAACATTCTCTACTCTCAGCGAACTACCCAAACCTATACAAAGTGATGACTTGGTCGAGAATCAACATAGGGAGTATCCGTCTGCTGTTTCGTTGGGAGATACGTTATTGGTCTCTGATGGAACTGGGTTATTGTACGTCCTCTCCGAGACTAGAGAGGACAATCGGATCGTAGCGCTTTACCATCTACCTGATGACAAAGCTTCTTCTACCTCTGCGTATACGCCCTTCAGACTTCACGCAGCACAAACCAAGGATCCCGGCGTTGCGGTTTGCGTACTCTCGTGTCGGCATGTTCCCACCGAATCGCTCAGTAGTTCGGAGTCTCAAACTCAGAAGAAGAGTCGAACGACGAAAGCTGAACCCTCTCACTTTGATGTTCTTCTCGCAGAGGTCTCAGTAGATACGCCATCTGACGACGCTCAGCCTCTCAAGATAATCTGGAAAGGAAGAGGGGATGACGTCCCGAGCCACGTAGGCTATGATACTTCACGCGGAGCGTTCTTCATACTCGGGAAATCGTGGTACAGAGTGGGCATAGTAACTCCACCAACTTATGAGCCAACTCCCGAAGAACTAGCACCTATACCTCGAGCTGGGGAAGTCTTAGCACCAGACGGACCAATAAAGCCTCCACCATATTCATGGACTCAAACACAAGACTCAGTAACAGTAGCCTTCGCTCTCCCCTCTAACGTCCCTAAATCCGCGATACACGTCACGCTAACCGCAAAGACACTTTCATTACTAGTCAAGCACGAACTACCAATGTCCGCTTCGCTCCCGCGTTATTCACTCAAGCAATTGTGGGATGGGATCAACCCATCTTCGAGCTTTTGGACGTGGGACCGAGAAGCGGAGAGGGAGTTTGGGTTGCTCACGCTGCATTTGGATAAACAGCACGAAGGGACTCGGTGGGCTCAAGTATTCGCGAGCGCAGGGATGAACGCATCGAGTGAACGTACGGATACAACAGACGAAGAAGTACCCGAGACGCTCGACCCATCCGAACTATACCTCATCCGTGAAGCACTGGAGAAATACACCAGCTCCCTACAGCTCGGAGGTGGAGACGCGAGTGGACTGGGACTTGGTGAAGGCGTACCGAGCCTTGCGGAGGGTGAACTGGACGATAGTGTGGATAGTTCCGTTGGGCGACGAGTGGCTGTTACGTGGGTAACTCCTGATGGTCTCGTACCAGAATGGGCATCGAGCGTAAGAGAGGAAAACGCAAGTGCTTCGGTACTTTCTGTCCCTGTACCAGGGTTACGAGAATCCGAACCCTCGCTAGTAATCAAAAGCGACATCGACGGTTTACTCTTCACCTTACCACCCTCTACAAACAAAGAAGAAACATGGAAATGGAAGCATACATCAACCTACCCAGCCCTCTCCTTCGTCCTAGCATCCAAACGCGATACTCGCTTCACATTCCACATCTCCTCACTCGCTGTCCTCGCTTTCGAGTCTGGTACGAGCACAGGCGGTGGGAACGTCTACATTTACCGGGGCTCTCCCGGTGAGACTCAGAAATCCACGTGGGCGAAACAAGCTGTGTTGAAAGTGAGTGGAGGGACGTCGGGTGCGTTGCTCGGCGTTGGAGCTTTACGACTGCAACAAGAGACATCAACTACAAAGGATGGATTTGTATTACTTTGTCTATGTGAGAGGGAGTTAATAGTCGTGAAAGACATACTATAATCCAGGTTGAGAAGAGATTAAAATTAATATACAAAATATATACATACATCTGAGCTTTTTTTAATGTGAATTCGAGTACAGTAATTCAGGCAAGTCATTTATATCAATGGTCTTCCAAGGGTAATGCAGACTCCAAATTACCACGATCAAGTCAACAATCAAATCTTGTCTATAATAATTTTAGTGCAAGGACCAATTACTAACAGTATATACACTCAAGTTCAGGCTGGCTATTGCATACAATAATACCATGCAGTCAAGGAAGAAAAGAAAAGAAAAAACAGAGAAAATGAGAAAATGAGAAACAAGACAAAGAAATTGCAGAAGAAGAGACAGTGAACTCTGAAGTTGGAACTGGATTGAGACAAGGCGGGCGGGAGGATAGGTAGGTAAGCGGCAACGTCATTCCAGTCGGTGACAGGAGGGAAAGGAGGTGGAAATACACAGTGTATAACAAGCTGTATCGCGGAATTGAAACATAGGACAAACGCAGAGTGTAGAAATCGAGGTGGGTGAGTGCAATGATATGTGCAAATGTATGTATGTATGCATATGTGTCTCTGTATGTCTGAATGTGGAAACGGAAGGAAACGTGAAGTTTTGGATGTCAAACTTTTGACCAATGCGTGCATACACACTTTTGACCAGAGAAAGTCGGAACTAACAAAATGACGTTTTAAAACACGGAAGGGATGAGAAGGACAGAAATAATAAAACAAGTACTTTTACGAGGACCAGCGTTCGGATGGGCACATTCCGTTCATCCCAGTCTTCTGCCTGGCAAAGTTGAGTTACAAGCTCACCATGAATTAAGTCTTGGCTCCTCCACCAAATGGGCAGTCCTGCTCGCTTATTTGCGATCCCAGATATCAGCAAGCAGGAGCGTCCCTTCACCGCTGAGAGTATATCGTCCGTCCAGGATTTGGTATAGTGCCATTCAACGCATCGCGTAGGCCTCCCTTGCTGGATGTCGACTCTCCAGAGCGGCGCCGCTGTCTAGCCCTCTTCGGCGGAGGTGCAGAATCTTCGAGTTCGGCACCGTTCGTAGCTACCTTCTGCTCATCTCGCGGAAGACCGTTGCTGGCATCCTGTCGCGCGGACCGTGGTTTCGCTGCCCTGACATTCCGTGCTTGCTCCACAGCGGTGTCGAGGTCGGTAGTCATAGTACCATTTTTCAGCACTTCGAGGGAGGTAGTGACTTTCGCTGACGGCGGCGGTGGTAAAGGTACGCGGTTCCATAGGGGCTGATCGGTCGTCTCGACATTGACGGGTGCGAACTGAACGCCGCCAGTCTTTCCATTGAGGTTGTTGCTCCCTGTACCAGACTTTGCGTCTTCTTCAAACCGAAGCGGCTTATCGGTACTCTCGTTGAGCTGCTGAGAATGCTGTCGCTCCGGGGTACCCGTGGAGGAGGCTCTCGAGGGCGGGCCAAGAGGAAGGACTGTATTTTGAGATACTGCGTCCACAGGCACTGCTGTTGGAGTAGTGGACGGCGGTCGAAGAGAAATCTTAATTTTCATGCTACTACTCCTGCTAGAGTTATTGGAACCATGAACACCATTGGGATCTCCAGTTGCATGCCCATTCTGGGCAGGTAACGGGGCAGGCGAGTTGACATCTGCGGTAGGTTCCGCTGAAGATACGGCTTCTTGAGCAAGACGTGCTTTCTTGTTCTTCTGCCTTTGGCTCCGTACAACCGGTGCAGATGTTGCCGTGCCAGCGTTCTTTGATTTTGATGACCTTCCGTTAGCACTGCTGCTCGCACTTCTTGCTTTGGTCAGTTTGGGTACAGGTGTAGAAGCCTTCGACGTTGATGCAGATGTCTGTCCAGGTTTAGTCTTGCTGTCGGGACTGACAATGTTGAGACCATTGAGGAGCGCATCATGTTCTTCAAGGATGCGCTTGCGTTCCACGAGGGCAGACTTCGGGGAAAGCGGCCGCGGAATGATTTCTGGATAGTCAGCCAATCCAATATGTTCACCAGTTAGAGAAGAGCAACGTCGAAGAACCAGAGACAAGGGTGACGAACCTTGCAAGAACTTGTACTCTTCAAAATAATGGGCAGAATCCGCTGGATGATAATGACACATTATTAATAGACACGGAGTATGGAACAAAATATGCACGTACCGAAGTCATTGTATGTTGTTAACATACGTTTGTCGAGACGGGAACGGGTATGAGCAACGCGGGTCAAGCGCCGGATGAATTCCTCCTGCGAGGCGATGAATCAATAGCTGGGAAAGAGGAAATATAGAAGGCCCTTACTGTGGCCAGGGAGATAATGAATGCGGCTTCTTTCGACGGAGTGCCGTGTTGAGAGACTGGACTCGAAGGTCAGTACATGAGAAGCAACAAGCAAGAGAAGCGCGTACGATCCGTGGAGACCATAGCTTCTATGCGAGACATGGGTACAATTGTCTGGCCAGGTTGGCGAGTGGTGGGCGGCTTTGGGCGCGGCTTCTTCGCGCTGGCCTTCGGAGAAGGAGCGGCACTAGCAGAAGCAGAGGATATTGTCTCCCATTGTGGCTGGGAGTCCTGTGGGCCGCTGTCTGACTCGTCGAGCTCGTCGACTTCGAGGCTGTCCGCTTCATCCATTTCGGATAGTTCGTCAACCTCGTCGACGTCCATTTGGGTGTCCGTGCCATTAGCACTGACGCCAGAACCGCTTTGTTCAAGCGTAGACCATGTCCTTGCGGTGCTGTTGCCGTTGGTGGAGGTGAGAAGGGTGACGCGGGGAGCCATCCGCGAAAGCCGGTTGCGGTTGATTCTGTGAGTCGGTGTGGAGCGAAAAGAGACGCCGAAGGGAGTGTAGTGGCGTCGAAGGATGCGAGTGACGAGGAGAGGGTGGGTTGACAAGGTATTGGATGACTGTCGAGCGGGAGAATGGACGAGAACGGGGAAGGCGGGGAGTGATGGGGGATGGAGGCAAAGGGGGAAGAGTGGCGGCAGGCAGGAGAGGACAGCCGGCCTACCCTGTGAATCGCGATCCTACGTAGCTACCCGCACTACAACTCTCATCCCGGCTTTCGACGTCTCTACAGCATTCAGCACATTATCCCATGTTCTCTATTACTCATTGTGAACCGAGACCAGAGTCAGGTCATTCAGAATAACGACATTCGTCTAGCATAAATACCTCTGGCTATTTTCTAGTTGAAAACCCAGGAGGAGCAAGGTGTTGGACAAGAGCAAGACCAAGTGCAGGACGAGGACGTCTGTCTTACCCAATTCTCCACTTTCTCACTATCATACTTGCGCTTATTCACGCACGCACGTTGCCACAGAGAGTACAGCTAGTCAAGCACCACATTGTTTTTCTGCAACAGGTGTATTTATTATTTTTTTAAAAAGCGCTGGTAGTCTTTGCGATGCGTTGACCGCAAAGCGAGACGCGTCCTAATGCGCTGTGATCGGCGATTTCCTCATCTAGCAATCGTCCCTTCTCAACTTTATAAAGTTTTACTGGCCTTTGAACTTAACTGTCCAACAATATCAAAGCCACTAACGTTGCTTCGAAATGCGTAGCTTATTTCTGACGGAAAGTAATTTCGTTGCTGACGATCGTCTAGGGTAAATTTTATTGATACCTTGATCCTAGTAATAGTATAACTTATTCCTATGTCCATGCTCTGAAACGAGCTAATTTCTATCCAAAATACCAGTGTATCGGATACAAGGCGGACGAGCCGAACAGTTGAGAGCACTACGTATGGCCTCAGTTGTGACGAAAGAGAGTTTGAAAGGAGGCATCCATCCGATTGCCGCGTCGCGGTATGACACGTATGGTCTAAGTTTCGGAAATGAACTGGCTACAGCACGAATAATGGGCAAGACACAGGTTAGGAAGTCGCCACCAGGATCCTGGTATGTGAGGACGACAGAATAAGAGTTATGCGGTGTGAATGCTTGTACAAGTATGTCGCCATCCCACTTACAGGGGACATTCATCTTGCCGCGTTTCATCCAAGCTGTGCCTGCCATTTGGGGTCAAATGCGGAGAATCGCCATTGAGAAACGACGGTTCTTATCACTACTATCGAACAGAAATAAAAGTGGTGGTGTAATATAGGATTGCAGTGTAGTTAGATAGACTTGTTGAGGATTCGAGGTGCTTAGAAGTGCAAAAGAAAGTTTTGTGGATGTGACTCGGGGCCAAGTCCCGTGAGCCAGAACGACCAATGCGATGCAGAAGAGTGACGGTCGAGATTCCTCATACCGTACAACTCCGACTAGCACACGAGCCATTCAATCTTTTCCTCCGACACTCATACTCACTCTCCTCGCTCTACTCTACTGCCGTCCTAATCTCGCCCACTTCGCCCATTTCAGCAACGTACGCTGACGCCGTTTCGTGGACCGTGCATACAATCTCCGGTCTCCATCCATCATGGTATGCCAAAAACTTCATGCCATCTTTGGTGTCTTCCAGCACATACAACTTGCTCATTGACGCATTCTTATTCTCATAGGGTCAAACACTCTCGTCACCTGGTATGCATTTGTCTTTGCATGTCTCACTATCGCGCGGCGAAACGTCGCACACTGCGCATATTGGACTGGTCACTGATTAGCTCGTAACTTTGCACTCTCGGCTCGTTTAGATACCGAAAAACACTCGAAGTCGGGGGGAGATGAACGCTTCGTATATGGCGTGTGCGAGATGCAGGGCTGGCGAATCTGTAAGTCGATCGTTTGGTTTCACTTCTTTGCAGCGAAAGTTTTCCTGGCATATTGTGTTGGGGAGCGGTGCAAGCCATCAATCTATACATGTTTCGCAATATTCAGCGGTCAAGGGCATACTTTTAATAGACCCGACCTTCTTTCTATTCACTTAAGTCGCCTCTCCTTATCTGCACGCTCGTACGCGTGCTTGTTAGCGTGGCCGGGCGTCTGGGACCTAGAGATGACTTGTCCAGTGTTATGTGGCGATACTTTCTTTGGGGCACTTGCTATCTAGTTGCTATCACTCGTGAAGCAGAATGCTTAACTGAATGATATCTGTGTATTTTAGCCATGGAGGACGCCCACGCGATTGAATTGGAATTAGAGGATAATAGGGGTGGGCATAACTCATTCTTCGCAGTGTATGATGGGCATGGTGGTACGTCACTTGTTCTTCATTCCTACAAGTAACCTTCCTCAGTTTTCTGTATGTTTGTTCTGCGCACATAGGCGGCACCGTAGCAAAGTATTCCGGAGAGAATGTACACAAGCGACTGGTAAAAGAAGACTCATATGTCAACCAGCAATGGGACAGTGCGCTCAAGGGTGCTTTTCTCGGTACGGACGAAGACATCCGTGCTGGTGAGTTCTGGTCAGTATTCCTCTTCAAATCTAGTTAGCTCATATGGTTTCTGGGGAGTAACAGAGTCTCGATTTTTCAGGGATCCCTCAGGGTGTACCGCAGTCGCGGCTTTGATTACACAAAATGGGCGGATCTTTGTGGTAAGCCTTCATCATTTCAATGTGGTTTTGTCCGCCGGCGCTAAAGGGACACGCGTATAGGCTAATGCTGGCGATTCACGATCAGTCATCAGTGTGAAAGGCGAGGTCAAGCCATTGAGCTTTGATCACAAGCCTCTCAATGAATGTCAGCGTGCACATTTTCCCTAATGCGTCATGGTATTGAAATTTCATCTATTCAGCTGAAATGACTCGTATTCGCAATGCCGGTGGATATGTGGAGTATGGTCGTGTCAATGGTCTGTACTATCTTTACACTGTGGGATCGACAGAGGCTCACGCTCTTCTAACTTTTAGGGAACTTGGCGTTGTCGAGGGCGATCGGTGACTTTGAATTCAAAAAGAACTTTTCTTTGTCGCCGGAAGAACAGATTATCACTGCGAATCCTGACATTACTGAACACAAAATTACTGAAGAGGATGAATTCCTCGTCCTCGCGTGTGATGGTATGTGTGAAGACCCATATGCCTACCAAATTCGGATTGTGCTGATTCTTGTGTAAAAAGGCATCTGGGATTGCCTTACTTCGCAGCAGGTTGTAGACATCATTCGCCTTCAAGTCTCGCAGCGCAAGGAACTGTCCGAAATCGCTGAGTTTATATGTGACCATTGTCTTGCACCAGATACTACGTCTGGTGCAGGTGTAGGATGTGATAACATGACCGTCCTCATTATAGCGCTCCTCAATGGGCGTACCAAGGAACAATGGTACGACTGGATGGAAGATCGTGTGAAGCGAAAGTACGGCTACCCGACACCAGAGGAGGTACCCCAACTGTATGCGCCGAGTCGCATCAACGCTTTCCGCGCACGGAGGCAAGCATACGAGGAACGAGCGCGTGATCGTGCAAACTCTGGCGATTCAGGGTCGGATAGTGGCTCCGACAGTGGGTTTGCAGGTGTATTTGGCGGACGTGGGATGGGTCCTGCAGGCGGACTCGGTGGGTTTGCGCGTAGCATGCTCGGCGCCGGAATCACGTTTCATCCTAGTACAGGTATCGCTCCGGACGATGGTACGTTGATGTTCACGAATGACGATTCGGACGACGATAGCGAGGACGACGTCGAAATGACTGGTCCTGGATCATCGCAGAGTCCATTTGATGATGCCATGCAAGAGCGCCGATTCCTATCTGCTTTGGGTTTGCGTCCTCCGCAGTCGGATGTGACGAAGAGCCTGAAAGCTCAACTCGATGAGCTTGAAGACAGCGACGACGTCACGGCTGGTCCGCGCATCGAGGAGGTTGACGACACAACACCAGGGCGAGAACCGGACGAAGATCAAGCCATGAGTAATCCTGGTGACGAAGCGCAGCAAGCATTCGGCGCCCAACCACCTAATTTGACTAATGGAATATCCACGAAGGCCTCGGGTGAGGCACCACCACCACCTGCACCGTTGGTCAACGGCGATATAAAGGTGAAACAACTGAGTTCTTTACCAGGTGGCGACGAGGCGTCTCCCGTGGTGAAAGCCGAGGGCCTTATGGACGGCAGCGAGTCTCCGATCAAGGGATAGCTCAAAGGCAATAATCTTGTGCGTTTATACCGGTGTTGTCTTCTGCACCAATGTGTGCTCCCAACTGTATCCATTCTGGTGTTTCTGTTCTTCCTAAGGTATTATATGGTTCAATGCATTTGGTGCATTTTACCTTTTCCTGCGCGTTTCAATGACCTCCATTTCTCGTCTCACCTCGCCTCGGCATGATATATGTATATGTGTGGCCCACACGCCTGTCCGTGCATTTCCGTTTTGTTCTCCTGTCTACGTGTTTCACTCCTGTTTCTTTCTCTTTTGATCTCCGACTAGTGTTGTCGCTGTTGGTGTTGTTTGGTGGTAATAGTGTGGGCTAGTGCATGGTTAAACTGTCTCTGTATCAACCTTACCTAGTTTTCTCTTTTTCTTATCTAACTGTCCCTCACTCGGCACCCGCTTGCCAGATGCGAGTTGTTGGCATTGATACTCACTCTTTCACTTACTTACTGGACACTTTCTGTCATGAAAAGTCTGTCTGTCTCAGTGTCTGTGACGATTGCAGTTGTATAGTTGACTGATATTCTCATTATTTTTTTCTCTCTCTTCTCATCGATATCGTTGTGTGCTTCGAAGATGTGTTTCTGTCCTGTCCGATGTGGTCCGAGAATTGGTGCTTCTGTAGGTTGCACTCGGAGATGAGCGTGGTATCGAACGTGCATGTTCTAATAATGAGGCCAAGAATAACAATCAAGAAAGTATTTATACGCGCCTGGGCGTCGATCGAGAGCGGCAGAGACTTTGATATCTCCCTGCATACATTCACCGTCATCGCCCATAAATCATATCTTTCTACTCCACCCATCTCTCCCTCTCCCTCTCTCCAACCAACCGTCTACCATAGTCCTTTCCGATGCCCTCAACCAAATCACCCGCCTCACCATACAAACTCCGTTCACTACCCGTTATCGACATCGCACCATGGGTAGCACCCGAGTCCGCTCATGTCCGAGGACATAACGGCGGACGACGATCGACGAGTGCTGCTCTTCATGCGGCGTGTCTGACCTATGGGTTTTTTTACCTTGATGTTTCGAGTTATGCGGACCAGGAGGAGATGGAAGAACTTTCGGAGCTTGCGAGGTGTGTACCTGAGTTTCTAACTGGTTCTATTGGGGTGGTGATATGTTACAATGATTGATGAATAGACGGTTCTTTGCACTTCCGCAAGAGGAGAAGGATAAGCTTGCGCTTGCGAACCAGGATGGTGCGCGAGGTACGTCTATCTATCCGCCTGTACATTTACTATCCATTATCTACTTAGACTCATTGACTTATCTGACTCTGCAGGATACCAAAGATTAAAGGAGAACGTAACGAACGGCAAAGCGGATAACCACGAAGGACTCGACTTCTACGCTCCCGTAGAACAAACGGACAAGTCTAAACCATTACATGGAGAGAACCAGTGGCCTTCGGATGAGGTCATGCCTGGGTTTCGTGAGCGATTTGAGAAGTGGATAGAGAAGATGAAGAAGCTTGGGATGATTGTTATGGAAGCGTGAGTTACACCATTTTTGACAGTTGTGTTGATACTAATTTACGTGAGGATTGGTATAGAATGTCTGTTGGACTTGGTATGACGCCTGAGGAATGGGAGCAACTGAAGAGCAAGGTGGACAACTCGTTCTGGGTTATGCGCGCCATAGGTTAGTTCTTCCCTTCCACCTGCTCGGCAAATCAAGAATATATTGGGTTCCATTCCTACATGATGTATGCACAAATACTAACAATCGTGTTCAGGCTATCCACCACTTCCTAATGACTACGATGGCTACTCATGTGGAGCACACAAGTGAGTAAGGAGGTCTTATATCCCAAAGTGACTGCCAAGGCTGATGCCAACCACTTCAATTCTTCCACCAGGGATTATGGCTGTCTAACGTACGTCTTCCTCTAGACCAAATTCCATTAACAACTTCATCTTAGTTCCGAAAACTCTACCATACAGCTTCCTCTACGCAGACCCAACACCAAACGCACTCCAAGTCTTCCTTCCACAGGACGGTATACTAGATGATGCCGCCACTACGCCTGTCCCTGCAACCTCAACGACCGGCTTGGCGCCCAGTGTTGCGAGCGCTCTTATTGGCGGCGTCGAGCCATCTGAGTTGCGTCACCCTGTGAATGCTGCCAAGGATGAGAGTGCAGTTGAGGCGGTGCTTGATGAGCAGAACGGTGAGAAGGGCGTATGGATCAATGTGGATCCGATGCCTGGTTGTGTTGTTTGTAACATCGGTGAAAGTATGTCTGAATCTCCTTGCCTTTCGGTTTGGATGGGATGGGGTAGACAAGAGTAAGAACAGTACTGATGAGATTTTCTTTGCGTTTTCCAAATAGTGTGGGAGGTCTGGACGAATGGGTTGTATAAAAGTACTTTACATCGTGTTGTTCATCAAGGATCAAACTACCGGTATGTCTTCTTCATATTTTTCCGAAGATATACTCAAACTAATTACTGTGTACTCTTTCACGCATAGTGTTTCGTGAGTCAATTCACTATCCACATCCTTCTCATATCATAACATGATCGCTAATACCAACAACTCTGTTCTCGCACTCAGAATACCCTTCTTCTTCGAACCAAACTTCACCGCACGCGTCGAACCTCTAGCAGCAGCACTCCGTCTGCAAAAGGATTCCATACAACCCGCTTACGCGTATACACCACACAGCCCGCATATCCCGTATCCGCATTGTCACCATGATAACCATGACGGGCCGACGGAAGTATTGACGCAGAAACTTAAGGAACTGGCTGATGCTGAGCGAAGGGAAATGGAACGAGAACGTGTGTCTACTGGCGGGAGTACTGGTGGGAGTGGGAGTGCTCCGCCGTCATCCGGCTCGTCAGACGCCTCTGTCTCCTCATCTGCACAGTCCATAAAAGACGGGCGTACAAGCGTAGAAGAGGCTGAGTTCGGGTCAGCGAGAGCAACGACGGGAAGTACGAGTGTACGCAGTTCTCTATCGTCAGGCGGTGCAGTCTCGAATGGCCTATCGTCGCATAGTCCACGGACTCCCTACACCCCGATCTCGCATACCCACACTGCATATACGCCGTTGAGCGTGGAGAGACACTACGAGCCTGTTGTGTATGGGGAGTTTTTGTTGAAGAAGGTTGCGGGTAACTTTGCTTCGGGTAAGGGGAAGTATGATTAAATTCTTTTTTCTGGATTTTTTCTTGTTGGATGAGGAAGTGGAGGAAGCGGAGCGATTGATTTGTTATATGCATGCTTGCTTTGGTCTTGCTTTCTGTCTGGTCCCATTTTTTTCTTGGGTTGCTTTGTCTCTATATATTTAACCACCTGTTGCGTATATGCTCGTATATACACATGCATAGCCTTTGTTTACTAGACTAGATAATAACCTGCACTGATCCATTTTCTAATCCTTTTCATTACAAATTTATACCGCGGACGTTTTCTGTGTCAGGCAAAAGTCAAAGTGCCGAAGGTGACGACTGCACTCGGCCCAAGGAACAAATAAAGGAAAGAAAAAGAAAAACCAAAGCGTGATCTATGATATGCCAAATTAGGGTACGATCGACGTCTCTCGAACACTCTCGGATGCACCCGTGACCTCCCAAACCTGCAAGAGATCTAGAAATGACCTCAATGTGCGACAGTAGTGATCAGACAATTCAGATGTTACTAGAAAAGTTCTCGATGATTCGACACGGCGACCTTCGGAATCCTATAAAAGGGGTCTGAGTCTCGGGACCCCTCCTTGTTGCAAGATTACTTTCAACTGCGACTCGAGTACTCTAACGTAACTCAAAGCAACTACTAGTCTACTCCTCTACTACTGCTACTGCTACTGCTACTGCAAACAATGTCACTTACACGCCAATTCCTTCGCGAGTTCCGGCCCCTCTTCCGCCTACTAGAAGAGCCTTTCGGACGTCCTTACCCTTCTCGTCGTGGTGGTAATAACAATAGCATAGCACCCCTCGGGATGTTCAACGACCCTTTCTTCTCTGCCTTCCCAACCTCGACCTCGTTGAACACACCTGCTGTAGACGTGAGCGAAGAGCCGAACGCGTTTGTGGTAGAAGCGGAGTTGCCGGGTGTGAAGAAGGAGAACCTAGAGTTGAGAGTGGGTGATGGAGGACAGAGTTTGACTATTGAAGGACGGAGGTTCGTATCGTCGTCGTCGCAGACCCAACCTACCACGGCATCGACTGAGGGAGGGATTTCAGCAAATGGTACGTTTTCGCATCTCTCTCTGGTCTCTATTTTGTTTCATTATAGGACAACTTACTAACTCAACCTTTACAACAAACAGACGACGCCCGTGCAGTTACCCAGCAGCAAAACGAATCAACCCAACTCTCTACCGAACGTACATTCAGCAGCGCCTCCCAATTCTCTCGTACAATCTGGCTTCCGCGCCGTGTAGACGGATCAGGTGTCTTTGCTAAACTCGAGGATGGAATCTTGAGAGTCAGGGTTCCCAAGGCGGAGGACCAGGAGAGTGTTAAAGTTAATATCGAGTGAAAATCTTGACTTCATCTGGGTGGAAAGACTTCATAAACTTCATCTCTTTGTTTTCTTTGTTTTCGTTTATTCACAAGAAAAAAGTTGTCACAATTTCACCCCCCATTGTTTCTTATGTAAAAAGTACACCTTGTATATATAGTGAAGCCCCACTGCACAATGAACTATTGGCATCTCTAATGCAAATTTTCATTAATGAACAACACTCTGCTTGCAGATATACAACTGTCTACATAAGCAATAAAACAACGACTGACAACGGTTACATATAATATACAAAAAGAAAGCTAACCAGGACAGATTTCATAAATAATTTTACACAAAGATATAATCTATGACCCGGGCCACTCAACAACCCATTGAGATTTGACCGTGTGTACCTGGTCGTCGTCATCTTCAAAGCGAAGTCGATAGGCCAGCTTCGCAGACCCAGTCTACAAGTAGGGGTAGTAGGTAAGCACGACTAGTACAAATGGACCATTAAAGTCGACTATCACTTACCCTGCCTTCCCGAGGCGCGTCGACGACTTCGATCACTTCTGCACGATAAAAACAGCTTGTATCCGGATACAAAGCCATAACAGTTGATCCTGTGCCGAACACGGGATACGCGTTTGGATGAGATGGGCTGTTTGGCGATGCTTCAGGATCAGGTAACGGTATCATGGTCTTTGTGTTAGAAGAATAGCGTCTAAAAATAGAACTAATCAGAATGCTCGATCAGAGAAGAGAATTCGACGCACTGTCCAGGCTGCCCATCCTCTTGAGGCTCTGCGTCTTGAACCTCATACCTATGGTCTGAATTAGGATACGTATCTAATTATACAATACTGAGAAGCCCTACCTGTTCTTTTCTGGATTTATGCACCGCGTAATGACCGCAAGTATCCAGGTGTTTTCGTCTGCTTCCGCCCCACCTGTGCTTGGAGGGTGGAACGCCACTTTCCGACCCTCTTGAAGAGGAAGCTGCTTCTGGTAAAATCTGTGCCGTGCCTTGGCGTCACCTTTGAATGGCTGTTGCGCAGGAGCACCAGGACTTTCAGAGGCTCGATCCCGGTCCACCTTGACGCTCAGTGTGATCTTATTCACTGGTGGAGGAGTGGGCGTCGCGGGAGCAGACAACGGGGAAGAACCACGCCCGTGTCGTTTGTTGCGTTTGTCTGTTATTTTACATGCTTTAAAACAGCTGCATGATTATTTCAGTAAGTAATTTACCTTGGATTGCCTGATTCTCTGGCTTCCGTAATGCGGACAAAACGGAGAGTGACTCAAGAGCATCGTCAATAGCTCTTAGGGATACGAGGTAAGTAAAGCTACACTTAGTCTGCGCTTTGACTTACTTCGCTTCAGCTTCAGCATGTTTTTGAATATCAGCGAGCCCAGAGCTCAGTTTCTTATAAGTCGCTTTGATCGTCTCGAACGGTTCAAGTGGCTCTCCGTTGTCACCGCTCATTGTCGGCCATGCGGAGATGGACCGGTTTACACGCCCCATGGTCTCCATTGTCTCTGGCTTTTCATATGTTTGGCGGCATGCATTTAATTTGGCCACTACGACTGCCCAGCATTGGAGTTCTAAATGTAAGACGGAGAATTTCCCGATATGGAAAGGACCGATACGTTTGGTTTGTGAAAGTTGAAAGGGACACATCAGCTCTCGTGAGAACTTTACACATTGGAATTAAAAGGGGGGAACTACCTTCTGTCGAAGCTGGTCTTTGAGAAAGGGCCCGACGGCGGTCCATACGCCTTTACAAGTTTCTTTACACGTTCCCCGAGGTAAATTGAGAGAACGAGAATGAGTGGCGGGAGAGAGAAAGAATCAAGATGACTGTGTTCGATCATCTCCGTGTCGTTCAAAGCCCGCGCTTAACCAAATAAGGCAAGTGACAAATTTTGGGAATACAAAGCAAAATACACAGCAACAAGTTTACGTATACAAAAAAATGAATGGAAAACACATGCTATGCATTGTATGCAAGTTTCTAGCTCTATTTCTCGTGAAGAAATGAGTAAGGTATTGCTATTTCATGTTGGCTTCACAAATCACAACACCCTTCGGATCGGCCAGTTTGCGTAGAGATACATCATACACGACTGTTATGGGATGTTGTGAAATAAGTGACGTATATTGGTAGTCAAAACATGAGAATACCTCACCTTCTTCTATTTTCTTTATGTCATATTTTAGACTGTCGAAACGTCGCCTGAGGGAGTCATTCTTGAGGTTTAGCTTTATAGGAATGCACGTTAGCAACATATAGAGCGAAAATAGCATTATGTTTACCATCGAAAACCCGGCGAAGACATTCTTCACGAAGATGCTTATCCGAATTGGTCGTTCAAAGTCACCAAGGGTAACGGCATTCACGGCCCAACGCGACTAGCGGCAAAATCTTCGGTCCCGGTGCAGAAGACAGAGCATACAGTCAGACTTACTAGTTCATTCACTAAACTGATTAGGCCATGTAAATAGTCTTCCGCTTGAATCATCATCCTCGTATTTGTGTCTTCCTTGACTGCGACATATTCGCATTCAGAAAAGGTGATCATGCTGAGATGTTCTTTATTTACCTCCGAGAACTTCTGATATGCCTGATTGTGATAGGAGGTTTCCGCTGTCCAGGTATTCTACGAATGCTACTGCGAAAACTGCGGACCGCAGGGTGTTCGTCCACATATTCGACCAACGCCAGTCTGTCCAACACTCGTCAGGATTCTGCACATTCAAGTTGAGAAAAAGAGGTAAGAGACGGACGAACATTCGTTTTCTGGAATGAGTTCTGCTATTGTCGCAATGGACTCAGCACACCCATTGAACATCGGCCGCACACCATCGACCAGTGAAGGAACTACGGGTAAGTTAGGCATCTGCAATAGCGTAGACGTACGTCGCACGCACTAGCATCAGAAGGGGTTCCGTGTATCTTGTTCAGTAGGCCCACTATTGAGCGTGTCCGCTTCTCAAATCCTTGCACAGTATCTTTTAGTTTCTGATATGCCCAACCACAGTTAGCTCTGCTTAATCAAGGAAGAACTAGTCGAAATGTACCTCTTTAATTTCTACGTCACGATCCAAGAGGGAGTTGAGGTGATCCAGCTCAACCTGGTCCATGGCTGCGATATTGCGGATAGTAGAGAAGTGAAGGAAGAGAGTGAAGAAGCGTGGGCTCGAGTGTGCTGTGCATGACGATTATCCGCGTCTGTGGCGAAGGTCGTGATTCGAAATTTCCGCCTAATTATATTGGAACGCGTCGCGTCGTGTCACTGATCCCGTCAGCCCTGCTCCGTGTGTCTCTGACTGAACTGTCCGTGCGCTCTCTCGACCCCGCCACTCTCACTACTAAGCACGTTTTGCAACAATTTGACTTTGTTTTCTCTGCTGCTTTCTATCTTGCTCTTCGGAGAGCCAAACTGGGATGGCACAGGATGCCTCCAGAGTATCAAGGCATGAACTCGAGGCCAGGCTAAAACAACTACGCGATGTTCCCGTCAACACGGCAGGATCTCAGGACAGGGACATGATTCCACTGCATGAACATCTAATGGGCGTAAAGCCTGACTCGGATGGATTGACGCATTGGTTCTGTCCTCGTGCCGAGCTCTTGACTCAGGAGCTCGCAACTTTCTTGCTTCGTTTGCACGCGTATACCAACGATAAGGTAGACAAATGGCGAAAGCAGATAATAGGCGTTTGGAGAGGCTGCGCGGACTGTATCAGATGCATGGATGAGGTAAAGGGCTCGTCGAGGACAACGTGAGTATGTGCAGCATGTCACAAAAGTGCTTTTTTGAGCATTATCTGCAGTTACTTTGGTGCATTCTCGGATACAATCCTCTCAGGTTTCTGGCACAGTTTCGAGGAATTTGAAGTGAAGACCATCGTCGAGGCTTTGACTGAGGCTGGTATTACTCCAGAGTCCGACAAGTCACTTGCAGACATCTCCTCACCAGTATTATACCATATTCTTTCGAAACCCTCTGCGCTTGGTCATCCTTTCATACTGGGCGTGATATCCTCTCAGCCGTTTCTTCCGCGTTCGATAGATTGGCCGATAGACCCACCTCCGCCGGCGTACTTTCTGCTTATCGTCTATAATGATGTAGACATCCGCAACTGGGCATTAGATCATGTGTCTAAGGCAGAACCGATTGCCAAGGAGTATTTCGACTACCGACACTATCGACACGAACTCGCATTACGACTTTTATCCAAACGATTGAATACAGACACCGGTCTAAATGACTCAATCGCCACTCAAACTCTTACTCAGACAGCACGGAACATCGAGAAGGAATTTCCATTCGCACAATCACCGAGTCTTATTTGGGCAGGCTTTGCTTCCGTCTTGCGTCTCCTTCCGATGGAAGTGTATGAAAAATTTGCGTTGCATAGAATAATCATGGGTCATTTGCATGACAACGGACCACGTATGTTGACGCCTTAGCTTCGTTCTAAAAGGAAAATCAGCATCTAACATTCGGTCCAGATTTTCGAGAAGTTCTTCGATGTCTGCTTCAGACACTGAAGAAACTAGGCAATAAAATCTGGTCCGAAGAAAGTGCCGACTATCCTCAGGTCGTGTTTGATTCCATAAAGGACAATCCAAGCTATATAGACTTGATCTTCGCTCATAATCAACAGAAGGAACAGGCCTGGTTCTTGATGATTTTTCTTGAATATCTCAGGAGTGTTTGGGAAATGCAAATCTTTGAAGACATTGTAGCAAGATTTGCAGCATTCACATGTGACGAGTTACAGCACGAACGTTTCGGTCAGCAACGTCCGCTCGTGATGAGCATTGCTATGCAGGTGGGTAGCTTTGTAAACGTTATGAGCTATCTAAGCAAACTCGGGTTAGATTCTGTCCAGTGCATTACAAAGAGCTAATAAGCTCAAATCTCCGTCACATCGACAATCCATTCTCAATGTTCTCGACATTCATTTTGACTTGATTGTGGCCGTCTGTTTCTCGCAGCAATATGCGAAGTCGGAGTGGGCACCTGCACGTTCTGCAGCACTTAGTTTAGTCCGGAACGTTCTCTTCTCTGACGTTGAACAGGTAGCAATTGCTGCTGTCAAGCTTTCTGCCATGGAGGCTTCCGTCGATAGCGAAACTATTCGGAAACTTGCACCCTCTGTGCGCAAGCAGGTATGGTGGAAGGTCTACACGAACTTATCTGGCAAGGATGTGGAGGGTATCTCAATGCTTCTCGATCTTGCTGCAAGATCCGCAAGGTTAGATAAACTTTCTAAGAAAGTCGCTTCTCGAACGATTTGGAAATATTATGATGCGAACCAGACGAAACCACCTCGGGATCTTCTGGAAGCAGTAGATGCTGCAGTTGATTCTGTCAACTCATCGTTGACAATCGTACGGAATGGATTCCTTGACGCCGTGACTAAGTTTGCGAACTTAAATTCGTCGCCCACTTTGATGAAAGCGATATGTCAGCACGATTGGGCCAGTCACCTCGTTATTCTTTTGCTTTCGCCAGTCGAGGATCTGCAAGTCGCAGCACAGACCTTGATCGGTCAAACTTACGACGTCGACGTACGGACAGACTGTTTCCGCGAAATCCTAAAGGCGTTCCCGGAGTCATCTTTCAAGGGTCTTTACGAATACCTTTCCGAGTTCAACACCTACGCATTGAAGGTAGCCGAAGCATGCAGTGTTTCGAAAGCACTCGTGCGATGTATGACGGACGTTATCGAAGTCTTGGGCAATTCACCTGACGGTCTCCTGAAGAACCCAGCTTACGTTAAGACCGCATCGGAAAGTTTCTCATTCAAGACTGAGCTGCCAAAGTTGTGGAAGGCCATGACCACTTCAATTGCCGTCATCTTCAAGCGCACACCTAAATGGGCTGTCTACTTCGACAACAATGTGATGACGGAGTGGATGCGCGATGCGTTGATTTTTGCTAGGGATTTACTCGAACGACGGAGGACGTTTGAAGCGGCTACGTCTGAAGTGCAGGATGACGACGATATCATCTCCTCGCCCCGGAAACCGTCAGGAATTGGCAAGAAAATGGTAGAAGACTTGCAGGACGTTCTAATGGAGCTGCAAGGCTGGCTACGGTTGACGGATACAGAGCTTCTGTACCAGTCCTTCGCTCTCTTAAAGTCACTCTTCCAGTGCTTTCGTGCAGCGAACGTCAAGCCCTCCGACGAGGTCCTCGCAAAGTTGTCTAAGTTCATTGAGCAAAACAAGACTTCTTCAGACGCCAAGCGTGTTTCGTTTCTGAACAAGGCAGACTTAGCGGAACTTGAAGTGGCTGTCGCCGATTTCACGGAGGAGGATGAAGTTGAACTTGTATCTGTCAAGTTAGGAAAAAGACGAGCTTTCGGCAGGGAATCATCAACCTCGACAACCTCAGGTGATGCACGAGCGGAGCGTAAGAGGGCAAAGATAGAACTGAAGATTCAGGATATTTCCAAGCGACCGCTTAAAGGTACCAAGCAGACGAAGCTGATATCTGGAAAGCTATCATTGCCAGTCGCTCAGAAATCGACCCGGATACCTGAAATGAGAGTATCAGAACCCATCTTACGCAAGCAAGAGACAAAGTATGAAGGATCCCGCCGTCCTCGACCTGCTGCAAGTACTTCGAGTATTCCGGCATCACCTTCGTCTTCGTCAAGTAGTGACTCTGAAGACTCGGATGGCCCAACTAACCTTGCATCGCTCATAAATAAAGCGAAGGAACAGAAGGAAAGAGCAAAGGAAAAGGAAAAGCAGCTAACTCGTGAACGTCGGAAGGTTCAGCACATCGAAGACCCCAGAGTAAAACAAGCCCGTTTAGAAGAGGAAAGACGACGGAAGGAATATGAAGCGGCGAGGCGCGCTGCTATGCGACTGAAGCCGGATATCACTTCTCTCCATCGTGTCATTTTGTCTTGGAATTACGACCATGACGGGTCGGATCCCCCAATGGAACGGCCACCACTTGCTCATGTACCGGACATGTTCAAGAGTCACGAGGAATACACACGCATCTTCCGGCCATTACTTATGCTTGAAGCGTGGTCGCAGATCGTTAAGTCCAAAGAAGAGAGGACACCAGAGATTTTCCATATCAAGATTGCTGCTAGGAGCTTAATGCCGCCATGGCTTGACCTCGAGGTGGTGATCGATGCCGTGCCTGGTCCCGAATGGTACCTAAGTCCCGAGACAGACATTGTTTTATTGAGGCACATGGCTGGTAAACCGTGCATCATGGCTAAGGTAACGTCATTCCGGAAAACTAATGACGAGATCGGGTGTGGGTTGAGAGTCTGCACGAATGCGCTTAATGCAGATCCCGGACTGTCCATTGGCTCAACGTGGCGTCTAAATCTCGTGTTCAGGCAAGTACATGTATGCTTAACGTTATCTCGGACCGCGAAGTAATGGATTGCCGAAAACAGTCTCACCACTCTTCACCGAGAATATGCTGCTTTGATGGCTCTTCCATACTATGATATGGTAGATATAATCTTGCAACCTCGACTTGCAGATCCGGTGATCCCGAGTGGAGACGAATTGCAACGGACGATGAAGGCGTACCGAGTTAACGAGCCCCAAGCAAAAGCAATTATTTCGTCTATGCAGACAAAGGGATTTTCCTTGATCCAAGGGTAAGTGGTTCGCATTCTTCGTTGCCATTTCGGTCCTTGACTAGTCATCAAGACCGCCTGGAACCGGAAAGACATGGACAATATTGGGCTTAGTTGGCGCATTTCTATCATCACGTCGTACACCGCCTAAGCTAATCGCGATTCCTGGTAAGGCTCCACCGCCTGCACCAAAACCTGCTTCTCAGAAGCTTCTTATCTGTGCCCCGAGTAATGCTGCTGTTGATGAAATCACGAAGCGTCTCATCGAGGGAGTCCGTGGTCCCAATGGCCAGCGTTTATCACCTAAGGTAGTCAGGGTAGGTGCCGACTCGCAGATTAACGTCAGCGCCAAGGAGGTTTCGCTCGATACCCTGGTTGAAGCTAAAATGAACTCGGATGGTGGTAATCCTCATGGAGATGGTGCTGGTGATGCGAAAAATCTACGTGCAGAACTCGAACAGGTGAAGGAAGCCAGGCAGAAGAAAATTGAGGAACTACAGAGTACCATCAATAATACGTCCAGGATCCAAATGCTAGAAAACGAAATCAGGGGTCTGAATGATAAACGGATTGGTCTCTCCCAGAAACTCAATCAGCTTCGGGATAAGATGAAGTCGCAGAATCGATCTATAGACGCCATCCGACGAAAATACCGACATGAGATTCTGGGCGCTGCAGACATCATATGTAGCACGTTGTCTGGTGCCGGTCATGAGCAGCTCGAGCCTTTCGACTTTTCCATGGTCATCATTGATGAAGCCGCTCAGTCAATCGAGTTGAGCTCGTTAATTCCTTTGAAATACACTAGTACTAGATGTGTCATGGTTGGAGGTACGTGGGTCCCTTATATTGTAGTCAAGCCAAAAGTAACGACGATTTCCCAGATCCTCAACAGCTACCGCCTACTGTTCTGTCGCCAGAAGCATCGAAATGGGGCTACGACCAATCACTTTTTGTTCGTCTGCAGAAATGCAGGCCCGAAGCCGTGCATTTGCTAAGGTACATCCTTGGTTGTATGATGTTGCGATACTGCAGCATTCTGATGTTCAATATAGCATACAGTACCGTATGCATCCTGAGATCAGCCTTCTACCAAGCAAGGTATTCTATGGTGGCCGCCTTCGAGATGGTCCTGACATGGATAAGAAGACTGAGCAGCTGTGGCATAACGAACCTCGATTCGGAGCTTATAAATTCTTCAGCGTGGAGAACGGGAAGGAGGAACAAGCTCGCATCGGCCATTCCATTTATAATCAAGCTGAATGCAGGACGATAATTGCTGCGTATGATCGACTACGGAAGCAGTTCTCTTCAATCAACTTCGATTATCGCGTCGGAATTGTTTCTCCGTATCGATCTCAGGTGCTGGAGATGCGGAAGTTATTTACGCAAAGATTCGGAGCTGAGATTGTTAGCAAGGTGGACTTCAACACAGTCGATGGGTTCCAAGGCCAGGAGAAGGATATCATTATGCTATCCTGCGTACGTGCTGGTACTTCTCTTGCAACGGTCGGATTCTTAGCTGGTAAGTCAGTTCTCAAACCCGTAGGATATACTCTGATGACAACTTCTAGACATTCGTCGCATGAACGTCGCGATTACGCGTGCGAGGTCATCCCTCTTCATCTTTGGCCATGCTCCAACTCTGCAACGGAGCAACAGGGTCTGGAAAGACATCGTTGATGATGCACGTTCACGTGCATGTTTCGTTGAGCTAGTACGTGCTTGATTATACAGAGGGTGCAGTCGTGCTAAGGAATGTTCTTTTCAGCGCGACACGTCTTATTTCACTAGCAGTGCACCTCACATTCCCCAGCCAGTTAACACAAAGACGGCCGCGTCAGCTAGTCTTGAAGGGATCCCTTCAGCAAAGCCGGGACCTTCACGGAGAGGCCGAGAGCCTGGTCTACATTCTAGACAATCGAAGGACGATGCACATAGGAACTTACCTCAAGGTGTCAAGGTCGTTGGCGCAGAACACGCTGCCAATGCCACCGTCGCTTTGCCTACAACCCAAAACGGCATACAACTGAATCCTAAAAGGCGCCGCTCCCGTGGAGGACAAAGGCCACGATCACATCCGAATCCGGGTTCGGAAAGAACACAGGCCGCAACGACGAGCCTACATCCCAGCCTGCCTCCTAAACCAGCCCAGTCCACGTCTAGAGCACACCCACTACCCCCTCATGTGAATGGTGTAACCACCGGACAGGGCAAGGAAGCCGCACAGAAAGAGCTCGAGGCATACCGAAAACGCAAACAGCAGTCAAGTAATATGTTCATAAAACGTTAATTCGTGTCATATTTCCCATGGTTTTAGTTGCTTTTCTTTCAAGTTCACTTGTGGACATCATCATCGCACCACTCTATATCACGCATTTGTATATAGATTTCGCCGTATAAACTGCACAAAATGTATCAGCAGTCAAATTTTTCGTACTTGTCTACACTAGATTTGTTGACATTTGGATCTCTGGAGTTTCAAACATGTTCGCTTCACGGTTTCTCGCAATTACACTTAATCTAAACTTAACGCATAGAATCCGCTTTAATTGCGGGGAGCTCCCAATCTTCAGGACCAAAACGTGGAATGACCATGAGCTCGCCTGAGCTGTTCTTCGCTGGCTTGCTGTATGCGCACAATGTTCCCTTCCCAAGAGCAGATAGCCACGCGGGATTGACGACAGTCAAGTCTAAGAGGATGCGGAAAAAATAAATTTAGTGTAGTCCACTGACTTATAAGATTGAATCGTCGAACGCACTCTTCAACCATAACTTGCTAGAATGTACCGCTTCTTGGAAAATGACATAGTCCGGAGGAGATTTATTGTGGAGAACTGATGAAGGATGAATAAAAGCGTCTTCCTCGATTCCTAGTGCACGATAGGGTACGCCCCGAGCAGAAGCGTATTTGTTGCCGGATATCGCTGTGCTCTGGACTAAGTCCTTCCGTACGGCAACCTGGTCGATGAAGGCGGAGCAGATGAGTTGCCTCAGGACTTTAAGCTGCGGGAAAATGCAAGCAAGATATTGTATCGTCCAAGCGATGAAGTGGTTGTATCGGGCTCGTGCTTACCTGCAGATCGCTTGGAGGTTTAAGTTTACTCGCAAAGCCTGTGTCGATACCCGGGAAATTGGTAGACACGATACTACTAATCTGCGCGCGGAGTTTATGTATCTCTTCCATAGCCTAACGTACCCAAGTAAACAAAGCGACACCGGAAAAGAAATGATGAAAGAAATTTACTTTTGGTCGCACGAAATGCTCGCGGCAGAATTGCTGACCACCACCAGCGTATTCGCACGCTCCGACGACAGAGAGGTCTCGGAAGACGTCACTTAAGCCTTTACCCATCTTTGAATGTATCTGAAGATTATACGTTAGCAATAATTTCAGGTAAAGACTTCATAAGTCCTATTATCACCTCTTGTGACTTGAAGAAAGCCCTTCTGCGAAGCCTGTTCAATTCCTTCGCATCCGTCTCTCCATTCCGAGCAACAGATACCTCATCGTCGCCTTCGTTGTCATTTACAGAGTCGTTCGTTTGCAGTGCTTCTTCATGGAGGAAGGGATCTCCAACAGAAAGAGCAGCAACTATCGTGATCACATAAGGCAAACAACCATGTTGACGACCACTAACAAGCATCTTCGCAAATCGCGGTGACAATGGAAAAAGAGCCATAGTCTTCCCAAGCTCAGTAATCGGATTATCCGCAGAAGACGTCAATGAACGCGAAATCGCGGTGGTCGGAGACAATGCACCAAGACGTGTCAAGAGAACCTCAGCTTTTCTTAAGCTCGTTCTATCAGGTGGAGTAGGGAACGGGAAGTTCGTAATGGTATCGATGTGCATGCTCTTCATCTGAAGTACAACACCTTCGATAGGCATTTGGAGGATTTCTGGACGAGCGAATTGGTCGAAGTGATTTTCGAAGAGGGCGGAAGAGTATAGACGGTAACAGTGTCCTGGACCTGTTCGACCCGCGCGACCGGCTCTTTGGTTAGCGGAAGCTTTTGATATCCAGTTTACGCGGAAGGATTGAACGCCGGATGAGACGTCATAACATCGCTACGTCATTACTATTAAATCTGATCCATTTACAATGAAAAGTCGAAACGTTACCTCTTTAGCCCGCCCGCAGTCGACTACATAGCGTATCCCAGGGATGGTCAACGAAGTCTCGGCGACGTTAGTCGCAACGACAACAAGCCTCGATCCTTCTGGAGGAGGCTCAAAGACACGCATTTGCTGTTCCGTTGGAAGTATGGAGTATAAAGGTAGGATATGCATGGGCGCTAGCGGGAGACACATCAAACGACGGAAACTTGTATTTTCAGGAGACGACATACCTTCTGAGTCTTCAAAGTCGATTCCCAACGCTTTATTTTCCTCATCCTCCTCGTCCGTGTCTAGAGCTTCAGGGTCTAGTTCTCTAGGTGGAGTTCCATCGTCAATAGCCTCATCGTCTTGCTTGAAGTCTCCGAGCTCCAAGTCTTCAACTTCAACACTAGCTGTAATTATATTAGCTTTTACTCCCATCATTTCATTTTTACAAATACCTATTGCTGGTGCGACCTTTGGACCACCATCCGACTGGTCGTCCAGTATGTCGTCCTCCTTCGTCCTACGCACAGACGCCACTCCTCGGCGCTTCTTCCGCGCCATAATCGCACTCTTCCCATAACACGACGCCAATTTCCTGCACACGCCTGTGATCTCATTTTGGCTGGTGAGGAATATGAGGATGCCTCCTGGAGGAAGCCGAGCGTGAATCTTGCTCGCCTTCTTGATGGTTTCAGTCACGTAATCCGGATACGTCCTTCTAGAGAAGTGAACCGCGACAGGATGCTGACGAGCGTCTACGCGTAAAATTGGAGGCGGAGTTGGAAATAGCGTCGGATTTTCTGCAAAGTCTGATACTCGAAGTGTAGCTGACATGATTATCAGGCGAAGAGGCTATCCAAAACACAGAACAAGCTTCAGTAGGGGCCTAACAGAAAGTATGATTAAGTTTGATTTACCTTCGCCCCGTCTTTGCCGGCTTTCCACAGCTCTTCACGCAGGCGAATAACTCTGCTGAGCACACCGATGAGGATGTCAGTGTTGACGCTCCGTTCATGTGCTTCGTCCACAATAACAACCGAATATTTGCTTAATGTAAAGTCGCTCGCAAGCTCACGCAACAAGATCCCGTCCGTCATGAACTTAATTACAGTCTTGGGCGAGGTTGTTGCGTCGTAGCGAATTTGATATGCTACTTGAGGCGGCGGAAGAGACAACTCTTGACCAACACGCGCTGCCATGGACATCGCGGCTACCCGACGAGGCTGAGTTATGCCTATCATTCCTGGATTATCTGGACGATGGAGAATTAGAAACTTGAACTACTGTAACGAAGGACATGAGGAAGCATACCACTCCCTGGACAGCCAAATCCAGCTTCGTATAAGAACTGCGGAACCTGAGTCGTCTTTCCACTGCCTGTCTCACCGCATAGAACGATGACGGGATTCATGCGAATGGCTTCAACAATAGGCTGCTCTTCAGCCAAGATAGGGAGTTCGAGACGTGCTGTTTGTATAGCGTCCGAGCGAGTGACAGTTACAAACTTTCGAGCAACCTTTTCTTGTTTGTCGGCATCAGTTGCTATTATGTTAGTCGGCGGCTTGAGTTCTTGAGCGAGAGTTGTATCCGGAAGGTGTATATCTTCTCCAAGAGGGCCGCGCATCTCGCGCGGACCATCATCTGCCGCACGATTTGTTTTCTCCGAAACTCGCGATAGAGGAAATGTCACGTCATTGGCCTCGTCCTTGGAGGGAAGCGCGACATAACCTTTTGCCTCGCTAAGCTGCTGCATTGCCCAGTCCTTGAATCCTCCCCGCTTGCGCTTTGACGACGGAGGCGAGTCACCTTGTTCTTCTTCAGAACTGGTATCACCGTTAGAATCATCTTCGCTAGCAGAACTGCCGCTGTCATCATCGTCGTTGTCACCATCCGAGTCTCCGGAATTCTCTTCCTTATGTTCAGATGAGTCGTACGCGGAGTCAGAACTGTCAAAGGAGCTCTCGCTCGAGGCATCCGGCTCTTTGGCATTGGTTCGGGCATGTGAACGATCTCCCCATCTTTTAAATGCCGTCTAGTCCAGACGTTCGACTTGAGTTCGAAGCACATAACAAGAGTATTTTTTAACAACTCACTCGTGGGCCCTTAGGCTGACGTTTCAAAACTTTTGGCTCCTGTAACGTTCCATCTTTGTTCCTACGCAGAGCACTGCCTACTGCATCCGTTACTTGCGGTAGAATTTTCGGTACATCTTCCGGCTCATCGAAGATGATAACAGGGGACTCGGGTGAGCTGCCTGGTAGCTCCTTTTCCATGTCGGCATCTCGACTACCTTCATCGTTTTTTCTCATATCGTTGTCTTCTTCAGTTCCGCTGTCTTCGTCCGTATCCACGTCCATTCCTGAATACATATTTCGTTTCCGTCGTCCACCTTTGCCTCTGCCCTCCATTATCCGGCGAACTTCCTTGTCCTCCTGCTTTGCCTGTAACTCTTCATGTGTCTGTACTTTCCGAGAACCAAGGGTGGATGAGGGCTGGAGATGCAAGGTAGTTGGGAGTTGTGCTTGAGTCTGTCTGAAAACTAATGAGCTTTGCTGGATTAGACAGAGGGTAAAATACCATAACATACGCTAGCTTCTCAAGTAATTGTACACGTTCTTCTTTCTTCAGTTTCTTGTCCTGTGGGTGCGATGTTTTTCAAATTTAATAGAAGAAATACGCTATTGTGGACACGCACAATGTATTTCTCGAGTCGTCGTTTCTTCTTCGAGGTTACCTTTGAATTGGCTTGTTGCTCAAGTAACTAAAACAAAAGGTCAATCAAGCTGAAGCGTCTAGTTATTCCTGACATGGAATAAAGCGTACTTCCTGACGTAGCCTCTCTCGACGCTCCTGGTTCTTCTGCTCCTCACTCTTCGGCACATGGATTAAAGAATTCGGGTCCGGATCGTTGTTGTTCTTAGAAGCAATATCGGAAGTGTGATGTGCATGTTTAGCACGTTTTGTGGGTCGTGATGATTGTCTCGCTTTTGCATTATGACGTTCTCTGAGATGGCCCATTGCAATAACCGTGGAAAGCTGAAGACTTCGGACTGCAATAATTTTTGAACTGGTATCAGCCGCCGATCCCTCGATCATAAATCAATTCTCATTGTGGAGATCGACGGAGAGCACGACTTTCATCTGTCCAATGGCGTGGACGGGTACAAAATTTAGCGGACTAGCCGATTGCATTCAATTCACACATCCCTCCCCTGATGCACAACCATGTCGGACACTGAGGTCAATAAAGATACTCTAGTCACTTCCTCAGACCCCCATCATGTATGGATCCGTCGTGCTGCAAAAGTTTTGTTCGCACAACTAATTTACTCCGTGCATTGTACCAGCCAGCGAACTTGATTCCGGAGCTCTGCAGACAATTCTACCACTTGGGTTGGGTAACTGGGACCGGAGGTGGGATAACAATTCGTCAAGGGTATGCACAGAGTCTATCGTTCAAGCTCCTTGTTTGTCCTCACAGAGCATCAATCTACTCTTACTTAGCAACACGGTTTACATCGCCCCCTCAGGCGTCCAAAAAGAACGAATCGAACCCTCTCACATCTTCGTCCTTCCCTACCCCCAACCATCTCCCAACACAGATCGCATCTTCCTCCGGCGTCCTAGCATCTCTCTCAAAGAATCCGCATGCACACCTCTGTTCTGGAACGCGTTCGACTTGCGTGAAGCTGGTGCGTGTATACATACGCACTCCCAGCATGCAGTTATGGCGACGTTGTTGTGGCCGGGTAAGGACTTCCGGATTTCGCATCAGGTATGTTTTTCGCTCTGCTCGTTAGGACCTAGGGTGACGTTAATTGTAATGACTTCGGATGATAGGAGGCAAGCTATATGCGTCTTAAATTCGAAATGAATGTAAGACTTATGTCCGTATTAGATGATCAAAGGTATCCGAATAGCCGGGACTGGAACCGCACTATCCTATCTAGATACCCTGGTCGTGCCAATAATTGAGAACACGCCAAACGAAGAGGACTTGAAAGACAGCATGGCAGAGGTCAGTGAAAATATTGACCTGTTCATGGGGACTACCTAACGCGGAGATACAAAGGCAATGAAAGAATACCCCGATTCTGCAGCTGTTCTCGTAAGAAGGCACGGCATCTATGTCTGGGGTAAGTGTTTTATCGCGCTTCTGGTGTCCAATTTTGATGCCTCGAAATAGGTCTTGATTGGCAGAAGGCGAAGACACAGACCGAAGTATGTCTTCCACCCTTCTCGCAGGCAGTATTCCAATCAATTAATTATTTACTCGTTTTTCTTCGCAGTGCTTAGATTACTTGTTCGAGATCGGCGTCAAAATGAAGCTAGCAGGGCTACCAACGGTACTGGATGAAGTCAACAAATAAATTAGAAGTACATATAGAATATCAGGTCAACGGATTATAAAATCAATACGAGATGATCAAAGCTACATGGTCCAGGAGGTAAGATAACACCACTAGATACATACCTAAACATGTATACCAGAATCAGACGTCTTATCTGGCTTGTCAACTTCTTCCTTGAATCTGCTTCCACCTTGGTCATTCTGATGGGCTCGGGCGTCGCCATCCTGCAGCTTCTCCTCGTTTGCCTTCTCCTGTTCAGCGACAATCCGCTCCACCTCTCCACTACTAAGCTTCCGACCATCAACCCTCAAGCTACTCGCACTCGATCCAGCGCGTTTGGCTTGATGCCGTTTTGGCGGCTCCCCACCACCTGCCAACTGTTTCTTCAACTCCTTCCGTTGCTTCTTCAGTGCCTGTAACTTGTCGTCGAAGCAATGCATTACAGTGACTCGTCCCAAAGCACCAAGGCGCCGTTTATCTGCCAACCAGGCTTGCAAAATCGGGAGAGTCGACTCTGGCGGACGATAGGTTCCCGAATCGTTGTCAATCACAAGCTCGTAATGTGCTGGATCCTCGTCATTTTCGTCGCTCTCATGGGATTCTGCATCGCTCCGGTCCTGCTCGCCTTCTCCAGAACCAGCTGTAATCCGCCTGACAAAGAACTCGCCCGCATAGGCAACTATCTGCTCCCCGTCTGCATGCATCATATGCTTGCTGAGGAAGTCAATCGCGAATTCGTCTCCTGTCTCACAGAATCGCCACTGAGCATCAAGGGTAAGTACGTATGTCTGTAAGCGGCTTCCTCTCCCGTAGTTTACCATCTTAAGGAACAGCTGTGCGAGTGCGCGGGACTTGTCTTCCTCTGAGCGCTGTGGCGCCGAGGAGGCTTCCGCACCGTTGGGACTGTCGTCTTCCTCTGACCCAATTACGCCATACAATGTGCTCTTATTGTACGAATAAACAGTCCGATACTGTTTACGTAGACTTTGGAAAAGTATACGTCCAGAAAGACCGCGCTTAGCATAGAGCATCTTGATAAACCAGTTGTATCCGACATAGTGATGGTGCAATTCTTTTGGTACAGGACCTGTCAGCTGGAGCTTGCACGCTACGAACGTCGACGCCGAAGCAGGCTTCTTCGCGTTCCCCGTTTCTTGTTTTGGTCCACTTGCTCTTCGATTTACGACGGAACCTATTAAGGGAGAAAAGTGTAGACTATATGCGTCTAGTCCCTTCATGTTAATAATAGTAAAACCAGGATTTTAGACGAATGCACTTACTCGGTCCTATAGAGTGTACTCGAAAGTCATTGGGATCATTCGTCTTTCCAATCACTTTTGCACTGAGTACAAGGCGATTGTGTTTCCTAACATGGTGACGAGGGAGCAGTCCTTCCGCATACGTCATTATATAGGGTACGATACTCCCGCGTCGCTTCTTGACCTTGAGCTCCCGTTCACGAAATTCGTACCCCTCATACATCATATTCCTCGTAAATTCTAACACCGCTCGTCCAAGACGGTCATCGCGGTCCTTCGAATCCTCGTCGACCACACCTAATTTGATTCTACACCCGTCTTGTGGGACTCCACCTATGAGCCAACGGTCTTCCCAGACTGGATCACGAGTAACGCGGACTGTTGGTGTTCGCCAACGAAGGCGTGGCTCTTCAGGTGGTTGGGGTCGTGAAGGTGCACTTAACGTAACATGGACATACGGGTCTGCAGAGAGGTTGTGGAAGTCGGCGATGGGGACGTTCGCGGCGCGGTGTATTGTTAGGAGGACATTGTACGTGTCTGTTGAGGACATAATTGTTGCGTAGAGTACTGTGTTCAAGGCAACAACATAGGAGAAAGGAGAGAGTTAGGGAGTTTAAGCATTGAGACTGTCAGTGCATTGTCTAATCTAGATTGGCTCTCCACTACGTCATCGATATATTTAGTAACCCACGTGCTTTATGCTCTTATTTTGTGCGTCCCTTGTGCCTAGCCGTACCTCCAAGAGCTCAAGTTAATCAAATCAAAATGTGTCTCACTTCCATGACGATTTGGAGTACGGATGCTTTTTCATAGCTCGTGAGAGTGCACGTTCTAAACTTAGCGTGTCACACAGAATATTTGGTCTGCCTTGCCTTCTATAAGCCCGTGATGCCTCAGTTCTCCATAATATAACCATATTCACTTGTTCTTCACAATCCGACGAATATTAGCTGCCACTTCTCTCGCATCTTCCAGCGCTTCGTCACAGCCAACTTCCCAAGCATCATCGTTAGTCAATGCTTCAATAGCAGCAATACTCCAAGCCGTCCGTTCCTTGTATCCTTTCTTTGTCACACTCAGCAAGAATGCACTTGCGAACTCGACTTCTCGCGCGATGGGTCCGAGTAGTTTTGCCCTGAATTGGTTTAACACCCATGATCGAGAAGCTTAGAGAAAATAGACGGATGTCCTTACCGTTCATCTTGCCAAGGTGTTCTGACGCCCGCCTTCTTCCACAATACTTCTCCGCGTTTGTCTTTGATGAAAAGTGTGTGAAGTGCGCATTTGATTTTGGACATTGCTTGTTCACGCAGGGTGAGCTAAATATGCAATTAGATTCTGCCTCCTAGATAGGCGAGGTGCGCATGGCTTACAGGTATCTTGCTTGAAAACGGTGCTTCGAGTTCTACTTCCTCTTCGTCCTCGTGCCCGGAGAAAGGTGAGACTTCCGCAATCATTCAGCACCAGTAATACGCGTAACAAAATACAATACACTCACCACTTCTGTTCCAGACCTTTTCGGATTTGTCCTTCAAGCTCTGCTCAAGGACACGCCCTTGACGGTCCGTATCATCCGCTAACTCTCGCTCCGCCTCATTGAACAAGTCAACTACTGAACCCGAGGTCCTGATTATATCTTCGTCTTTCTCTGACTCTTGAGGTTCCTCGTGGTCCTCATCGGAAGTAACCTCAACTTCATCCATCTCAACCGGAGCTTTTGTTGGCTGACTTGCGTCCTGCTCAATGACATCTGCTTTGGATTCAGGTGGTGACTCGAGTTGGGCATCTTCAGGAGACAGACACTTGGAGGGGTCATCTGCGATACTCGTCTCAGAAGGAGGTTTAGAGCAAGCTTCTCCCTGCACAGGTGCCTGAGGCGGTTCTTTGAACGGTACCTTGAAGGGTATTTTGAATGGCGCTTTGAATGGATTCTTCACTGCTCCAGACACTCCAGAGGCGCATAACGGTCCTACGAGGCAGAATTAACCTTATTTTTCAACGCGTTTGTTTATGTCAGACTCACTGGAATAATCGATCTTCGGGCGTTTCGACGGATCGACTGAATACGTGCCGGTCGTTGAAGCAGTACGTTTGATTCCCACAGCTGCTGTCGATGTGGACCGTCCGGCCTGAGCATTGGCCGGATTCGGGCATGGGCCGTTTTGCTCAGAAGATCCTCGGTCGAGGTCGGCTGCATTCAAGGCGTCACCCCAGTCATCCTCTTCGGCATATCCATCCAGACCCGTTTCACCGACTGCAACATCATAAACTGCTTGTTCATCCACCGCAGCCTTGGCTCGCTTCTGAAGTTTTTCGATCTGGGCAAGCACGCCTTCCTCAGAGGATAGTGCAAGCTTGCGTTGTTTCACCTTTTCAGGATATTTACATACCTACGCCAAGGTTAGTCGAGGAGATCAGCTTCGATTTTCGGAGATAAACACGTACGTCGCACATGCGATCACAATACGACTTACGAACAGCCTCATCATTCTCATCGATGAGTTCTCCAAAATAGCGACATATGGACTTCATGATGCATACTTAATTATAGTTTTGAAGTTTATCGGTATGAACTCACGATATGTCGGCAGACATCAATGTTCTCAGCCAAGTTAATGAGCTACAGGGGGTATCTTCAATAATGGGATGCGACGAAAGATCTATGGACTCACAGCACTAAAGCTGTCCAAACACCGCTGGCTTGGCTCAGGTGCACAGAACATTGGTAACATTTGAGCGGCTTGGGTTTCTTTTCTGTCATTGTAAGATTTCTTTACGAAAAAATTTGCCGCTAATGCATCCTCCCTGGCTGATGAAAGTGTTAAATGCGAAACACGAGCTATTACCATGACGGACTCACTATAATAAAGCACGCACTTTGCGGGCTACGCACAAGTTTAAAGTAAAGCGTTTAATATGTGGTAGTACCCGGACTCGAAATACGTACATCACCATCACGGCCCGCTCTGCCTGTTTCCTGGTAATATCCTTGAATTTAAAGTAAGCCGAAAGCGTAGACCGACTACCTTCATAGTGATCTCACCTTCAAGGCTCTTAGGTAGATCATAGTGCACTATGTACCTCACGTCTGCCTTGTCAATACCCATGCCAAACGCTATCGTAGCGACGACCTAGCTATTGTTAGGGTCAGCTGCTTCGGGTGATCGTGCGAGTACTGCGGCTCACCACATCGCAGCCTCCTTCGCCATTTCCACCTTCCTGCCATTCTTGCAGTGTTCTATCGAGTTCTCTCGATCTAAAAGAATAAACGAGACTCTATAGCAGTTGAGCTACACGATAACTCACTTTAGTCCACGATGGTACGGCCTAGCACTGAGCCCATTACAACGCAGATATCGGGCAAGTTCGTCGCATGTAGCTCGAAGGCGACAATAAACAATACCTGAAGACGGGCGACCACGACGCTTATGCAGGAGAGAAATGAACTGGAATACGTCCACCATTCGTTCCTCCTGAGACATATCCGTACTGTAGCGCACCTCGTAAAAGAGGTTCTCACGATTGAACGGATGCGTAACCCGAAGCATGCGATCGCGATCCATCCGAAGGCTGTTAACGATGTCTTCTTGAACTCTACAAGATAATCTCGCACTCGAACTCTTCAATGGGGTATGATTAAGCTCACGTCTTTGTTGCACTAGCAGTCAGTGCCATAATCGGAACATCCGGATAGTTCTCTCGAAAAGATCCTAACTTTCGATACACTGATCTGAAATCGTGTCCCCATTCCTGACGGTAGGTTAGAATAATCTTTGCGTGGGAGAAACAAGCATGAATGTATTACGGAAATGCAATGAGCCTCATCCACTACGAGGCGATTCAGTTCGCCTCGTCGACAGAGCTTTTCGACAACCTTGTTAAACTCTGCGCTCGACAACATCTCCGGAGTGACTATTAAGCGCCATTAACATTGAGTCCGTGTTAAGGGAATAAATACCAGTGCTTACGGTATAATAGACGTGTAGTTGGACAACTACTCCGCAAATCAGCAATTATCTAGCAAACGTCAGGTCGATTTCCCTTGACATCCTCGATAACTTACTTTCTTCTTTTCTGGGCCGAGCGTGTCTGAAGTATAAGATGCAGCAGGGATATTCAGATCTTGCAGTCTGGAGACCTCTTCGTAGTGATGTACAATCAGAAATGGTCATGAGATACTCTAGAAATCTAGCTTACGATTCTTCATCAGAGCTAAAAACCAGACTTCAGTAAAATCATTTTGACGAATGACACAAACCACACCTAAAAGCGGCGAAACGATCAGGGTTACACCATTCTATAATTCTATATTAGGACATCATGCAAAACTCAGTGTGAGAGCAATGACCTTTTCTGCGGCCGCCGGTATTTGGAAGCAAGCACTCTATTCATCCGTTAGCATGGGCAATCGTGAGTACGCGTGCTGCTCGCTTACCTTCCCCATGCCTGTTGGAGCAACGACAAACACATCGACGCCTTGATGTGGTGTTCAGTAACAAATAGACTCGGCACGGTGTGGAACGAACCGAGTATCGCTGTCTCTATGATCTCCTTCTGCTTCCCTTTATATCCCTCGTAACCAAATACTACATTCATCCGCGTTGAGCTAAGGTCCAATAGTGTGCACAAAATATACCTTTTTTAAGCAATCTAAAACATCCTTAGCTGCTGAATACTGACTTAATGAGACTGCCTACTTATAACAGTCTCTACTAGACACAGATGGTCTGTCTTGCTTTCTGACCTCGTACTTGGGTCCTTCCGAAGCACCAAAGAAATTCCCAAGTGTTGTTTGTTTAGATGTGGAAGGTTCTGCTTCCTGCGTTGGCTTCTCTTCTCGAGGGAGTGCGGCACCGGAAACGAAGCCTACGTTTTCCATGTTGCTCTTGGAAAGGCAGAGGCAGGCGCCAATACTGTCCTGATGATAGACGCGTTATTTGGAGCACGTGCCACGCGTCAGTCACATGTGTCGTGTTAGTAATCCATGATCAGTGTCGCCAGCTGGCACGCCGCAGCGGCCGCACGCAGGTCGCCAACTGTGGTCTGAATCTTTCCCCGAGCCTGAGCTGTACTACCTTCAATTCTCGACCAATGTGGCGCCACTTGCTTCTCATTGCTTAATAATATTGCCGATGGAGATTGGATTGTGATATGGTGGTATCCAACAGTTTGTGTCATTGCGGATAGTGCACCTGTCGGAGCCCTGAAGGACTGATTGACGGAGGCGGTACCTGTGCATCTCCTACTGCGGCAAAACGTACTGTCCTGTTCCAAAGATGCTGTGCCTTCTGCCTGGAGAATATGCAACAGATGTGACCCTTCCGTCATGGCCTTGAAGTGGCTCACCGACAGCGGTATACTTGGTCTACGATTCTACAATAAATGTATGCTTGAATGAATGTGTCCTCTGTAATAGTCCCCGTTGTAATGCTATGTTTCATTCGTAAATTATGTGAATCTGTTTGTTCTCCATACCTCACGAAAAATGAGACTGGTGAATTATTGATACTAGTACTTTTCGAAACTGCTGCTTGGCTAATCAACTCGAATTGCAACATCTGATCAGGCCACCATCACTGCGAGTCAGTTTGACGAGTTCGTATAGTATAGATCCCCAGCTTCTACTCTCAACCCAGGCATTGAACCTAGACCCAAGCCAAAGTGCTACTTGTACAAATACTTTTCTCTGCACTAGTTTGTCTAGTGTTGCATTGATTGTTTGTACATCTCTTGAGGAGCATCCTCTTCATCTCACACAATCTAGCAGAAACGAATAATAGATAAGCACTTCAAGACCTGTAGAGGATCCATTGCGTGGAAGAGACAGGTAGAATAAGTGGGCCTCAAAGTAAAACACAGGTTTAAGGCAAGGCATCAAATATTGCTTACTGTCTTCCCTTTCTGACTGACAGAACACGCAGCTCAGCCAAAGGGAATGAAGTTTCGTTGAAAAGTGGTTACAATCCGATTCCCACTTGGAGAACTCAGTACTAAATTGAGCCTGGAATGACGTCCAATGGCCACCACCAATTAGCCTTTGACCACAGGAAGCACTTTGAGTAATCAGGAGAACAGAAAGAACTAGACACGTCAAATTTTCATGGCCGTACAGCACTTAGACTTCGCCCCGACGGGCATCCAGGCCGTCCTACAATATTGAATGATCTTGGAGTTTCTCTTTCCATGCGATTCCAACGACGGCAACTTGGTTCACATAGGTGTATGTACCTTTTCTCCAGTTTCTGGGCAATATCCCGGATTTCTAGGGGTTGAACATTTGAAAAAGGTCGAATTACAACCTGAATCGAATCATCACAAGTATTTGCAATGGTTTTTGAGGTCCTTGTTACAAATATCTGTTTCTCCCTTTACATTAACCCTTATGCTTCATTCGACGATAGCTCACAGTACGTAAAGTTGGGAGAACTAGATTGTGCATTGAGCTGGGATGGAAAGACGACAGCAGTGATTCGTGAAGGAACCTCGGTAGCAATGACCCGATTAGGAAAGATTTACCTTCATACATCAGCTAATGACGCTACTTGCACTGAACCGTGAACCGTCTCTACTAGCGCTCGTTCGTTCTGACTATGTGGAGGTTCTTGTCAAGTAATGATGTTCCACAATTCCTTGAGACCCTCGACTTGCCAGGTATAGCAAAGTATTTGAAGAGCGAGTCATGCAAGAATGTCTTCGTCATGGTGAGTTAATCCCTATATTAACACAACCGAACTCAGATGGTAACAATCGTTGTTAGGCAGGAGCAGGTTAGTATGCTCAAGTATCTTGCCCATGATTGTATAAAACTGACTTTGAACTGGTTGGAACCCTACGTTGAACAACAGGGATAAGCACATCAGCTGGAATTCCCGACTTTAGATCTCCTGATACCGGTAACTGAAATTAATGAATGAATTCATCTGGACGCTCTGAATCAGTGATTTTTAGGTCTTTATGTGCACATCTTGCATTCCATCACTATAAATACATGCTGCTGACGAACTTCGGTATTGTAGGCGAACCTCGCTAGACTGAATTTGCCCTACCCGGAGGCCGTCTTTGATATTAGTTTCTTCAAGCGGAATCCTCGCCCTTGTGAGTATCTCCAGTAGAATATAGCATTCAAGCTGGTCTGACGAATATGCTGTACCTCGAAGTCTATGTCCTGGCTCACGAGCTTGCACCAGGGCGATTTAGACCTACACTGACTCACTCATTCATCAGGCTCCTCGCCGAGAAAGGACTTCTCCATACATGCTTTACGCAGAATATAGACACACTTGAGCGGGCTGCTGGCGTCCCGCCCCACAAAATCATCGAAGCCCATGGAAGTTTCGCTAACCAGCACTGTATAAAGTGCGGTTCGTTCTATCCACACGATAAGATCAAGAAGAAAATAGACGAGCAAGAGATACCTGTTTGCGAGAAGCGAGGATGTGGAGGGTACGTGAAACCTGATATAGTTTTCTTTGGCGAATCTGTAAGTCCATGCCCACCATCCTATGGTTTCTTCAGGCGAAATGTCTGACACTTGGTGTATTGAATCATGAAGCTACCAGACGAGTTCGTACACGGCGTGCGACACTTGAGAGACGCAGACTTACTCATCGTGATGGGCACTTCACTTACTGTGCATCCTTTCGCATCACTCACGGAGATGGTACCCGAGGAATGTCCACGACTGCTTTTCAACCTCGACCACGTCGGAGGCTGGGGTTCTCGTGCAAATGATGTAGCATGTCTTATGTCGTGCGACAAAGCGGTCCGCGAGCTATGTAAGATTCTCGGTTGGGAAGAGGAGTTGGATGCACTATGGGCTGAAACGGATCCTTCGCGGAAAATGAAAGAGGTCCATGCAGCGGATGGAGATAAGGGCGAAACCAAGGCAGAGAAGGACCCACCAGAACGAAAGGCGGAGGACGCTGGCGTCAAAGAGAGGGGCCAAGCAGAGCCAACAGAGAAAGAAGCAAGAGAGGACGAAGAGAGCAGAGAAATTGCGAGCGATGATGGGAAGAAAGTCAGCGAGGAACTGCTCGCGGACATCATTGACAAGCTGGCCGAGACTATCAACGAAGTTAGGCTCGAAGGCGAATTATCCTCACAACCGGAAGGAAAGCGAACAGAACAGCGAGACCTCGAAGGAAGCAAAGCGAGCGACGAGAATGCACCCAAGCCCGCCTCTCATAATGCTTCTGACGAAGAGGGCGTGTTGGACAAGGACAAACATGATACTCATAGTCAGGTCACGGAGGCAAAACAATCGGAATCAGAATCATCGGAGCGAGCTTCAGACAATGATAATTCAACTACTACAGGCAAGCTTTGATGATTGGAAGTATGCCAACAGTCTTGTATGCAGTCTATATCTCTACAAAATGTATCTCGTATACTTCATGTATCAAATAGAAAGCGGTCATCACGCCCCCTCAAAAATACCCTTGATAAAATCAAAGGCCTCGTCAAAAAGTGGTGAATATTTCTCCATGGCTCCTTCTGCGTAGTCGAAAGAGTGTTCCTCACCGTTTGCAATGCGAAGTACTTTTTTTACGCCATTAGAGTCAAGCAACCTGGCTACGTTGTATGATTCCTGTGAGTGTACTGCCGAGTCCAGTTCACCATGTATCATGAACGTTGGAGGGAAAGACGAATCGATAAGTAACTGAGGAAAGAGTGGAACGTGTTTCTCGGGAATAAGAGTACGAAGAGCCTTTACTCGGCGTTCCCGATCGTAATGTCGTTCTTCCGTAACTGCACGCAGCCGAGCACTCAGGCTGGGCTCGTGTTCGCCAGTGTAGTAGTCAAGATAAACGCCAAGTTGCAGGTAGAGCCTACAAAGCTGCATACGCAAATTTGCGGGCATGCCTGGTGCAATAGGGTGGTTTGCCGGGTAATATGCAAGGGCAGAGTCGGACGTTGATTTGAGGTCCGGTGGAAAAGGGTATAAGAATTCCTGGAAAACGTCAGGATCCAGGATTTCCCGATTCAAAAAGAAAGGTTCTGTTTTGATAGACAAGTATTGTGAAGACTGCATGATGAAGAAATATACATAAGAAGACTGTATGCGTCAAGGAGAAAAAGGAGAATCGTAATCACCAGAAAGTCGCCACCCTGTCCATACAACGACAGTACGCCTTTTGGTTTCGGCCTAGCATGACAAGCAGCTAGGTATGCGCACATTCCTCCAGCGCTCGAGCCAGAAACAATTATGGAGGTTGCGTCGATCGTTGCATCTGAACCAGCTGAAGCAAGGTCCTTGTTCAATTCCTTCTCCAGATAGCGAAATACGCCTTTGATATCTTCAAGTACGTCATGACCAGTGGAAGGTGCTAATAGGGTATAATCTGCAGAAATGAAGGCATAGCCAGCTTGCATTGCACGGTCTGCCGATTCATATAAGCATATGAAGCCCGCAGACACGAATATGACTTCGAGTTAAATAAAGGCTCACCGTATATCCATTGAGGGAACCAGCTTCGTCGATTTCCGACCGTCAATCCTCCTCCATGGAAGTAAAGGATAGACTTCAGAGGTCCCGGCGAAGACTTCGGAGGTATGAAAACATCAACGTAGTTGTTCCGATGATCCAGACCTTTGTACAAGAAGGTGAACGGCTTGGGGCGTTGCTCTACAGACTCTCCCATATTTTCTACTGTCAAGGATCAGGTGAAGTAGACAGAAGTATGTCCTGGAAATATCCTTGGCAGCACGCTTAACTGCATAAGCGACTGAGTAACCCCATCGGGTTCATAGACGAGGCAGAAGGCCAGGCGGTAAAGCGAGTGGCGAAGTGCGGGACCGCGAGTGTCCGAGACTGCTCACGTCATGCTCGAGTCAACGCGCAACGCATCTGAGTTCCTTGCCCAACAACCACCACGACCGACGCATTTCTGTTGCGCTCGAGTAATTATACCAATCATATGGATACCCCTTCGTATTAATCCAGGTGGGCTCGAAAACAGGCCATTCAAGACTTCAAGACTCGCCTAAAATACAAGAAGACCGCAATGAGTTCCCCTCAACTAATCGCCTCCTCCAGCCGCACAGGCTCCGAAGCAGGTGGAGGAAGCGACGAAGATATGGACTGGGAAGAAGTATCCGTGCCCCATGCAGAACTGTCAACACCTGCAAAAAGCGTGTCTGATTACGACCTTCAAACGTCTGGGCCCATGACTGGTCCTGCTCTCAAGAGTGGGGTGGAAACCATTGAAATCACGTTGAAAAGGGTCGCGAAGAAGGACGACACCAAGCGAAAGTAATGTACTCATTTGACCTTCCTCACGACTAAGACTCATTATTATCTATTATTACCAATAGGAAACAGGCAGAGCAAATCGCTGAGCTTCGAGCTTTACGATTAACTTGTCATAAGATTCACACAGTCGCTTTGCTAGCAAACGCCATTATTCGCAACAAATTGCTAAACGACCCTCTCTTGCATGTTCGTCGGTCGTCACTGTTGTTAAAATTCTATTGTTGATATCCTCCATTTAGGCCCGCCTCTTGTCTTTAACACCTATTCACCTGCAGACATCGTTCGATATGATTACGAAGAAGCGGCATCCAGAAGCAGCCAAGCGTGGTCGTCTTTTCGAATCTAGTATGATGCGACTTACTCAGTGGTGGTATGAAGAGTTCTTCACAATTGAAGGCTTTGGTCACATCAAATCCCGCACCTTCGACGAAGTACAGAAGATCCTTCTCGACAGTCGCGGAAGCGATGAACCGCTTCAGCTGAGTGACCTCGAGGACGATGAGAGCGAGGTGGTCAGAAGTTCGAAAAGCTTAATGAAACACGCATTGAAGTGTCGTGGGAGTAGAGATGTCAGTTCCCAGCTTTTCACTGCATTGTGCCGAGCTCTTGGTATACCTGCCAGGCTCGTCGTGAGCCTCCAGAGTGTCCCCTGGCAAGCAGGTACAGGAAAGTTAAAGTCGACTAAAAAGAAGAATTCAAGGAAAGGCAAGGAGAAGGCAGGTATCCCTTCTAATTCTGAAGCTCAGGGCAGTAACCTCGAAAACGAAGACGTCGAGGATGATGACATGGAGGAAATTCAAATCCCTGATTTCCGCGACGAGAAGGATGTTTTTCCGGGGGAGGGTCAATCCTTATCATCCGGCATGAGCACTCCCAGCATAAAGGGTAAAGAGAAGATGCTACCAAAGAATGTCATCAAACTTCGTAAATCAAAGTCGACTGGCCAAAAGCTGGGTTCATCAAGTAGTTCACGGCATAGTAGTAAGATCACTGCAGTCTTTTACTCTCAACAAGGAGCTGATCTGGTGGTTTAGCGCCCGCGCGACCCATCGGAGGTTACCCACCTGTCTTCTGGACTGAAGTATACTCAAAACCAGATGGAAGATGGATGCCTGTTGACCCAACACGATACATCGTCAACAAGCGCAAAACATTTGAGCCACCCCAGCACGATAGAAACAACCGAATGGTGTACGTCATAGCTGTCGAGGAGGACGGTTATTGTCGGGATGTCACCGCGCGGTATGCTAGGGATTACGGCACGAAAACTTCCAAAGCTCAGCTCGGCGGAAAAGGTCGGAAAGAGTGGTGGGAGTCTGTTATGTCGCTTGTGACTCGGCCTTACAGACTACTACGGGATGACGCTGAGGATGAGGAATTTGAGTACAACAAGTACATTGAGGGCATGCCGACCTCAGTTGCAGGCTTCAAAAACCATCCTCTGTAAGCATAAATTAACTGACAGTCCGGGCCCCGACACTTATTTAACGCGTCCGTCTAGCTACGTACTAGAACAGCACCTCAAACGGGAGGAGGTAATAGATCCAAAGGTCGAAGTTGGAAAGTTTAGGGGTGAACCTGTCTATCCGCGCTCGAACGTGGTTCAATTGAAAACTGCAGAGAACTGGATACGTGTTGGTCGACGGGTAAAAGAGGGAGTTCAAGCGATGAAATGGGTTAAGCAGCGCGCGGTGACAATACATCGGAGGCGTGCAATGGAGCTTGCCCAGCAGGAGGGCGACGAAATGCTCCAAGGGCTTTATTCGGAGGCACAAACGGAAATCTACGTGCCTGATCCGGTAGTTGATGTGCGTGTTTCGAGCAGATTCGACCTGCCGAGAGCCATGGCTAATTCAATTCGCTTCCATAGGGTATCGTGCCAAAGAATGAATTTGGTAACATAGATCTCTACACTCCCTCAATGTTACCCAAGGGAGCTGCACATATCCCGTGTAAGGACAATCAATTCCGTATCTTCGCGGCAATTTGCTCAATCTTTTTTCATATATAGATAAAGGAGCTGCGAAGATCGCAAAGAAACTCGGCTTTGATTATGCTGAAGCAGTCACGAATTTCGAATTTAAGAAGGGGCGTGCTTTCCCCGTGCTTTCGGGGATCGTCGTTGCAGCTGAAAACGAAGAGATACTGCTGGAGGTAATGCGTTCCATTCTCAATCAGGTTTTCTGGAACATGTTTTTTACGTCAAATACCAGGCATATTGGGAGGCCGAGCGCGAAGCGGAGGAGAAAGAGCAGATAAAACGGAGAGAGCGTGTCATCAAGCGCTGGACAAGGCTGATAAATGGTCTGCGCATTCGGCAGCGACTGCAAGAGCAGTATGCAAACGGAGGCGAACCCTCGACGTCGGGATTATGGCATGAGAACGGTGAAATGGCGGTGCGTTTATCGTAAAGACGGGGTTTTCATTCATCATTCATTTACACATCCTTTCAGCAGGCGGAAATTCAAAAGGCGGAAATTGAGCAGCCGGGTGGATTCCTTACAGAAGCGGACGCAGTAGTTCAACCCTTCCACCTCCCGCGTTTTGAACATGGTGCCTATGAGCCTGAGTTGGAAGTGGGCACTGCTGCTGAACGAGATGAAGCTCATGATAAGCTCACAACAGGTGAAGCTGTCGATCTTCAGGTGAGCGCTCAGCCTCCAAAAGACTCAAATCTCGGTGGTTATCTTGTCGAAGAGGGGGAAGATGACGATCTTGAAGAGATCTTGCCTGTCAGTGATGGCCAGACCATTACGTCTACGGCTGTCCGGACTCCGAAGTCAATGCGCGAGCTTGCAGAGGAGAGTGCAACCCAACAAATGGGGACTGATACCACCGAATACAACGGCGGACTTGTTCAGATGCCCGCTGACACTGGTGAAAAACCACCGGCCCTCATCGGGCAAGACAATGTTCGTAATCAACGTCCGGTGAGGACACGAAATTCGAACTCGTCTACCCCGTCAACTCGCCGCAACAGCATGCGATCCGTAGTGAAAACAAGTAAACGAAGAAATTCGGGACGTAAACGCAACACTACCTCATCTTCCGCCTTATCCAGTCCATCTTCGGGACGAGATGATAATCTTGATAATGAGGACCTTGGCAATAGCTGGGAAGAAAGCGACGACGATATAGGGAATTCACGTCAGCGGCGCACTGGTTCATCAAAATCCATTCTAAAACGAAAGCGGACCGAGCTAGCATCTACGGTGCCGCCACCATCTACGAGGGTCTTGCGAACGCGGGTTCCCAAGACGGCGGAACAGGTTAAAGTAGAAAAGGAGGTAGAAGCCGCGTACCGAAAAGCAATAGCACAATAATAAGATCGGTGGTCTTTCATTGGTTCTTAGATTCAAGTTTTGCTGTATCAGTGTACTATCCTTTTCAATCTGGGGGTGGATTTTAGTGTATTACGAACCATAGTAATAGGAAATCGGCTTGTATATACCAGGGTATTAGATTAATGAGATTTCTCTCCGTGATCTAGTGAATCGACTTCCTTGGTATTATTAGTGTTTTCTGTGGAACCCTGAACGCTGTTTGCGAAAAGATGCGAATTGTCCTTTGGCAACACACTCGGGAGAAGGACTGCAAAAGTGAGATACGATGTATGCCCGCGAACTTCGTTGATGACCCTTGAGACAACCCGTTTCGGAGGCTCCGTCGCTAATGGTTCAGGTTCAGGAGAAAATAACGGCTCCTGGACAACGACAGTCGAGTCGTCCGCTGCAACGGCGTCTTCGGCCATGCCAAACTCGTCTTCCGCATCCGCGTGCCACAGCTGTGCTACCGATTCTTGTGTAATTTCCGAGACCGTTGGGTCGTTTTCGGCGAATTTTGAGGTGTCTTCTTCACGATTATGACTCATCACCTCGTCTTCAGTACGTAGCTTCTTTGCTTCTGTCCTGTCTTCAGCTGCGTCTTCAAGATTCTGTACTTCGGCGCCACCAGCATTGTCGTCCCTGCTTTCCTTCAAGTTTGAGGGTTCTCGTGGACTTCGCTTCCGCTTCTTCTCCTTCCTCGCCTGCGATGACGCTATTTGCATGAGACGCTTGTACTCTCGTCTGACTTCCGATCGTTTCAGTTTGTCACTAACTTGACCAATAGGCTGAAGTGCCGGAACTGTATGCACTTCGTGCGGTCTAAGAAGCGTCTCGTACATAGTAATGTCTGCGGTGTGGGGATATGAATGTCAATGTTCATTAATAAAAAGAAGATGAATCGTGGGCGCATGATTAATAAAATGAGCGGAAGAAGATGAATAGATTGATCAAAACAAGAAATAGACTCACCTGTGAACCCGGCATCATTCAGTGCCGCGACGGTTCGCAAGACTTGTTCCATGCATGGACTGAAGCAGCAAATTCGAGTTGCCCGATCTTTCTGCACGAGTAAACACATCAATAAAAAATATGTTCAAAGATCATCTGAGCGCATGAAGAACGGCCCGTAAAAGCGGAGATGAAAAGAAGATTGAATGATTTTGATCTCTATCCCTTGCACGTGCAAGCTAACCAACGCCAAATCGACTGAAGAATTTGAATTTAGAGATTTAGGATGGAAGGACACGTACTCGCAACGCCTTTTTCGCATGGCAGATGGCGTCCCATGGTGCAGGGAGATCAAGGAAAACTAACACGAAAGGAGTTAATCCCATATTACTATAAAACGAAGATGCGTATAGAGAAAAGTGCAGATAAAAGCAAACCTGAATCGACCAGGTCGGCGACCGTAAAACCCTCTCTGCATACATTACGGTGAGTCAACGTAATAATTTCGGAGAGTCCATGGCTGCGGAATTCCTCTCTTGGCACTGGTCAATGCTCAAAATTTCGTTATTAGAGTCAAAAATAACCCTACCTTGCTTTATTAGCTCTTGGTTCGTGGAACTCGTAAGAATACAGGTGTCCTTTGGGACCGATGGTCCTTACAACAGAATGTGAGAAAGAGCCAGAACCCGTGCCTATGGATTCCTGATCAGATCTGGAGAACATCATTCAAGATTGTATTTAAAGGGAGTTTAGGGGGAACGCGAATGGCATGTCGAGTGGGAAGATGGATTATTGTCCTAGCACACGATAGTCTTGTGGCATGACATCGCGCGCGGGAAGACGAAGAGTTCTTTCGTTTACTCTGGATTCTGGAAGGATGCTGAGTAGATGTGCCTGTGGCTTACCTGCTTCGACAACCTTGCTTCCGGGTTTGATGTCGAGATAGGAGACGATGAAGGCAATGTCAGCAAGGTAGAGGATCTGGGTGCGGTGAGGAAGTGCGATCGTCCAGAGCTCGGGGGTAGGACGGAGCACGTGAATGAACCCTTTGCCGTTCCGGGAGCCCACTTTGGAGCCGTAAGGGATGCCGACGAGGTCAGAATGCGAGTAGACGCCGAATTTTCCGTTGAATTCTTTGCCCGGAGTGACGACGAGAGGCTGGACGGAGTCCCGCGTCTAAGTATAAACATTAAATTAATAGACGGACGGGATAGACAAAAAGCTTGAGACAAAAAGACAGAAGTCAAATAGAAAATAAAACGCGCGCACAAGCCAGATGATGACCAGATCGCCTGCTGCAATCTCTCTTGCTCTGGACCACATGTGCCCCTACGGAAATGTCTTATTTTTCCACGGAAGTATATGCGCTTGACCGCTAGCCGCTGGTGCTGTGTGCGTCGCCAGGTGACGGACGGAGACAAGGTATGGACGGAGCAACGACAACAAGGGTGTATGCACGCACTAAAAAAACTGAAAAAAGGGCTTACTCTAAAATGGAGGTTATGCGTGATTCGCGAGGGCCAAAAGCGGCAGGATTTGATTCCGGCATACGTAAGCGAGTGATTAGAATTTGGGAGAAGGGGAAACTGTTGGAAAGCGAGAGATCTGGAGATCTGCGTCTTGTCGGATGCCTCTCATGGCGTCGTCCGGACACATCTCTCTCCTCGGCGGATTTTGTGCCACTGCCATCTTGTTATTTCTCCTTCTTCTTTCTTGCGTTCACCTCTTCGCACGATATTTCCTCCCATTATCGCCCTCGTGTGTCCACCAGATCTTCTCTCGCAGTCCCAGCTTCTCAGAAGATCTCATTCTACCTCCTGGGGTCAGATGTTCCGTGGTCCGTCTCCGCGGCCGGCTCTCTGAATTTCATTCGCCTTGCACAGGCTGCAGATTCCTCAGATTCAGATCTCTAGCGCCCTTCATCCTCCTATTTCTATCTCGCTGGATATCGATGTCCACCTGGCTTATTAGTCGCAGCTCCAGATCCTGTCCGCACACGTTCCTATATTTTAACTGCACCCATCCAGACCTCTGATATTTGCCCCGTCTTGCCTGCTGCTTAAACCTTCGACCGTCTTGGTCGCTACTCGCTTCCTGACTCGCACATTTTCTCAGCTGGCGTAATCCATTACCGTCTACGACTCTTTCTTACAAGTTTCTCTCAAACTGGATCTTTCTAAAATCCTTGGCCCTCCCGAGGGTCCAAGAGATGCGGAACCTCGTCCTCCTGCCTCGCCTTATGTCGAGTCAGAGGCACAGGATGAGGTACCGGACTCGGTCGTTGACCTTGAACCAAATATTCCGTCCTTGTCATTCAGTAAGCAATTTTCACGTTTCGACTGCTCATTCGTAACTAACGTGTCACAGTTGTGGCTATCGAAGCATGGAAGGAGGTGCGACTTCTCGGCTTGTTCATCACGTCCGCCTTCACCGAACCTTCTACTTCTTTCTTGATTAGGGAAAAGTGTGCTACATTTCCGAATCGGTATCCGAGATACTAGGCAAGTCGTGTAGGCCAGATAGCATGCTTCATAGACTGAAGTCCTGCCTTTCCTTTCTTGCTTGGACAGGCTTTGAAAGGGAGGAAGTCATTGGCACGCCCGCTTATGGCTTCTGCCATCCTGATGATGCGCCGCAGCTCTATCGTGCTTACCAGTATGCACTCCGTTCTTTTTTGAAAGCGTTACTTAAACGAGCACAAGGGAAATGATTTCCGAAGATAAGGCTGCGTGTATCATGTATCTTCGCGTTCGGCACCATGATCCTCGAATACGTTTTGTTCTAGGGTCAATTGTAAGTGTTGTGTGGTCTTTGACTAGGAATGGACGGTAACAGCCGCGAATGCACAGTCTTGTTCCAGAGTAGGGCAGCACCTCATCGGCGCATTATCGATCGCGTCGTCCACGACTAAGGCCATGCACAACGCGTCGACAGCACAAGAAGTGATTGTCATTTCTCCCGAGGCAGCACACTTGCATTTTCGAGTGGGTAGCGCCAATCAAGCTCTTTAGCTGGTCTAACAAAACTCCTCAAAATTGCAGCGTTGGAACGAGCCTCCACCCATAACCGCTCCTACATCCCCAGTACAGCATGGATCGTCTTCCTCAGCTTCTGCGTCACCGCAATCTCGAGAAAACTCTTTAGATCCTCCTTCGCCACCTAGATATGAACCGGAAAAACTCTCTCAGTCTTTGCACGGGCTCACTCTGTCCCCGCCTGCTCAAGAGACAGCGCCTAAGCGTGTGGCATTCGTCCTCGACCGCTTCTCTGTCAACGTTCCCATCACATATGCGAATAATGACGATATACTGCCGAGGTCACTAGTACTAAACCGGTCGTTCTATGACTTTGTCACACCTGGGGACGAGAGTCGGCTACGTAAAGCCCTGGACGCGGTGAAAGGCTGGGGTGTTAACGAGAGAGGACACCCGAGCGATGGCGGATTCGCTTTCAACCGGTTCCACTTGTACTTGAGAGGCAGAGACTCATCGTATGTCTTTCTTTTCAGCCATATATTTTTCAGTCTTTTTTTTGCCTGCATCGGAGAATTCTGCTAATTCTGACATGTCTTACAGCGTTCCTCCAGACTCTACACTACTACGCAACCGTCGCACGTCGCACGCTGACACGTCCGGCGTGCGGAACAATCGAGATAGGCGAACCAGCTCCTCGCACAACCAGTCGGGCCCGACTCCGAGCTCGAACGAGCCGCCTACCCCGTCGTCGAGCCGCAACCGAATAAAGCAGCGCATGCCTCCCGAGCGAGGAGTCGGCGCTCCTTCACGAGACATCCAACTCGTAGATGTAATCTTCTCGCCACAGTCAGATGGTATCATCGCTATTCTAAGGCCTGCCCTCCCGACACGGTAAAAAAGGGACATCATACGCTATGAATGAGGTTCACGAGTCGTCCAGCTGTTACGCTTACGATCTCCCTTGTGATGATCTATCTAACTTTCCCTAAATCTCAATCTGTTTACGAGGTGTTAACGTGTTAACGAAGAAAGAAACTGATACCATTCAGATTACTGTGTTCGGAATATCCTTCTTTTTTGGTGTTGTGATTAAAGACTATCTGGCTTTTATCTTCCTGCGTCTACTCGCCTTCCCTACTCCCCTCCCCTTGAAAAATTCGTATAGATAAGAGCTTATTGCATGTCACGCTGTTGTTGTTGTGCTTTCTTTGTTGTTTGAAAAAAAAATGTTTCCCCGTATTTGAAATTGAACTTGTGCTGCTATTGTTGACGCATTCCTAACGTGTATTCACTTTGCCCTATTTTGAATCTTTGATTCCAGCTTCGGAAACTATCCGTTCAGCTTACCCCCCTGGAAAATAGCCCAATCAAGCACGTCATCCTATTTAGTACAGATCAGCCCCCTCATGCCAAGTGACTCGTCTGCAGAACCTCAGATCTGAGGGAATCTAGCATTTCGGATTTTTCGATTGGGTACTGAGTAACGAGCGGACGAGCATTGCGAACCCAAAAACGTCGATCAGCAAGTCAATGATGCCGCACGCATCCTATTACCATAACCATGTATAGGGGGGGAGTCACAGAGATTGGATTCATGCTCACGTATCTAGAAGGCACAAGGGTCAGTCTTCAAGCTACTATCAGAAGAGGGTCCGGGTGTGTAAGATGGCTGAGATGGCTTAGGATGCTTGAGATGTGCCAGATGCATAGATCTGGTTAGATTTGTAGAGCGAGCTGGATCTGTAATATCCGTAATGTGCTTGATCCTCATGACATCGACGTCTCGTGTTGGGATCCCATGTTCCGATATCTCAGGGACTAGATACCATGATGCGTAAACAACATCCATGTGATGGTCACATGGGGCATGTTTCAGGAAATGAAAATAAAATAAAATAAAAACAATAGATAATAATGTCAATGTCCTGCATGCATGAATGTAGAAGCCGTATCCGAAAAGCAAAGCAAAGCGAACGCCGAACACGCATGAAATACCAGCTAATAGCACCAGTGATGCAGCGTAGCCTTCACCACTTCACCACACGTACGACTCTTTCCCTTTCTCGTATATCGCATGAGGGGTATATTTAAGCGTCGTATCGTTCATCCGCATTCGTACCGTCTCATGGAATAGCAATGGACCCGATGTATTGACATATCTCCCTTTCCCAAGATGGAACTCCCATTTCTTGTGCCATTTCGCCTTGGCGTCTTGCCATGTGAACGGCAGCGGTATGATCTCGAGGATCCACCAAAGAGGGTCGAGCTTGAGTTCGTCGTGCAACGGCTTGGTTGAGTCGACCTGGTCTGCTGTGATGTCCACCTCGGATGGACGTGGGCCTGGAGGGGTTGTGCCGTTTATGCCTGCGGCGAAGTACTCTGGTCCGGGGAGAGAAACGTGCACATTGAGACGTGCCATCGTTGCTGCATCGAATTGGATGCCGCATTGTGAGGCGACTACTTCGCGGACCATCCAGCGCAGTGGGATGTCGGAGAGCATTCCATCCGCATTATTCTTCTCAGCGCCTCCGCCCACATCTGTAACCAAATGAAAAATAATACCATTCAGTACTCACTACTACCGTCAAATCGTCTGGATGAAATAAACGACCTACCGCTGTGACAACCGGCAAACCAAACCTGTTTGACATCAGTCGTATCCAGATCGCTTTCCTGAGTACTGAACGCGCCATGAACTCCGTTCGCCTTGCTCTTGCCGAAACGGAGCCACAATCCTCGCCGTTTCTTCTCTCGACCGGGTGCAGATTTCTTGTTCGAATCAAGTAGATGGGCTTCCTGTGCATCACTTCGCTGTGCATCAGCATCCGAAGCGCCTCCTGGTGAATTTGCTGCTTCGGGCGCGTTAACACGACTTCCCGCCGAGGAAGCAACCGCAGCTGGTGTAGCGCCTTGTCCTGGCTTTGGTTTTGGCGGCTGCGGTGTTGACAGAGTCCAGAAGGTCGGTACGAATTTAGCGCGATGTTCGTCCAGGGAGAGGGCATGTCTGAATGTCTTGATCAAGGTGTTGTTCGTCGTGAATGGCAGGTCCTGGCTCATGATGACCCCGGTACTGGCCACGGTATCCCTGTCCCAAGAAGTCAACATTTCTTATTTTAAAATGAGTCAACGCGAAAATCTGGATAACATACCAAACGCCAAGGAACTCGATGTTGACAGGACGACAGAACGTTTCCTTAAATCCGGCAGCCAAGATAAGTCCCTCCTTGTCCGTGCGCTGGTACATCTTATACGCGAACGTTACTTGTTCGTCATTGTCTCGCGGCAGTAGACCGATCTTCGTTAAGAAGCCGGCCAAAGCACGAGCTGTATACGCTCCGCGTGAGAACCCGAAGATGGAAATCTTGTCACCGGGACGGTAATTCTTCATTATGAATCTATACCCGTCCATAACGTGGGCATCAAGGTACCTTAAACAAATGGCGTTAATTCAGAATTAGTCTTTCCAATTTCACACCGAAGTGAACAAACAGACCAGGCAATCGCCTCGTCGGCGATTTTCGCGATCCACATGCTCAGAGCTGACCACATTCCGGGAGGTAAATATGTGCCTATGCCAGTCTGGTAGTAGCACAGTTGCTCATCATCACAGTCCTTCCGCAGCCTGGTCAAGTTTTTGGGTTAATGACGGCACTTCGCGCTAGGCGTTCGTCTGCCAGTACTTACATTGCGAAGAACTTGACTACATTCGTATTCTTATGAGAGGATTTTCAGCACTAAAACTTTGGGCGACATGTCACTGGGACGCTTACTTCTCCGTCATACTCGTTGGATGTTCCGTCAAAACAAAGCACCAACATGCGAGATCTTGAAGGTAATGGACCATCAGGCGATCCCGGCGAAGTAGGGCCCGACATTCGGAGTAGCGATAACAGAAGCTTAGTACTAGCGGATGAGAAGGTGGTAGACGCAGGGAAAGCAAGCGCGAGATGAATAGGGGTCTTTTGAATACGCGAGTGAAGACTTGATCTCAGACCCTCGAAACCCCGTTGCAAACTAACCTAGCCACTCAAGCCTGAGCATGTTCGATTCGACGTGGGACTACCGCGTCTATTCGATTCAATTCCCGAGCCGACCATCATGCCGAGCCCACTTCTGACCTTCAAAAAGCAGCATCTAGGAGCCCATCCAGTGATATATCAAGCCATCTTGCACAGAATTCCAGTTCAGTTTAATTTTGAGCACCTGAGCTGTTGGTCGCAGTTGCTCAAAATAGGTTCCGCGTTCTGCAGTCGTGCTAACCCGAATTGGCGCACGTCAGCTGATTATGTAAATTGCCCCATCAGGAGATTTACACCCATCCAATCAGTTTACACTTTTCGTCCTTTCCCATTCCCATTCTTTAGAGTGCACCCGCACGGACTTCTACGCTCTACACTCCTGTCTTTTGGTCGGTCTCGACTACTCTGTGCGGAGTTTTCCGTTTAACTTTCCGTGCGTGACTTGATTCCGCAATACTGGGGCAAAACCACTTTCCTGCCAAAAATACACGTCGTATATTAATCAAGGATGCACATGCTCGCCAGAAATGGCTGGCTCTACTCTTCGAGCAATCTATATCAGTGTCTGTTTGCGCACTTGCAATGACTACGGTGATTTCTGCTCTCCGTCTGACTAGGCTTCGCCTGAGCTCTGCCCATACTTGACAATCGTGGTAAATCCCGCGCACTAGTACCGGGATTCTTTTCGTCTGTGTTCATCAAATCTTGAGCCTATTAGAGCGGACTACTGGGATGGTGTAATCATCTCCTAGGGTCAATTTTCATGCGTAACTCGTTACGGAGCAAAGCAGGTTAATACTCAACGGGGACTATTGAACATGCCATATTTTGATTCCGTTATAATGCAAGTACTGTAGCGGACTGTATGTAGGCAACGGTAACGGGTAACTGTAGACCTGTTGCATTGCTTATTTAGTGTAACGTAACGGGTAACGGAGTACTTGTTGCCAGTGCTCGACCTATGTAGCATAGTACAAAAAAAATATGATATTTTTCATTTAAAACAAAAAAAAATCTAAGTCTAATTGCCTGAGTATGCTGTCTAGCGTCTAAATAATAAGAGCTGCCAACAGAATGTTGTTGAGTAAATTGCATAGACAAGCAGAAGGACCAGTTCACAAACCTCTAAGACTGGTTCCAAAGGACACTGTCGTTTGAGTAATACCATATATTCTCCTCCAGATTACTTGAGACAAAGCCTGGATGGTCAGGATTGTTGGAATACTCAATAGAATCCATTGTTCCACAGTAGTCATTAATAAACTTGTATTCTTTCCCAACATCAACTCCAACCGTCTCCTTAATGATTGAAGCAAGAGGTACTGCAGTATCATCATTGAATAAATCATCAGTATTGTCTTTGTTGCTGTCTTCAGTACCATCAATAATAATCAGAAATTCCTGCCCAGTCCTATTAAAAATCTTGTCTTGTAGAGTTTTGTCCTGAGTAATATAATTGTGCAATGCTGCTCTTGCTTTGAGGTCTGAAAGCATAGAGCCAGATAAGTTCCATTCCTTAACAACACATTTCCTCCAGGCCTGAGTAATATATAAATGAAAGTTAGAAGGCAATATACTGAACAAAATCAAAGATTCTTACCATTCTAATGATTTCATGCCCCTTTGGTGTATTCATGAAGTTCCATGCACTCAATACAGCCGATACTGTAGCATTGCATAGTACTTTGATCTTGTCTAATATTTCTACTTGTTCAAGAGGGATGCCCTTTGCTATCTGGCTACAGTATTGCTGGATCATTCCTTGAAGTGCATGTTGTTTCAATTGGTGTTTGAGGATGTGCTGCAGACCAATGTCTGCTGGTTGGAATACAGGAGTGCCTTCACCATACAGAAGTTCAGCTCCAATGTCATTGAGAAATGTATTTGCACACTTACAGTTTGCAGGGACGAATAAAGGGATGACATATGAGTATTCTGATTGTAAGAAATCCAAGAAATCGGCACTTGTATGTACTGGATAGCAGTCCAAGTAAAGGACAGCATGCTGGTCCCTTGGCAGGTATGGATTCGCTTCCAAGACTCTCTTATAGTGAGGCTTGTAGATGTTCTTCATGAACTGTAAGAGGTATTTAGTTTAAGAACAAAGATTTACAATGCATGTACACACTTCTTTCATTGTTTTCTGAGTGCTGAAGTGACTATCATGCTGGTTTACACTTGCTGCCACTGTAAATTGAATTCCAGCACTGAGAGCCTCTTCCATATTTGTAGAGTTCTTTTCTGGGAGGCTCTGGTCAGTTTTACCACTGTAGACTTGCTGGAATGGCAGTAGTTCACCATCAGCAGTACTAGATACACAAAGTGTGTATCCTTGCTTCTCATCCTTAGCTATGACGTTTACCTGCTTCAAACCTTTCTTTTCATAGGTGTACTTATAGCCAGGAATATATAGTACCCCTGTTTGATCCATATTAACAATTAACTTGAAAGAAAATGAGTGATATACTTAATAAACCATAGTACTAAAGCACTCACTAATGAGGGGATATCAAACTCTTTTACTACATGAACAAGACAAAAAAAAGCATGCTCACACACCTCCTCCCAGTTCTTGGGTAGGTGTGCAGCAGCTTGAGTTGCTTACCTTACCATCATATTCAAAACCGATCCTAGGAACAACCTGACATATTTCTATGCAAACATGTACATCAGTTAGCATAACAGAGAGACAATACTCAAGGCACATGTCTACTATTGTGATAGGGACAGACACATAAGATATGTACCTCACTGCATTTGAAGTTTGATGTGAGGATATCCGGATTGTGAGCTTCAATGATGGCAAGCATTATAGAACAGCCAATTACTGCATTCAGTAGGTAACCTTTTGCACAAAAGCCCAGAAAGTTTGTTTTAATCTCCTCAACAAGCTCAGGGTACTTTGTAAGAGTACCAACACGTCCAGAACCCTCTAAGATATGCTTGTTCTGGACATTGTGGATTGTTGTATCAGACCATTTTGTTCTGCACAGTACAATCCATTTCTGGACTGTACCCTTATTCAATTGATTGTACAGTGCCAGACTCTCTTTCTTCAAGAACTCAACAATTTTTGAGGGACTGAAGTCAACCTTTGGTGCAATGCAATCAATTGCATCCTATAGGAATGGATGGTACCAATTTGTACACCTAGAAACACCTGGAACACATCCCTACTGCTTTCCCATTTGCTGTGTCTTCCACTGTCCTGAAATTTCCTAGGATACCTCAGCAACAGTGTTATTGCATGGAAGAGCAGTTGGACTCTCTTGATGATCACTAGATACCTGTAATATAAGTCAATAAACAACTGTTAATGTACTTTAGTCAACAAAAGATACATACCTGACTACTTTCCTCTGTATCAAGTCTCTGACACTCCTCTCTCTTCCTCTTCTGATACCTAGCAACTCTTGCAGCACTCAATTCCTTCTCACAAGCTTTCTTTTCGGCTTTGTGTTCCTCATACAACTTGATCTTTCTCTTGCAGCTCTCTCGATCTCGCTCATCCTCCTTTCTCTGTTGCTCAGCTGCCTCTTCCTTGGTACAAACTTGGAATTGCAGTTTCGTTTGGTACAGGTTCTTGCTTTGCACAGCAGGATTAGAATGCTGGGAGACAGGGTATGTGGAAGGCAAGGGTTGCACGAGTTGCAGAGAAGGTGTTGTCTCTGACATGCTGGATGATATGTTGAAGACACATTCAAGATCCTTAATTCACGCTTTTTTATCATTTTCATCTTTGTGTGGCCTGTTTGTAGCTCAGTGGCTCCTCACAATCTCAAAAGACAATCCACCTCTGTCTCATTTTGGCCATGGTTGCTTAATTTGGACCCTGTAACGCGTCACTCTTACTTTGTTGCTTTCATTTTACCATTACACTTATATAATACATTAGTAAGCGTTGCCTACATACAGTCCGCTACAGTATTCGGAAGTTTCCTACAAGCTCCAGAGCTTGGATCCCGTTCTCGAGCACTGTAAAACTACGATCTTTACGAACTTGATTCCGTCAAAAGTGAAGAATCAGAACCTTTCCAGCAAATCCAGGTTGGCCTTCGACCACCATAACGTACGGCAGCTTGTAATAACTTTTCACCGATCAACATCTGTGATACTGTATCAAACCAAGAGATCTCAGCTAGTGGCCAAATTGGTATAGTAAGGACGTTTGTGCCCCTTATTTTTTTGGAGCCTCCTGCCCGGACTTTGGCGTATCTTGTGATGAATGGAAGTAATGGTCTTCAGCTTCCTGATGTTAGCCATGGTATTTACTTGTAATTGCTCATTCTACGCTACAGGCTGAGATTAGGCATATCAAGTATTGATGTCCGCAGACAGGTCATGCAACTCATCGTCTACGTTAGACGCACACATCTGACTAGACTTTAGACGCGAAGGATAGAGAATTGGATCTGTAACATTCTAACATCCGCAATGTGTGTGATTTCTAATCTCATGACATTAACGTCTCGTGTTAGGATCCCATGTTCTAGGCACCTCAGGCACTACATATTATTACGTATATGTAAAATCCATGCAATCGTCACATGGACATGTCCAAGGAAGAAAATGAGGAAAATTAAGAAAAAGCAATGGACAGTAACATTCCGCATGCATGGATGTTTGTACAACCTACAAAGCACTTGTGGTACATAGACTTCACCACACGTAGGACTCCTTCCCTTTCTCGTATATCGCACGCGGTGTATACCGAAGCGTCGTATCATTCATCCGCATTCGTACCGTCTCATGGAACAGTAACGGACCCGATGTATTCACGTATCTCCCCCTCCCGAGATGGCATTCCCATTTCTTGTGCCATTTTGCTTTTGCGTCTTGCCATGTGAACGGGAACGGTATCAGCTCGAGGATCCACCAGAGTGGGTCGAGTCGCAGTTCATCGTGCAGCGGCTTAGTTGAGGCGACCTTGTCAGCCGTGCAGTCTTCCTCGGATGGACGCGGGCCTGGAGAGGCCGAGCCGTTTATGTCTGCGGAGAAGTAGCCTGATCCAAGAGGTGAAACGTGCACGTTGAGAAGTGCCATCACAGCTATGTCGAATTGGATGCCACATTGTGAGGCAACGACTTCACGGACCATCCAGCGCAGAGATATGTCAGCGAGCGTCCCATTCACGGGATTCTTCTCAGCACCTCCACCCACATCTATAATAGAGTAAAACCAATACCAATTTTTACTCGCTATCACCCTCAAACAAGATGGATAGAGTGGAGGGCTTACCGTTGTGGCAGCCGGCAAACCAGACCTGCTTGACGTCGGTCGTATCCAGATTGCTTTCCTGTGAACTGAACGCGCTATGAACTCCGTTGACCTCGCCCTTGCCGAAACGCCACCATGACGCATCAGCGTCCGAAGCACCTTCTGGATGGTTTGCTGCTTCGGATGCTTTACCAAAACTTTTTGCCGATGATGCTACAGCAGCTGGTGAGGCACCTAGGCCTGGTTTCGGTTTCGGCGGCTGCGGAGTTGAAAGTGTCCAGAAAGTCGGTACGAATTTCGCGCGACGTTCGTCCAAGGAGAGTGCATGTCTAAATGTCTTAATCATACTGTTGTTCGTCGTGAACGGTAGGTCTTGGGTTGTGATTATTCCAGTACTGGCCACAGTATCCCTGTCATCAAGTATCAATAATCCTTATATAAACGGATGCAAAGAGCCGGAGGACATACCAAACGCCAAGGAACTCGATATTGACAGGACGACAGAACGTTTCCTTGAATCCGGCGGCCAAGATGAGCCCCTCTTTGTCCGTGCGCTGGTACATCTTGTACGCGAACGTTACTTGTTCGTCATTGTCTCGCGGGAGTAGACCGATCTTCGTTAGGAAGCCAGCCAAAGCACGAGCTGTATATGCTCCGCGTGAGAACCCGAAGATGGAAATCTTGTCACCGGGACGGTAATTCTTCATTATGAATTTATATCCGTCCATAACGTGGGCATCAAGGTACCTTGAACAAAAAGCGTAAATTTAATGTAGTCTCTTTAATTTCGCACCGAAGTGAACAACAAACCAGGCAATCGCAGCATCTGCGAGTTTCGCGATCCGCATGCTCAAACCTGCCCATATTCCAGGAGGCATATACGTGCCATCGCCAGTCTGGTAATAGCACAATTGATCGTCATCGCAGTCCTTCCGCAGCCTGGTTGATGTTTTGAGTTAGCGGTGGCACTTCGCAGTACGCCTTCATCTGTCAACGCTTACATTGCGAAGAACTTGACTATGTTTGTATTCTTATGAAGGGGCCTTTCAGCATAAGTGCTTCGGGCGACGTATCACAGGGACACTTACTTCTCCGTCATATTCGTTGCCAGTTCCGTCGAAGCAGAGGACCAACATGCGAGATTTGGAAGGTAATGGATTACTAGACGATCCCATCGAAGCAGAGTCCGACATTTTGGAGTAGCGAATAGCGGAAGCTTGGTACTAGCGGATGAGGAGTTGGTAGACGCAAGGAATGCAAATGCGAGATGGATATGAGGGAGGAAAACTGAGCTCAGTCCTCGAGTCGAAACCCCGTTGCAAACTGGACTGGCCATCCGACCTCGAGCACGTTCGGCGTCTATCCCAGTATCCGTCTCACTTCCCAAGCTGATCCATCACACTGACCGCAGTTCTGGCCTACAAACACAGTAAAATATATCAAAATGAATAACACCATGATAAGATCAGACCCAGTGTATTATCGCATAGAGATTTTGTGGGTAGGCAATTGCAGTTCTGTCATGAACATGGAACGGTTCAGTGCACCATGCAAAATATGCATTATAATACTATATAATGTCATATTTTACTGTAGCAGCGCCTATGAGCCCATCCGGTGATATATCAGACCTCATTTCACAGAGTTCCAGTACAGTTATTTTGAGCACCTGAACTGTTGGCTGCAGTTGATCAAAACAGGTTCTGCGCAATGGTGCATATCCCGAATTGGTGCATCCCAATAGACTATGTAAGCAATTCGGTCAGGTGATCCTAACTGTCCACATCA